TCCACTAAATTAAAATTTTTCCGATGTCTTAAAGGAACAATTGTTAACATTATTGCAGGTTCTGGAAAAGACCATATATAAGTTTGAAACTTAAATATGCCCTAATTTACATTATGCAATTTTATTTGCGGCAAGTATCATGTATTTGTGGGCAAGAGAGTTGAACTTTGCCCATTCCCATTAACACACTCACAAAAAAGCCTAAGTATTGGGGGCAATTACAATTGCCTTATGTAAATCAGCACTGTTATATATACATATATATTATGAAAATATTGTACTGTTTATAAAAAATCAGAAAAAAATTAATAGAGAAAATATTTGTATATATATTGGTATTAATATATGAAATAACTAATTTTCAATATTAATAATATTTTAATAAAAATATCTGTATTTTTTTTAATAAAACAACAGTATATAAATAAGTATGTATATATATTTAAATGTAATAATAATTGAAAAAATATGTAAATATATATATATATATATACTTTAGTTATGGACGTAATAGGAGTCTGATTACATTGCACAACATTATGAAAACGCCCCAATTCAACACCTCCTCAGATGAAGCCGGCCAAGTAGTTCAATATATATGAAAATCTATACGAAAAGGAACAATTAAAAACGAGCCATTCTATAAACTATATCCTACACAACTTTGGGAACATCCAGTAGGTGTTCTTGGAAGTCATATTGTAATCAAAAAAAAAAAAAAAAAAAAAAACCTAGATTATTACTAACCAAAATCTGGTAATATTACCCAAATCCGCTTAAGGGAACCCAAAATTCTCGACTTCACATTTTGACAATTTTCAATCGGCTGGAAAATAAACATACATTATCAGGACATCAATTCACCGTGAATTTTTTCGCACTTCCCTTTAAAGGTTTTCTGAACCAGAACTCGCAGCGATTTTTTTTTTGCATTTTCACTTTCCCCTTATTCTGAAAAAAGTTCGAAAGCGAAAAAATCCGTTTAGAGGAAAAATTTGTTATTCTGGATTACAAGGAGTGGGAGAATGTGATATTTCAATTCAATTTTATTTCGTGCGAAATTTTTCTCTAAAAAAAATCACAAAGGGAGCTGACTACAAAAATATAAGTATTAAAAAGTCATAACGCTCATTTGCTGCAACACGATTTTGCAGAAAATATGTTTTAAATTTTTCAATTTACTCACACTTTATATGGGACAGAGGATCATCTACAGCTTCTCAATTAGATTGTGTAAGAGATATCCATATGCATTTTTTACACAACATTACGTCTATTATAGGGAACAATGGTGCATCATTAACTCGACAGCACAGCTATTTGCGATAAAGTCAGGTGCATAAATAAGGTTCTCAAGTCGCTAGCCGGCAGCACTTGGGGAGCTGACAAGGAAACCTTGTTAACGACTTACACAGCAATAGGTGGGTCTGTGGAAAACAATGCGGCATCAGTGTGGTCCGCTAACGTGATCTGGAGAGAGACGTTCAAAAGGTACAAAAGGAGCCTCCATCTTCTTTTTGGACTCAACCAATAAAGGTCGCTGCATTCCTGAACTTATAGTTAGAAGCAGAACCAGATTAAGGAGTGTAAGAAGAAATGCACAGCAGTACAAGCTGCTACAACAACAACAGACAGACGAACATTATTATTGACTACAAACTGTCTTTCGTTGGACCAAATTCAACCAATATTTCGATGAGACAACACCATAACCAACAGCTGTAAGAGGATGAGGGGAAGTCGAATGAAGCGTATTCGTCCGATGGCGGCAACCTCGCTTGCCTGCAAAGGCTGCCAAAACAGGGAAAAAATCAATCAATTAGGTATTGCAAATGATTGACATTCTGGTATATCTCTCAAATAATGGTGACACACAATTTGCTGTATTATAAGGTTTTTAGACATTCTCGGTTGGGAAATTTGTCATCCGGCGAAGGGTGAAAAAACTTTTTTTAAATTTGTTCATTTTTGGTTCATGTTTTCAATTACACCTTTTTTAGTATTCAACAGGCGTTCTCAGTATTTTTCCCTCTAAAATGGCTGTACTTGGCCATTTCAGGTTCGTGAAGAGGGAAAAACATATTTGCAGAAACTGTCCAATGTTTTGGCATAGATCCGCAATCACCCTTCCCAATTAAAAATTTCTTGGAGAATGAACTACATATTTGCGGAAAAATTTTGATATAGGTCTATGTTTTGGTACCCATTCAAGTGACTCCAATTTGACATATCGACGCCTCCGAACCATAGTATGCTAAGTCGACTTAGCATGTTTTAAAGTTCTTTACGTTTTTAGATACTACGGTCCTTAATTTAAATTCACTGAAATTTTGGTAATCATCGGCGAATCCAAACCAAAGTTATAAGCAAAAATGGGCTTAGCATGGCACGTACGATTAAAGAAACTTCCATACTTTGAAAGCTTCTACTGAAAACTCACTTTTCAGACTTAGCATACTATGGTTCGGAGGCGTCGGTATTTGAAAAATATATTTAAGGCTTTGACATAGTCCCATGTAACAATCCCGCCCTTTTTTGACACTTTGAAGGTTTTAGCTATGTCTAGTTTGGTACTTCTCATTCTAGGCTAATAACGAACTTCTTCCCAGAAAATTTTCAATATGTGCATGTTTTAGAATTTGTAGGCTTTGCCATAGCCCCATTTAATGGTCTCGATCTATTTTACTTATTTTCAAGGTTTTAGAGATCTTTAGTTTGGCATATTGCATTCCGATTTATAACGAACTTCTTCACAGGAATTTTGTCATATGTCCATGTTCTAAAATAATCCAAATTCAAAGGGACAGCTCCGCTTAGATTTCAGTTTTGTTTTAGTTTTCTATCCTCAGAGTCTACAATGTTATTGAAACATTTGGCGACCCATAATAATAAAATTTAAAAAACTTCATTTAACTTTGTTGTGGAATCTATTCACCACGAGGGTGAAACAAACTGAGATCTCAGTTGAATGTCAGTTTTGGGATGGTGTTATATTTTGCAGAGAACATTTGAGTAGGATTGATAAAAGTCGCAATAAATAATGTTGCACAGTGTAATATTTATTGTTTGTTGTTGTTAGTATTTTGATTTCAATTAAATAAAAATTATATGTAGTATGTCAATTCTGGTGGACATACATACATCTCTGTGTGTGTGATAGTATGTGTATCTTTTGGGTTTTATAGTATTTTTGAGAATATTATTAATTATTATTTTTTTAATTATATAAACTATACATTATATGATTATATTTATATAAAATATTATTTTTTATTATGATTTTGCATTTATTTATTTTAAATTTGTTTCTTAATGTTTTTTTGCTTACTACAAACTAATTTATGTATGTAAGTGTGTATATTGGGTTTTGTAAATAATTGTTCATAGTTTTCTTTTGTTTTTATTTGTTGTTGTTTATATAGTACACATAATGTTTATTTATATTTGTTCCATTTAATTAATAATTTTCTGTACGATCTCTTTACAAATAAATATATTTATTTTATTATTTTTGAATCTATAACAAAAATTGCCAACAATTATTTTTCTTTGAGAAAAATAAAAAAGAGAACGGATTCAAAATCAGAGCTGTAGTTGTTGTTATTTAAGTAAGATTGTATATGTTTGTAATTGTATGTTTTTTGTTAAATATGTTTGTTCAAATTACTAATAAAAATTAAATAAAAATCATATTAAATAAATGTAATTGTTTTGAAAAACAAAAGTGAATAATAGTAATAATAATGGAATATATGAAAGCGCTGAATAATTACGAATTTAAAAAATCTCTTTACTAGGCGTAGAAATGCCCAGGGCTTCTTCATAATCATTGCCAGCCGCAGCGGATGACGATTTATGATGATGATGGTGGTGGCTAGACTTTTTCTTATCCTTATGATGATGTTCCTTTTCTTTTTTATCCTTTTTCTTTTTCATGGAGGTAGTCGACGACTTCATAGATGTATCTAAAAGTTCATTATCGTTACTGGGTTGAAGATTTTTCAATTCCTTGGCTGATGTTGTTGTGGACTGGGATTTGTTTGACTTATGATGGTGGTGGTGTTTCTTACGTTTCTCTTGTGTGCTGATGTCCAGAGTGGAAAGAATCGAGCTGGATTCGATATTGGAGGTGGGATGGACTATTGTATTGGACATTTGAATGGGTGCTTGTAACTCCTCTTCCAAAGATGTACCCAACAAATTGGCACTATTCATATCATTGTTGTTAGCTGCTGTCGATTTTTTCGACGATTTTTTATGTGACGATTTATGTTTATCCTTTTCATTCTCTTTATTCTTCTCCTTATCTTTCTTCTTTTCTTTTTTATGGGTGGTGGTGGTTTGTGAAGTTGATGATTTTGATTTTTTCTCTTTTTCAAATAAGTCAGGTTCGTTGAAATCTTTTTTATTTGTGGTACTACCACCACGATGATATTTAGGTTCCTCCAAATCGGGTCTGTAAAAAATGTATTGAATTGAGGTAATTTCATAGTTTAAAAAATAGCGGTATATACACAAAATGAGGTATGGAATGTGGTAATATGGTATGGTTCGGATGTCATCTAGCGACAGTAATGTGGAAAGTTTCCGGTCGCCAGATGACATCTGAACCAATTGAAATTTCCAATTATATAGAATTCGATTAACAATTGCTAATATGATTTAATCGCCCCCCTCCAACTTTACAACTTTCCTTGCTGTTTTTTATGGACGAAATTTAGATTTGCTACCCAATGGGAACTCAAAATTCCAAATCACAGTGAATTCGTTTGAAAAAGGCTCTGAAAATTCCCAAAATACCGAATATTTGGGGACACCCTTATAAGGGATTTGTCCTCAAAAGTGGTCCAATATCGATAATTTTTGGCTTCAGGTATGTTTTGCGCTGCAGGTGATTTCCCTTGTAACGTTTTCGATTTAAAATCGGTAAACAGCGCCTGTCCTACATTTCAGTTTGTTGTCTTGTCTATAACATTTTCGAAATCCTTTGTGCTCTCTACTTACATATCCAATTCAATATCTAATGCTCTGTGAGGATCATCTGAATCAAATTTGCCATCTTTATCATCGCCATCCGATAATGAAACACCTTCAGGCATATCCAGTGTTGTATTGACAATGTGCATAGGTTTGGGATCTAGAAATGTTTGCAAAAAATATATAAGAAATTAAAATTATATCTCACCAGCTGAATGACTAAAAAAATTATACTAACCATCTTCTGATTCCGATGTTGAATTGTATGTAGTCTTTGATTTTGATTTTTTGCTCTTTTTGGATTTTTTGTGTTTTTTCTTATCCTTACTGCTGCTGTTAGCAGTCTCTTGCAGTAAATATTGATCTGAACGTTTGGTGGCTGCAGCAGAAACAAATAATTTTGTATCACTTAATAATTTAAAAATATATATATATTTAAAATAATTACCTCCAACTTTTAATGGAATGTCTAATGATAGTTCCGCAATTGGTATATCATCAATATTGTCATATTGATCGGCATTATGTTGTGAATTATTACTGCTCAATGAACGAGCATGCATAGAACCAACATCCGGCGTGGAGGGTGTCGATTTCAAATAGTGTGGATTATTGGATTGTTCAATCATGCGTTGCATACGTTGACGTTCAATTTGTTCTGGTGTCAGTTCTTCGCTGGGCCTTCGTTTGCCGCCGCTGCCGCCCTCATCCAATTGGGCTGACGAACTAACAAATAGTTCCTCCTTTTCATCATGCGACGATTCGTCGGTATCATCTTCAGGTGGCGGGTTAATCCATTCATCTAAATCAAGGCCATCGGGTAAAGGAACTTTCCGTTGAGCTTTTGGTGCTACCGGTATGAGATCACCGGCAAATAATAAAGCCATTTCTTGAACAATTTCAATAGCCAATGTGGGTATTGTGGAGATTCGTCTTTGTGTTGTTTCAACAACACCAGTCTCATCGGAACCAATAAAATCGACTTGATGATGATGCTGATGATTGTAGGCATCATCCTGATCATTAAATTGAGCTTTCAACATTTCGATGAGAATGCAAGCGGAATTGGCACGTTCTTGGACTTCAATGTCATCGGAACTATTGAAATCTTGTAGTTTTTCCAAAACATGATTACAAAGCTATAAGAAAATTATTTTTTTTTATATTTCGGATTGAAAATTGCAATCCAAGGAACATACCCTAACTAATCCTTCAGGATCTTCATTTTCTAGGCATGTTGTGGCCAAACGTGTAAACAATTTAACAACATTCTGTACAAACACACTTTGTATGTGTCCCGGCACTTGACGTGGTCTGAGTAGAATATTCAGAGTATGCTCTGCATCCTCTAATTCACTATGTGAGAAAATGTGAATTGTTCATGGGTTAAAATAAGAGAACTTAGGAAATTGTTTTGAATTTACTTACTTGGAAAATTCTCCAACAATCCAGGCAGCTGCATATAAAACTTCATACATTGAATTACTTTGAGATGAAATAGAAAATGTATCCAGCAGATTTGTCATTTCCTTTACAGCGAATTGTCGAACAACAGGCACTCTTATAGCAACATCTAATAATTGTTCAGCAATTAAACGACCTGAAAGGAAATTAATTTTTTTTATATAACTAGTATTTTGTCTTATCAAAAAATCAAAGAGTAACATTAACTCATCACAAAAAAAGTCAAGCAGCTTAATTAAAATCATATCGGTTTCTACTACAGAACCCTTTTGTTTCATATTGAGGAAACAAATGACATATAGATGCCCGCAATAAAAGCTTCCAAAGTTTCACAAATAAAATAACAAATGATCTTCAAAAAGAAAAACACGAAAATCTCCTTATCGGTGAAAAGGTCGGTTGCAAAATAAAGTGAAATATAATTGAGAACAAAAAGAACATTTAGAAACCCCTAATAAAGGAAAAATTTCATTTAACATGAATAAAGGAAAAATGTCATGAAATATAATAACACGTAGACTTAAATATAAAACAAATGCCTCAAAGAATGCTAAAACGGCTTCTAAACAAAACCAGTAAGGACTGGGCCGACTATATGATACCCTCATACCCATTCTAGACTTAGTTCAGTACGTGCAAATCGAAAGATTTTGTGCACCAATATTTGTGCCATTTTGTGCACCAATATCATAAAATCGAACGAAAATATATATGGGAGCTATATCTTAATCTGAACCGATTTTCACGAAACTTAGCACACATCATTCTAGACTTAATTAAGTGCTCTATGCCAAATTTCGTGCAAATCGAAAGGTATATAGGGATTTTGGTGCGCCATTTACCTAAAATCGAACGAAAATATATATATGGGAGCTATATCTAAATCCGAAGCGATTTTCACGAAACCTAACACACATCATTCCAGAGTTTATTCAGTACGCTATGCCAAATTTGGTGCAAATCGGAAGATATATAGGGAATTTGGTGCATCATTTACATAAAATCGAACGAAAATATATATGGGAGCTATATCTAAATCTGAACAGATTCTTCCCAATTTCAATAGGGTTCATAATAAGTGACCTATGTCAAATCTCATCCAATACAAAACATAAATGCAACCTGTATTTTGTTTACAATTTGACATTTACGGAAGGACGGACCGACGGACATGCATAAATTCACTCAGAAAGTGATTCTCAAAAGGAACCATGTGTCTATCTCGTTTCCTTTTGACTGTTACAAACATATGCACAAATACATAATACCCTGTACCACAGTATGGTGAAGGGTTTAATAATAGTGCCAATCGGTGTTGCCGACAGACAGATCATAGCCTATGGTTTGTGGAGGTCTACGAAATAAAACGCAGGTTATTATTGGCTTTATATAATGTATACGTAGCTTCAAAAAGTTGAAAATCTTTGGAGAGGTTCCGAATGAGACCATGATCTAGGTTTGGTAAAAGTATTGCGATTTGCAAAATTTGAATTAAATCGGAGATTCCATTCGTTTGATATTGAATTAGAAATTGTCAAAATATTGGGGAGGTAGGTGAAAGGACTTGATCAAGCCACGGTAAAAATGTTATGATGTGCAAAGTTTAGGTCAAATCGAACAATCCATTCGCTTGGTATTGAATTAACAACTTTAAAACAATTGGATTTTAACAAATTTGTTTACCATTTTGTGGGGGAGTGGACCGATATTCACTATCTTCGAATTTGATTGAAGTTTGAAAACACTTCGGAGTCTATGATGATATACTTTTTGCACAACGCCATCACGTTTCATATAGCAGTCTCTTAATCAAAGCTAGTCCACAGTGTAATCCAGTCGGCTTTCTGGGTTTTTATTAATACCATCGATTGACTAATACTAATGCACTCTATCGCTTTTGTACTTATTGTAGTGTGTAGTCAACGTGTAGTCTTCTTCATGAAATAGAAGGAATTTTGGGTTTCTTTCTCACTTACCATGTTTGGAACCAGCCTCCAATTGTATTAATTCGACAAGCACCGTTAAATACCATTCAAAATTGGTTACATACAAATATGAACTTTGTGAACAAATTTCAATAACTTTATATAAAAGTTCATCACGATAATTGGAACCCTCGGCACGTTCCATATGACCCAAAAGGCGTTTTACGATTTCCATGAGATTCTTTTTTGATACCATGCCATAGAGTAAATCCAAAGCTCGTAAACGTATCGATTCATCTTTATCATCCAGACAAGCCAGAATTAGATCTTTATGGGCTTGAACACTTTTCGGATGAGTTTTTAAGATTTTTGACATGGCCAAGAGCCCCAAATATTTTACTGAAACAAGAAAAATAAACAACAAATTACAAAGTTAGCAAATTATCTTATTTAAAAAAGAAAATCAACTTACAATTTTGATCGGAGTCTTCAATGAGGATACGCAACTTTTGTACACAAAGTTGTATAGAGGCACTATGGTTTGGCATACCACTGCTAATGCTGATCAACACAGCTATAACTGTATTAATGCATTCATACAATAAGCTCATAGCCGATGTGCTGTTGAGGAAGGTAAAATATACAGAGAGATTATTATAAATATTTGTTTTTAAGTTAATGTTTAAAAAATTAACAAATTTTGTTATTGTTTGTATATTTTTGGAATATGAATTTAAAAAAAACCAAAACTGTTAGGAACGAAACAAAAAATACATTAAAAAAGCTACAAAGTGTAAGTGATATTTTTGCTTGAATGTAAATTTCTATATATATAAAAAATACGAAAAAATTAAATAAAAGAAACAAAACAAAAAAATTATTTATTACATTAATTGCACTTTAAATAATTAAAAACAAACGGAGGTAGGTGAAAATAATTTGAACAAAGCTTGTTGTTTTATTTTCATATATATTTTTTAATTTTAAGGCATTCCATTGAATATAAAATAGAAAAGAAAAAAAAAATAAATAAAAGGAAATCATAGACAATACGCACACACACACGTTCATTTTTTTCTATTTGTTTCAGAAAGAAAACATCGTCAAACAAAAGATGATAAAAACAATTGCACTTGCTGTATGTTTTTTTGTTTTTAGTTTTTACATTTCTTTTTTGTTTTTTTTTTCTTTTGGTAGTTTTGTTTTGTTTCATTTCATTGTGAGTGACACATAAACATAAACTTGCCTATGGATAAGATTTGTGAGTGGTTCTATTAATTTCTTTCCTAGCCGGGGTTCTAAAGGAGTTAAAGCGCCAAACTGCAAATGCAAAAAGAGATAAAAAGAAGAAGATAAAAAAATGATAAAACCAAGCTGAATTCATAAAAATAATTACAATTCTTGTTTTTTGTATATTTCATAAATAACAAAATTACAATGAGAAGAGAAAACTTATTTGCTAATTATTATTATTTTTTTTTTCGTTTGATTGATTGTGGTTGTTGTTTTAATTTGTTATTGGGGGTAATAGATTGTTGATGTTTGAAAGGAAAGAAATTTATAGACGTTGGCAGATTTAAGAAGGAGGAGATAATATTTAAAGAGAGAATCTCTAAGAATTGAGAAAATTGGGAGTGGACATTTCCAAAAAGGCATTTTTGTTATCAGTGTAAAAAAATTATCGCATTGAATCAAACTTCTATTTTGTGAAAATTTTATCGGGATGAAATTATTCTATTAAATAAAAACTAGTGAAAAATCGTTAAGTTCGGCCGGCCCGAACTTTGGATACACTCCACCATATATATACTGACAGGTGATTGAAATGAACGTATACAGACATTTCTACAAACCCATTATGTAAACTATAAAATAAATTTCAGAATTTTTTAATGGATAATTATACCATCAATCTTATGGCTAATGAGGGTGTATATACTTTGACACGATGAAAATGTGCCTCATCAACCCGTTTCAGAAAATCTGGATTCCATCCAAACTTTGACCATCTTATTATGGGGAATATCGGTCCACTTCTTCTGGTGCCTTCCACTCAGGGACTAAACCTAAATGCGAGTTATAGTTCATTATCGAACCTTATGTTCTAGTTTTTTTATCTCGATATCCTCCTTACAACACAGAGTCTTAAAAACAAACAGAAAATTGGGAGGTACCCTTATATGGGGGCTATCCGAAAAAATTGACATATTCATAATTTTTTGTGGAGAGATTTGGTACCCATTAAGAACTCAAAATACTAAATTACAGCCAATTCGGTGGAAAAAATACGATGAAACCCCCCAAGATACTGAAAATTAGGAGGTACCGTTATATGGGGCTACCAGAAAAAGTGGGCCCATATTTATAATTTTTTGTGGAGACATTTAGAACCTAATAAGAACTCAATGTACCAAATTTCAGCGAATTCGGTTGAAAAACGCGCTCAAGAACCCCAAAATACCGAAAATTGCGGGGTACCGTTATATGGAAGCTATGCCTAAACGTGAACCGATATATCCCATCTTCGAACTTGACCAGCCTGCTGACAAAAGACAAACCTATGCAAAATTTAAGCACCCTATATCAATTCTTACAGAAGATAGCGTGATTACAAAAGAAGCACGGACGGACATGGCTAGATCGTCTTAGAATTTTACCCTGATCAAGAATATATATATACTTTATAGACTCGTAAATGACTATTTCGATGAGTCACAAACGAAATGACCATACTATGGTGGAGGGTATAAAAAACGATGATTTTAATTCAGGAGATTTGCAATTTCCTTCCAAAAAAGCGATAATGCTTGCCAAATAAATTGTGGCACTCATTTATATTAGATTATTATTCCCAAAGCAAAGAATTTCTGTCGTCGCCGTCGTGAACCACCTTAACGGAGAACAATACCGAAATTGGTGAAAAATCGAGATGTTGGGACCAACTGTGAGGAATATAACCCGTGCACGCCACTCAAGAACAATGGAGAGTATGTCTGAATTTTACAAACTACTTAGGTTCATAATATTCAGTAAACACACGAACACAAACAGGCAGGACACGATCATAGGTTAGGTTATGTTTGGGGATGTGCAGTCACTTATGTGGCTGCAGCACTCTGAAACCGCCAGGTCCATTGTGATCATCCACGAAAAGGAAAAGATATGGATAGATCTATAGGGGAGGAAAGAAGGGGGATAGAGAGATATATGAGAAGCTTACAAGGATGTGTGAGAAGGTAAGTATGAGATAGTATAGATGGCTATAGAGATCGGACAGAAGATGCATTAAGAGTCAAAGTTGAACGTTTCTAATTATGCTGCAGATTAGAGCAGATTCCATAGTAGAAAAATAGTTTAGACGCGGTGGAAAGTGAGCACCTACTAATTTGTGCCGTCAGTAGGAGGCCAGGACTGGACAGCGATGCAGGAGATGTTCAATTGTATCGGTCTCCTCCTCGTCATCACAGATTCTGCAGCAATCAGTAACATCATGGTCTCATTTACTGGTAAAGGCCCTGATATTGCAATGACCAGTAAAGACTCCTCTCATTACTCTAATTTCAGCTTTTCCCAGGTTCAACAGTGAGTTTGTTCTCTTGGCTGAGTCCACCGGATAGATCTTTACGCATTGTACCTAGGTTCGTTGCGCCAAATTTCATAGGCTCGTTCGTCAAAACACGCCACAAAAATTTCGGAAAATGTGACAAATGGGTTGTTTAATTGCTAGATCTGTGGATTGAGATCCTCGTCTAGCTAGATCGTCTGCTTTTTTATTACCCATGATTTCACAGTGTTCTGGTACCCAGCACAGCCGATAGCTGGTAATAAGTGTTTCCAAAACTCTGCTCTACACTCGAGGACGACATCAGACTTGATGTAACAGGATTTGAGGGCTTTAATCCTGTCACCGGTTTAACGATCTCTGCATCCAGACTTTTTATCAATTCAGCTGCCTTCCAAATCGCGAAGATGTCAGCTTGGAAAACTCTACAGCTGCTATCCAACTTGTAGGTAAGCTCAAGGCCTAGCCCTTCACAGTAGGCGCCAGCCTCTGTACCTTCATTCATCTTGGATCCGTCTGTATAAAAGCCAGACCGTCCAGGGGAGAGTTAATACGGTTCCAGCCGTCTTTACTGGGCATAACGACACTTACATCGTCAAATCTCAGGACTGGTGATATATAGTCGCTTAGTTTTACGCATTGGTACAAGGTTCGTCCACGATACATCCATGTCCGTAAGCACAATTTCGCAGGCATAGAGTGCAAACTGCCCACTCTTCGCCCGTTCCTCACCATGTTCCATCGTAGTTGACAGTCCAAGATTGTGCCAAGGTATTTTGCTTCCGGCGAGAGATGAAGTGGAGTGTACTCCATCCAATGTTGGTAGAGCAAAGACGGCGAGCTCACGTTTCCTAGTGAATAAGTGAACATCGAACAAAGACAGAACTGGTGTCTTTGTTGGGTTAACTCCAAGACCGTTAGCCTTGGCCCAACGTGACAGCGTCGATAAGGTTCTTTGCATAAGTTCCGAGATTGTTGACGAGTATGTTAATAAACAAAATTGTATTTAGGGTTCTGAGAATTCTCAAGTAATAGGATAGATGTCATACCAATCCTAAAATGTCTCTGTTGATGCGCTCTTTTGTCTGAATGTGTGAATACGGGGCTACGCGAAAGAAGCAATACTTGCAACAGTTCTCAACGTTAATGACGTTCATACTTTATAATAATTGTGTGTTTTATTTATGTTTGTTTTAGAAACCACAAAACGGATATACCTGTATAATGTGCTATAATAAAAAAAAAACATTTCAGGACCGAGGCAAATGTGTACAAAAAAGAAGTGTTAACAAACATCCTCAAGTGATGGATTGGTGGGTGAAGTGAAGAAACATGCTAACAAATCCTATATTTTTTAGAAAGGTATATAAATTGGGTCCAAAACTAACCAAATATTTTCAACAAAATAAGAAAACATCCTTTGCGTGTGTATGTTTACATATTCCCTAGTCCTTATCCTCAACAATCTCATTTGGGTATTAGAAAATAGGGACAGGTGTAAATAAAACAAATTTGCATCTGGCTATTTCGATGGTAATCGATAGATATTCTTCTTATTTGTTTGAGACGTTTTGTGTTGTAAATTATAAAAATAAAACAAACTAAATTAAACACAAATTCAAATTGTCTACGATAATTGAAAAAACAAGCTATTTTTCAAAATTATTATAATTGAAATAAAAACATAATGAAAATAACAATTGAAAAAAAAAAACAAAATTATTGTGAAGGCTGGTGGTGGTTGTGGTAGTGGTGGAGAATATCATTGAAAATTATAAAAACAATTATAGCTTCTTATCCACAAAATGGAAATTAAAAAAATACCAAAACGAAAATTAATTAATTAAAAAATGAAATACCAATCTTTCCAAAAAGACACATAATCCAAAAATAATATAATTATATATTTCGTTTAAATAAATTATTGTTTAAGAAAAGGATTATAAAAAAGAGTTTATTAAACCTGGAAATAATTTCAATCAAGGGTTGAGTTAATTTACGTCCCAACGCTGGTTCAATAGTGGTAAGGCTGGCAAACTTTTGTTTTTGTGGTTTTGGTAGTATACGGAGATTTAAGAGGAAATAAAACCGGGGGAAGGATAAAATATAAAAAAAAACAAAATGTTTATAAGTTTTTTTTTTTCATTAAAAAATAATAGTATTTAAATTCATTGTCGTAGACTGACTTATATGAAATATAATGATGTTGCCTCGAGTTCGACAACAACACGTTTTTTCTTTTTGTTCACATTTTACATACAAAATAATGTAGTATATACATATATACTAGATATTAATAAATCAATTAAAAATAAATTAACAACACAAGTTAACTCACCAATTTGATAATTTTAATAAGCATCCAATTATTGGTTGATGTTGTCATTAGTTTAAAAAATACAGGAGCTAAAGGAAGATAATTTTTTGGATTCTTACGTGCTAATTCACAAACAACATTAACGGCAGCGGATTGTACCCCTAAAAAAGAAAAACAAAAACGAATAGTGGTTAATACTTTTTTTTACAACAAAACTTCAAATCAAAACAATAAATAATATTAAAAATGATGATAAACCTGGATCAGGATCTTCCAGTTTCTCTTTAAGTTTAGGAAATGCAGGTTTTAAAGCTTCTGGATAACGTAGAAATACTTTATACATCATAAGGACGGCTTTCATGCGTAGATAAGGTTTGGTGGAGCTCATCTAAAAGTAAGAAAAAGAAAAACACATTTTATATAATATATAAACGTTTTAATATCTAAAAAGAATTTTTTTTTAAAGAATATTTTTTCCTGCATTTCTTAAAGAATATTTTTTCAATGACCAATAGAGGCGTGGATAAAGAATATTTTTTCAAGGACCAATAGAGGCGTAGATAAAGATTATTTTTTCATGGACCAATGGAGGCCTACATGGAAACATGGTTTTCTTAGAGAATATTTTTTCAAGGACCAACCGAAAAGTGGATTTTTAGACGATACTTTTTAAGCATCAAGAACTTTTTAAAAATGAATATTCCTGCAAGTTGTGGATTTTTTGAAGACTATTTTACATCCCCCTTAAGTTATATATCTGTAAAGTTCTAGCTAAAACAGTATTATTCAAACCGTCCACCATAAGGTCGAGTGGATATGAACAGACATTTTGATCTGATTAGAAAATATATATATATATATATATATCTGTCTGTTCAAATCACGATAGAGCTCGTAATATCGAGCCATATTCGCCAAAAAACGTAACCCTCAATTTGAAATTTTACAGTAGAAGGTTTTGTTTTAATAAATTCAGATTTAATAAAGCTATTATTTTGAAATTTAGAACTATAGTTTTTTTTACCAACTAGTTTTGTTTTAAACTATAATTATAAATTTCAAAATAATAGCTTTATTACATCTGAATTTCTTAAAACAAACCCTTCTCCTGTAAAATTTTAAATTGAGGGTTACGTTTTTTTTGGCGAATATGGCTCGATATTTAAGATAGAACTTTGAAACTTTTAACATGCAAGGTGGTATTGCAAATGGGATACATCGGTCAAAGTTTTGATATAGCCCTCGTAAAAAAGGTCCTGCCCGATTTTGCATTTCGTGTTCTTGAAAAATGGAAAAACATGCCCGATTTCGCATTTCTTGTTCATGAAAAATTAAAAACAAAAAACAACTTTGCAAAAAATATTGAATTTTCATGGTTATGGTTACTCCGCATTTCGGAGAGTTTGTATTTTGATATTACGGGTTCTTAAAAGGTTGTAGAAAATTGTCAACATATTTTGTCACATTTTCGCAGCGATCTAAAGTTCCGATTTTTTTTTTTTTTTTGGCATTTTGAAGATTGGAGTAACTTCGTGTAATGTGGACCACCATGAAAAATTAAAAACAAAAAACAACTTTGCAAAAAATATTGAATTTTCATGGTTATGGTTACTCCGCATTTCGGAGAGTTTTGATATTACGGGTTCTTAAAAGGTTGTAGAAAATTGTCAACATATTTTGTCACATTTTCGCAGCGATCTAAAGTTCGCATTTTTTTTTTTTTTTTGCATTTTGAAGATTGGAGTAACTTCGTGTAATGTGGACCACCATTTTCTTTTTTTTTATTGATATTGTGGGCTTAACAATGGTAAAAAATAAAAACAAATTGTTTTCACAACATAGTAGGTTTGTTGCCTAAATATATTCCAAGTCAAATAATATTTATATTTGTTTATAAAAATGTTATTCCATTATATTTCAAAAAACTCTAAACTGCGAATAAAAATAACTTGGCGGGTAATGAGGACCAGTACATGTGGGTAATGAGGATCAGTAAGTTCAAGGTAGGTTGTGGATTGGTTGTGATAAATTTCAATTTATTGCACTCTTGGGTAACAATGAATGCAAAAATATAGGGGTTTATATTTTGGAATAGTCCCCATTTAAGGGTACTGCCCCATTTGCGGTATTTTGAAGGTCCTTGCTTCATTATCCAACCGAAGCACCTGTAATTTCGCATATCGAGTTTTCAGAGGATAGAATACCTACTCGCATATTAAATGCGCCCATGCTTCGAACACGTCCTCATAAAAAGGTCCCAATTTTTATAGTGGTCCTCATTACCCGACATTGAATATTTTTATTTAAAAATAAATATCGGCTTCAAAAATTAATAAAAATTAAAAATCGCCGAGTATAATTACGTATATTTTTGTTAAATAAAACAAGAAAACCACATAACTTCTTTATATTCGAGAAAAAACAAGTTTTCGATTATTTTGCAAAAACGTTCGACTATTGTGCTAAAAAATTTTCAAATCACACTTTTACAATCAGAGCTTATTTATTAAAAACCAAGTTTGATGTTTGTTTTCACTAATTAGGAAAACATTTGTCAAGGCGGCATTGACATATTTCAAGCATTGACATATTCTTAGATATGGGGGTGGGTCCACATTAGACGCCTGGTCCACATTACCCGAAGTTACCCTATAACCGCATTTTAGTGTCGAAATGTCTGTAAATTGGCATTCCTCGGAATCGGAATCCTGGTGAACTTCTTCAAAGAAAATCCCATACAAAGGTTCCACCTAATTTTTGGTGATATTTTTGGATTAAGTTCCTGGACCATGTTTCTAAACAGTTGTCTGTCAAGCTACTATCAGGCAATTTTCTATGACTATTTCTAATTTCTATTATTACCTATTTCTATTTACTAAACTATTTCCCCCTTTATTCGGAATTTAAGTCAGGCCACTGTGAAAATTAAAAATAGGTTAAAGCTTCAGGAAGCATTTACGATACCCTATCCAAAAATGCATACCAAAAAGTGGTAATCCTCGCCGTTTTCCTGCAGTGGAACATAACCTATTTCCCCCTTTATATGGAATTTAAATCAAGCCACTGTGAAAAACTTTCCACTGTATTGATGGTGCGGAGCTAGAGAGTGCATTTGCTGCTATTAAGTCCAACGCTGCTGGTTTAGATGGGTTTTCCCTCAAGTTTTTAAAGATTGTCTTCCGTCCGCTTTCTGTGCATTTTTTACATCTAGTTAACATGATATTAACTACATCTGTTTTTCCTACAGCTTGGAAATTAGCTAAAATTGTTCCTGTTAAGAAAAAGAGTGTTGTTGGTGGGCCTCAAGAATTTCGTCCGATTTCTATTTTGCCAATATGTTCCAAAGTTGTTGAGCATGTGTTGAAGTCTCAGATTATTTGTTACGTACACAACAATGGTTTGTTGAATGATGTTCAATGTGGCTTCAGAAGGAATAGAAGTACTGCATCGCTTTTACTGGGACTGACGGATAGCATTCGTGTTAGTTTAGACAATACCAGGTTTTGCGTTCTCTTGTCGCTTGACTTGGAAAAGGCGTTTGATAGGGTCGATCATTCTAAGTTGGTTCGTAAGTTGCAATCGTTGTATAAGTTTTCAAGAAGCGCGAGTTATCTTTTGGCGTCGTATTTATCTTGCAGAGAGCAGTTGGTTTGTGCTGAAAATAGATGTAGTTCTATTTTACCTGTTAAAAGTGGTGTGCCTCAGGGGTCGGTTTTGGGGCCGCTACTTTTTATTTTATTTCTTAATGATCTTTTTTCAGAGCTGAGTTTTTTTTGTGAACCATTTGCTTTTGCTGATGATGTTCAGTTGTTATTCAAAGGAGACTGTCGTTTTGCATCAGTGTTTCAGTCAATGATGGATTGTGCCATGAAGGTTTTATACGGCTGGGTAACTAGAAACTCTCTTTGTGTTAACTCTTCGAAAACAAAAGCGCTTTTTTTTAGTTCGTTTAGTAATAGTTTTGTATCTGTTGTTTATGATGGTAGATATATTGAATTTGTCTCCGAATTGCTGTGCCTTGGGGTGGTCATTGATGATAAATTGAGTTTTGGAAGTCACATTAATATGATTGCATCCCAGATGAATTCATCCCTTCGGGGTCTTTATGCCACGGATTTAGCTGTGCCATTTTTTCTTAGGAAACGATTGGCTTTTGCATTGGTTTTGCCCGCTTTTCTTTACTGTTTGGAAGTTTACTCCGGTTCTAGTTCCTTTAATATGCGTCTCATTCAGTTGGCTGTCAACAGAGTTATCCGGTATGTGTATAGATTGAATACCCGTGCCCATGTCACGCCATATGTAATTGACTTCTTTGGTTGTTCTTTTCATTCTTATGTTGATTCACGTTTGCTACTTAATTTTTTTAAAATGGTTAAGAATCAGTGTCCCCAATTTTTGGTAAGAACATTTGTTTTTTGCTCGTCTACTAGGCGCAATCAGCTACAGATTCCTGTTGTACACCATCGAATGAATGATTCGTTTTTAGTTCGTGTTGCGCGGCTGTACAACGCCTTACCCATTGAATTAAAAAATTTCAGTATTACCCCGATCACGTTTTATAAAAGGCTTGTTCGTCACCTTGTATGATAATTCTTTTCCAATTGCACATTTGTATGGCGAGTATAAAGTGCCATAGGTAAAATATATATTATAGATATTTTTTAAGAACTCTTTATGTATAGAATTTTAGTTTTAGATTTTTTTATGGATTTAGTTTGGACATGTCTGAAATGTCCCTTTGTTGGAGTAGTTAATTCATATTGTTAATCATAATGTATCATCTTATTTGGCCTGAAGGCTTTGTATACATGTTATTGTTGAATAAAAATTAAATTAATTAAATTAAAATTAAAAATAGGTTCGAGCTTCAGAAAAGCATTTTCGATACCCTTTCAAAACCAAAATGATGGGATTCTCGCCGATTTCCTACAGGGGGAGCAAACCTATTTTCCCAGTAGTAGAAAGATTAAATTTATTTTCGCGGATATATTTTTAATGCACAGACATTGTGGAGGATTACAAAAATTCGCCCAATTCAACCCTTTTTACTTGTTTATGTTCCAACAAATTGTAAATTTTTCCCAATTTCTGGAACTAAAACACCTATTTAACAACAGGAAAGGCAAATCTGAAAATATAATTTATTATTTTTTTATTTTTTTGTCATTACTTACCAGTGTCATAATATCATTGGCTAAGTCTCGTGATAAATCTGGTGATATAAAACAGCTAAGACCACTTAATGCCACACCGGCATCATATTGATTTTGGGAATTTAAATCTTTTCGTATCATGTTTGTGGTTAACATCAATAGCTAGAAAGAAAAACATCAGGGAACAAAAAAAGAAGGTAAATATTTTAATAAATTGTCTGCTATCTTAGAGAATAGACTGAGCATTAAAAGATTTATTGCCAAAAGCATTAATTTAATGTTGATTTTGTGTGTACACAATCGAATGCTTGCTAGCATGCTACTACATACCTCACTATCAGGATGAAAACATTGACTGGCAGCCAAATAACCGATACGTTTACAAGTGAAGCGTGAGGAACTCATTACTTCGATGATGTTAAAGCCAGCCCACGATATATCATAGCCAAGCATTTGTATCTGTAAAGAAGAAAAAGAGAAACAATAGGAATTAGTCAATGTGGACGAGAGGGGGTGTGTGCGGTAAATAGAAGTAAAGTTAAAATTGTAAATACTTGAAATTTTGGGTGTTGGAAAATACTCTTTTTTAAATTGGCTGGAAAATAAATGTGGCGTACAATAAGAAAATAAAACAAAAACAATCAATGACAAATTTAAAGAATATAATTAAGTGTCCTTGTTGGTACAAATATAATGTCGAAGAAGATATATTACATGTGCCATGTTTGAGGGGGAGATGGACATTTTTAGAATATAAATTAAACTCAATTAAATTGAAATATAGATGTAATTTTCAAAATAAAATTACAATTCGAAATTTAAAACGGATGTATTAAAATAATTAAATACTCTCAGAGCAGGTTAGAAAATAGACTAAAATAAAACTGAATCATATATGATTTGTCCTACATCACTACACATATATGTACATATGATATACATTACATTGGTGGTCATAACATATGCAACTGAAAATTACTGTATGGAAATATTTTGTAATCTTTTTATTTAAAGTTAAAAAATATTTAAACGTGTTTTTTTACGTTTTAGGTTCAATTGAAACTGTGATTGTAATTTCCAAACATTTTTAATATTTTGCTTTTAAATTTATTAATATAATGGTTAACAGTCGTATAATTGCCCACAAATGCGTTTTATTAACCCCAATCAGAATTTATCGCGAGTCATTTCTATTGAGTTGTATTATATTAAAGGCGTTCGGGCGGAATTTATAAATCAACTCCAATTTGTCTGAAACGGATTTGATCCGAAGAAACATGAGGTATAAAAGCAATATTTCGATGAGGACCATTTTTGCCGTATCAAAGTGTATATACTTACCCTCATTAGCTTTATAGCTGAGGGTAGAAAGAGGAAAATTGTGGATTTTTATACCCTTCACCACACTGTGGTACATGGTATTATGTCTTTGTGCAGACACATGGTTTCCTTTGAGAATGTGCATAGAATCACTTTCTAAGTCGATTTATGCATGTCCGTCCGTCTGTCTGTCCATGTTAAATTGTAAACAAAGTACATGTCACATTTAGGATCCGAATTGGATGAAATTTGGCACAGCTCGTCTACTTGGCCCAAGGACGAATTGAAATTGGGAAAATCGGTTCAGATTTAGATATAGCCCCCATACATATTTTCGTCCGATATATATCTTCCGATTTGCATGCAATTTGGTATAGAGTACGAAATTGAGTCTAGAATGATGTGTGCAAAGTTTCGTGAAAATTAGTTTATATTTAGATACAATTCCCATATATATTTTCGTCCGATTTAAAGTAAATGGTGCACCAAAGTCCTATATATCTTTTGATTTGCATAAAATTTTGCACAGCGTACTGAATTAAGTATAGAATGATGTGTGCTAAGTTTCGTCAAAATCGGTTCAGATTTACATATAGCTCCCATATAGTTTCGCCCGATTTTAGGTAAATGGTGCACTATGTTGCATCAGACGAATCGTTTTTCTAAATTTCAGTTTTCCAGATCTATTGGTTCATCCAAATCCAAATTGTACCAATTATAGTACGTTTTAGTACTTTTCGTAAACATAAGTAATAAATTTCCTAATCCTACACTCCGATGGCAATGTTAATTTTAAATTCCAGTTTCATTCGTACCTTCAAATAGAAATTGTACCAAATATAGTACCATATAGTAATTTTCGTATACATGAGTACACACTTCCAAAACCACCTCTTCTTATCGACCCTGCTTTTCAACCTTGATTCGCATTCCAAATTTCAAGCTTATAGCTCTATCCGGTCACATACTAAGATATTGTATCAAATTTAGTACATTTTAGTACTTTTCGGATACTTATAGTTCGAAAGTCCAAAAAAAAACTTTTTCCTACATCTATTCTATACTCCATCAGTCCTCCTCATATAAAAAAAGTTCTAGCTCTTCCATTTCTAATATAACTATGTCGAGTCATGTCCGTCTGTATATCGTTTGAACCCACAATAGAGTTCTTAGGAGTTAAGATAAAGATTCAACATTTTCTTGGGATTCTTGAAGGGCAAATAAAATATCAAAAATTTAGTGGAAGTTCCTATTCAACCGGTACTCCACAATTTTGGGTATTTTCAGGTATTTGGACGTGTATTTTGGAATAGGCTCTAAATTTAACATTTTAAATTCCTAACAAAAATTATCAATATTAGTTGACGTATAGGTGTTGCCTCCTATATAACGTTATGACCTATTTTCCGGTATTTCGAAGTATGCACACGGCGATTCCGACCTAGTCTTCTCAGGAAGATTGTTGAGACTCTAACGAAGAAATTGTGAACCTTGATGACTCCGGCAGGTACTGTATCGGCACATGCCGACAATAAATTTTAGAGGCAGATTGCAACTGTATCGATGTTCTAAGACACTATAAACCTGCCGTATCTTATTTTCGCAAATTCGGAGAGGAGCATCTACCTCATCAAGGGTAATCTGAAAATCGCAAGGAAGTTCGAAAGGGGCTGTATTACGTAAGCAGATTTATTGCAATTATTTATCCCCCCTCCCTCTTATCAAAAGTAAGTATAGCTTAAAGTAAAAGTAAGCAAAGCAAAGACTTCTCCGCCGGAGTCCCATTTCGAAGTGAGAGATCTAATCTTGCAGTGAACTGTTATGATCCCCACAATGATTTTGATCTCTCTCTTATATTCTGCCTAATTAGACAGAAATTTCCCACCAACCAGCAAGACTACATCATCGACATAGGCTACAACCTTAATCTTAAGATGATCGAACTTCAACAGTATCTCATTTATCACCAGAAGCAACAGAAGGGGAGATAGTATTCCCCCTGTTGTTGTTGCAGCAGCCTATTGCTTTTACTCAATGGGCTGAGTTGACAGACGTTGGCCGAGAAAGACTGGGATCGTTTCGGATCTTAGACCCCTCTGTCGTGGAAATGTTTCCCCCTGTGGTGTGCCTCTGTTGACAGATTTCCTCACGCACCTCTCTCTCTTCTGCTTTCCAGCATTCTATCAATCCAGTATGTTAGAAGTGAGGGAATATCTGAGCTTACGAGAGCAGAATGGATGGCTTTTAGCTTCACATTGTTAAAGCCTCCTCTATGTCCAGGAATGCTGCCAAAGTGTAGCCAGAGGACTCCATATTCTTCTCGATGGATCCAACCACTTCAAGTAAGGCTTTATCTGATTTGCCTTTGGGAGTTTGCATGCTGGGAGTTTGCTATGTTTGCTTTTATAAGTAGCATTTCTTTTTTCTGAGTCTAGTAACCTTGCTAAAGTCTTGAATAGAAAGGAAGAGAGACTAGATGATCTATAGTCTTTTGGTAACGTATGACTCGGCTTCCCGGCTTTCGGGATGAAGGTCACTGTAATACTTGAACGGCCCCAAAGAACCTACCCACAAGCTTTCCATCGCGACCTCGAGGTGAAAGGATGTTCCTTTCGAATCAAACAATTGCTTGACCCGAAACCTCAATAGAATCCCCGGAAACGAGTAGTAGTGGCAGCGATGTCGTCAGCCTTTTAGGTGTGGATTCGATATCTGTTCCGAAGCCTAACCCAAGACAAAAGTACTAGAAAATGACATTTAAGGGGTACCCCAAACTAAATGACACTCATAGGGATGATCGACTGGCGAATGACTCTGCCGATTCTGTGCCGCTGACAATCTGGATCAAGTCAGCTAGTCTAAGACAGAAAAGGACCCTCCAACATCTATAGAATTTTTTTCACAGTTTTGATATTTTTTAATTATTTTAGAATTCAGAAGCATTCTGAATTTTTAGAATAGGAAGATGGTCAAGTCAGGTAGTCTAAGACCGAAAAAGTTTTTAATCTATTCCAAATACAATGTATTGATTTTTTATAGATTGTTTGTCCTTTAAATTTACAATTCATTTTTTTAACTTTTCCTTTCAGTTTAACCGCCACCCACTTCAAAACATTGTTATAGTGGCAACATAATTATTTCGAACCACTTCTATTTTCCATACACTGCCTATTAAATTCTAATTGCTGTACCGTTTTACGACGATGATGATGATGACGAGGGCGATAGAGTCCTTTTTTATTTCCATCATCATACTTGTAGTGTATGGTGAATGAGTGTTGCTGTTTTTTTTTTATTTTTTTGTAATTATCTTGAAGAGCTTTCTCTTTCAGCGTGCTGTGTTCTTAATAAAAACGGCTTTGATGTGGATGGAGGAAAATTTGTGGTGGTGGTGGTCTCTTCCTATTACATGGACATGCTTGAAAGTAGGTTGTGTGTGTGGTGTTTTAGATATGAACGAGGTAAATGTATTTAGTAAAATGCTATGTCATGGTATAATAATTGGGTTTGATGTTGTGCACGACAGCCGTATGATGCTGTTGTGATTAATGAATCAATCAATTCCATTAACTTACATAAGTCAATTTGGCCACTGCATTGCATTTAACATTGATATTATCCTGTCGCAATTCTTGTTTGATTTCTTCAATGCACTGGGAGATGTATTTGGCCTGAAAAATAGACAAGAAACTTGATTATTAAAGATTAAATGTATTTTTAAATAAAAAGATCTTAAATTAAAAAAAAATAATTTATTGTTATTTACATAAATACGTTCAATTGTAATTTAATTGTTGCCATATATAATAATAGATTAATGAATGGGGGTATCCATGATGTTTTTTGATATGTTCAACTTTTCTCTGCACTTCGTGGAAACCTTGGGGATCTTCGGATCTCCCGTGAACCAAAATGGATCCGGGAGGTGCCCTTGAATTAATAAATCACGATGGAAAAAGGAGTAAAACCAATAAAGTTACGGTGCAGGGAGTTAATAACCCAGTACCGGCGGCCAATCACAAGCCACGTGTCGTCGAGATCAAGCGATTGTGATCCGGCTGTTCTAGGTGTGGATGCCTTGGCACCTGTAGCTGTATCTGACAGCGGCTCAAATGATGGGAAGGCCCAAGAAGTAGCTGATGCGAAGCACTACAAACGTGCTGTTTCGTATCAAGGGCAAGGTGAGATTCGTAAGGATGTTCGAAATAATATATCCGCACGCTCTCCAACGTGAACTCCAGATGGATAGGATCTCCCTCCCGAATCTAACTGTTCTAAGTGTTCGAGTGAAGTAGTGGAATCGGCGAAGCCCACTGTCTCTGACAAAGGTCTCTGACAAAGTCAAAAGACAAAGGAAAAGGCTACTGAGAACATTGCGACACAAAATGTCATCCATAAGGGGATCAACGTGTGGAGGGCTCTGTCTCAAAGCCCGATTCTACGCCTAGCGACAAAGGTGAAGCGGTTGTTGCTATTTATTGGCAAAGCCGGAAAATCCGGCAAGGAACCATCGAACCCAAAGCCGGGAAAATCCACAGAGCAAATCAGTGAAGCGCATCCCCTCATCGGAAGGAATTGGCTATAATTTAATATTTTAAATTTTCATTGGATAGCAAATTGCCGTATAAACCATTGCCTCATGAAAGATAGCCATATAATAGTACAACCATTGTTCGGTATTTCGGTTCGGCTTTAATTTGTTTCTCATTGCGTGTCGAAATTTCCTATCAATGGGCCCCGAACGACAAAAAGTTCGACTTGACCAAACTTAACGAAATTTTTATCTATTTCGTACTAAAAGCTATAATAAACGATCGACTATTCTCTCGCTTTCATAGTTATTCAGCCGAAGGCATTGGACCCTATTATAAACACCCATTTTCTTCGTTTTTTTTCTTTCCTAAAAAGATATTACTATTTAATAGCATCTAATGTGAGTATGAAAAGAAAATTAAACGTCGTTCGTTAATTAACACTAGATTGCCGAAGGCAGTCATTTTGACCGTTTTTCAATTTCAAGTACAAAAACAATTGTGTATATTATGACCCAGCTATTTAAAATTTGGTGACTTTTTGTACCACATAGAACTACGTTTATTAATCATAGTAGCTTCTTCCTCCCCTCTTTCATTCCCCGTATTCACATGTGCTATACCTATATCGCCTAAAAGCGGTCATTTTGACCTTTTGTGAAATATTAAATAACTTAACTCGAGAGCCCTACCACCGAAAACAAATAATAACATCGTTTTGTATGATTGTAAATAATGTAAAAAATATTAAAAATATAAGTTTAAAAAAATTTCTTTACACAATAAAAATTCTTTCAGAATATCAGTCATTTTGACCGATTTTAGGCAATATAGGTATATAAAAAATTCCCGTCTTTCGTTATTTAATTACTATAATTAAGTATAACAAACAATAGCAATCGCTTATTATTTGATTGTATGTTTCTTTACATCCTTGTTAATATCATCGGGGATAAAAATGGGTTTTTATTCTCCCCTACAATAAATGTGGCAGATTACACCGTCACATATAACCGAAAATTCTATTGTTAGGCATGCAATTATAAGGAGGCGGAAGTAAAAAAAATCAGTTTCAGATAATCAATTTTTTATTTAACCATATAGGAACTTCTTCCTTTTATTTATAAAAATCAGTAAGGAAAATAGTAAAATCGGACTGGGCCAACCATTAGATACTCTTCACCACTTTGGTTATATCTACATATGTATCCTAACAGATGTCGCCTTTTCGTTAAATCTTTGTTAAATCACCTAATAAGCAAAAACACTCACTTACATTCAATTCGAAGTATTCGTTTTATATAATTCAAATATCACTGCCAGTACCGAGTGGGTTTTTGCTCATGATATTTGACTAATACTTTTGAATTTCAAATGCTAAAAAATTCTTGGTATTCAAAAACACTCACTACATTCAATTCGTTTTGAATTTCAAATTTCACTGTTTGGTATTCGAAGTATTTGTTTTGAATTTCAAATGAGAACGTTTGGTATTCGAAGTATTCGTTTTGAATTTCAAATGCTAATTCTTGGTATTCAAACTAACCGTTTTGAATTTCAAATTTCACTGTTTGGTATTCGAAGTATTTGTTTTGAATTTCAAATGCCACTGTTTGGTATTAAAAGTATTCGTTTTGAATTTCAAATCCCAATGTTTGGTATTCGAAGTATTCGTTTTGAGTTTCAAATGACACTGTTTGGTATTCGAAGTACTCGTTTTGAGATAAAACAGGTAGAGGAAAATTTGCGAGTTAAGGTTTTAAGTGAACAGTAACAATTTGGTTTTCGTGAAATTGACCCAAGCCAATTGTCTTCGACAAAGGAGAAGCACGAAGGATTTAATTAACCTCACTAAACGCAGTCGAATGTTATCCTCACTAAACGTATTCGAATGTTAAGAGTCGATGATTCCGTTTCTCAAATTTTCACCATTCCACACAATCAGAATGGAGAAAAATAATCAATGTTCCACCATATAAAAAAAATTGTACAAACAAAATATACATATTGCCATTAGATTTTTATTGGAAGTTATTTTGAATCTTTGGTTCTTCATTAATTACAACTTTCAATTTTTAAAGCGTTACCGGTATTTCCCCCCAAAAATATATCTATGATATTGTCGTCAATGAACTGTAGCATACTGACAAGATACATTCATAAAACTGAACATTATGATATGAAAGCATAATAAAATTGATGACAATAGGAAGGAGGTTAAATGTTAAACAGCAAGTGAAAAAAATAACGAATAAACATTGATAAGAAGAGTCAACGAAGAACGTGAGTATATTTCATGCTACCTACCATATAATAATAACACTCAATATATTTATAGTATATACAGTCATATATATATTGTATGTGAGCACTCCTCACACACACTGGTAAATTTACTAAGGATGAAACAAATGGAAACAACAATATTCAATAAATTCCATCATCATATCGCTGCTTCTTGCTGTTAGCAAGAGTAGAATATTTTTGTAGATATGTGTTCAATGAAATTCGTGGTACATTTATTTTTTGTATATACAACAAATTGTATTTGTAGAAAATCAGCAAAAAGTAAATAGATATATGCATGTAGGTGTACGGCGATTTTAATCCTGTAGTTGGGGACATCATTAAATTGCTTAACATTCATGGAGTCCAACAAAATATTAATAGTTTATAGGGATAACGAACTATCTTGGTGTGCTGATAGTTTTTAGCAAACACACATCGCCAAAGTTTGAACCACATTCTACACAGCATCAAAATAAAGTCTGCAGCCAAGGCAAACCCGAGCAATGGCTTTCATTGGCTTTAACATGACCAAGCCCAGGCTTATCTTGGCCCCTCTTTCATCTTTATTGTGGCCACTGAAATCACAGCGGTTTCACCTGGGGTCACTACTTTCTTCATCCGTTGAAATATTGAGCTGATATGTGCGCGATTTCACCCATAAGGACTATAAAAAAAACAAGTAAAAAAGTGTCAGTCGATGTTGCCGACATTACCGACATCCGCAAACCAGCCTATGGTTTGCGGAGGTCTTCGGAATTACACACAGATTTTATTATTAGTTTTATATAAGAAATATGTTTTTAACAAATAGGTTTCGGATTTAATGTTGATAAAATTTTATAAAATATTGACCATTTGTGAGGGAGGTGCCGAAAGGAGTGGACTACTGGGTCCCATCTTCGAAATTGATGTAGGGTTGGTAAAGATAATAGGTTGGGCAAGGTTTGGTTGAAATATCACATTCCATTCGCCTCATTTGGCATTTATATATATGGAAAATTTTGACCATTCGTGGGGGAGTTACCAGAAAGAGTGGGTGTATAGCTATCGTATGAACTAGGATAAAGCCAATCGGTGAAGATCTTCCTTATTTTTATACCCTCCACCATAGTATGGAGGGTATATTAGTTTTGTTTTTCCGTTTGTAACGCATCGAAATAATCATTTCCGACCCTATAAAGTATATATATTCTTGATCAGCGTAAAATTCTAAGACGATCTAAGCATGTCCGTCTGTCCGTCCGTCTGTTGTAATCACTCTAGCGTCTAAACGAGTTGAGTTAGATCGCCAAAATTTTACACAGAGTCGTCTTTTGTCTGCAGGCAGGTCAAGTTCGAAGATGGGATATATCGGTCCACGTTTAGGCATAGCTCCCATATAAGGGTACCCTCCAATTTTCCGTATTTTGGGGTTCTTGAGCGCGTCTTTCAACCGAATTCGCTGAAATTTGGTATATTGAGTTGCTATTGGGTACCCAATTTCTCCACAAAAAATTATACATATAGATCCATTTTTTCTGGTAGCCCCCATATAACGGTACCCTCTAATTTTTAGTATTTTGGGGGTTTTATCGTCGTTTTCAACCGAATTGGCTGTAATTTAGTACTTTGAGTTCTTATTGGGTACCAAATCACTCCACTAAAAATTATAAATATAGGTCCATTTTTTCTGGTAGCCCCCATATAAGGGTACCCCCGAAATGTCGGTATTTTGGGGTTCTTGAGTGCGTTTTTCAACCGAATTAGCTGAAATTTGGTACATTTGGTTCCTATTAGGTGCCAAATATCTCCACCAAAAACTATAAATATAGGTCCAATTTTTCTGGTAGCCCCCATATAAGGGTACCCCCAATTTTCGCTATTTTGAGGTTCTTGAGCACGAAATTTGGTATTTTGTAGTCGAATATGGTAACAAATTTCTCTACAAAAATTTTTTAATATGCACCCCCTTTTTGGGGTGGTCCCCATATAACCCCTTTTCATATTAAAATAGTTATGCAATTTGTTCCGCGTTTTGGGTTTGGTTCTAAGACTATGTTGTAACTATATTACCTATATAGGATATCGAGATAAAAACTAGAACGTAAGGTTCGATAATGAACGTAAGGTTCGATAATATATGAACTATAACCCGTATTTAAACCTAGCCTCTGTGTGGGAGGTACCAGAAGGAGTGGACCGATATTCCCCATCTTCGAATTTGAACTAAGTTTGGAAGAAATAATAAGATTGGCAAAGTTTGAATGAAATGTAAATTTTCTGAAACGGATTTGATCCAAAGAAACATGGGGTCTAGAACCAATATTTCGATGAGGCACATTTTCACGGTGTAAAGTGTATACACCCTCATTAGCCATAAGGCTGGGGTATAATTATCCATAAAAAATTTCTGAAATTTGTATTATAGTTTACATAGAAATGTCGGTATAGGTCAACTTTTTGGTATGTTCCCCATATTTTCATTTCTAGTACCTGTCAGTATATCTATGGTGGAGGGTATCCAAAGTTTGGCCCGGCCGAACTTAACGCTTATTCACTTGTTTAACTTGGTTTTTGGTCAAAATTCGTCGATTTTTCAAAAATATTTTTTCAAAGGTCCACCATTTTGTTAATTTTAGAGCGAAGTCAATAATCCTAGTTCATACGAGAGCCCGACATGTACTCTTTCTAACACCGTTGGAATTTTCGGATTCCGACATTTCGAGACCTTTCAACTGATGTGGGTATCAATACTGCATCCATTTTAGTTTTTGCGCAATATGGCGTTTTCTACACAGAGTCCCCACTGTCACTGAGACTTGCAAGGAAAATCGAGAAAGTCCGTTAGGCGAAAGTTTGTTTTTCGGCATAGGGTGTATATATTCTGAAAGTACATTTCGAGACCTTTCAATTGATGTGCGTATCAATACTGCATCCATTTTAGTTTTTGCGCAATATGGCGTTTTCTACACAGAGTCCCCACTGTCACTGAGACTTGCAAGGAAAATCGAGAAAGTCCGTTAGGCGAAAATTCACTCCAGTAGATTAGAGAATTGCTTTAATCCGTATAAAAGCGAAGTTCTTCTACACCAGTCTTATTTGCACCCATGCTACGACGGAAGACAAAGATGAACAGACCAAAGATATATTTTACGGGCGCCTAGAACAGCAGTACGGGAACAGACCAATTGCCCACGTTCCTCAATATAGGAGTGTAAACCATTCCGGTGTATTCTCTACACTGCTGTGTCGCTTCCTTAGCGTACAATACTGCAACCGATCAAGATATTCCACGCCATCTGTGTCAGCTTTGTCAATGGTCATCTGGTATCATCCTCATTTAATGCTACTGGAAAAATGCAAGACCACAGGCTGAGCTGCTTTCGTCAACAAAGGCTTATTGTACGCGAAGTACTAGGTATTCGGTCAATCTGAAGTTCCCTTAATGATAGTTCTTTTCGTATTTCCTCACGACCTTTAAATACTTCTTTATCCAACTGAACTCCTTCTCGCTGAGCATGTTGGGCTCCACATCTATGTACAGCTGACAATAACAAATTGCCCTTCAACACGCCTTTCTACCCATCACTTATTTTGACTTGCCACATTTGGGTGCCGGAACCGACAACTAGTGTCCACTTTTAACTTTTATCCCTTCAGTAGCCATTTGTCTCAGCTGGGTTCCACTTCGAAGGAGCCCGCGTCTGAAATATTTGATATCCCCTGTCGATTTGAGGGTAGAGTGCTGACAGGAACATCAGCATCAATCTCCTCATTTAACATACTTCTGCAGTCACTTACACGACTTTCAGAAGCAAAATCAAACTTTAAATGTTAAATAAATAAAAAACAATTACATTTTTTACAATTCTACCTTTATACTTTTTTGTAGAACTTTAGGAGTACTATCAGTGGTAAAAAAATTTGAGAGCCTCCGGTTTTGAACTTTTGAGATAAAAGCCACAAAAGAGCGGTCACTCACGCGACTTCAAATGTACATGACTTTAGACATCAGACCAATTGCCCACGTTCCTCAATATAGGAGTGTAAACCATTCCGGTGTATTCTCTACACTGCTGTGTCGCTTCCTGAGCGTACAATACTGCAACCGCCATCTGTGTCAGCTTTGTCAATGGTCATCTGGTATCATCTTCCTTTAATGCTACTGGAAAAATACAAGACCACAGGCTGAGCTGCTTTCGTCAACAAAGGCTTATTGTACGCGAAGTACTAGGTATTCGGTCAATCTGAAGTTCCCTTAAGGATAGTTCTTTTCGTATTTCTTACATTTTGGTGCCGGAACCGACAACTAGTGTCCACTTTTAACTTTTATCCCTTCAGTAGCCATTTGTCTCAGCAGGGTTCCACTTCGAAGGAGCCCGCGTCTGTAATATTTGATATCCCCTGTCGATTTGAGGGTAGAGTGCTGACAGGAACATCAGCATCAATCTCCTCATTTAACATACTTCCGCAGTCACTTACACGACTTTCAGAGGAAAAATCAAACTTTAAATGTTAAATAAATAAAAAACAATTACTTTTTTTACAATTCTACCTTTATACTTTTTTGTAGAACTTTAGGAGTACTATCAGTGGTAAAAAAAATTGAGAGCCTCCGGTTTTGAACTTTTGAGATAAAAGCCACAAAAGAGCGGTCACTCACGCGACTTCAAATATACATGACTTTAGACATAATTGCTAATAATGGGAAAACTCTGCGAATTGTGTGAATATTTTGAACTTTTAATATTCTTTACATGAATAAGAGATATAAAGCATTATTATTGCACTTTCAAAATTTCGAAATTTGGCATATCCTTTATTTGCGAAGGATTTTTCTCGGTCACTAACGCGACGTAACTCACGCAACATTGTTGATTTTGCAGTTTTTATTTCTGCAGTGTTTGCATTTATAGTCATTAAATTAGTATTTATGGTAAGAACAAGAAGAAAAAATCACAAATGTGGACTTTCTTTGTAATTTTTGTCGTTACTTTACGTATTTAAGCCCAATTAAAGAAACAAATTCTTCGACTTTTGTTTACCTTTTTGCGGAAGTGCCCATATGCTCTCCTTGGCTTAGGCAGAAGCTGTCGTCTTCCTCAGTGAGGCTGTCAATGAAACGCAAAGTCGTTCCCTCCCGAAGTTGGCATCCGTTGCGATTTGCGTGATCATGTACTCATTGATTTGGGTTTATGGTATGGCAAGAACTTGGTAACTGAACCTATTACTCCTTGCTGCACCCGGATATCGACGAAGTTCCGTTCGAATACAGACGGAAACCTGACTGCAAACCATATGCAATGATGGGTACAACTTCTAATAACACTCCAGCACTCTATCACTATCTACTATCCTCCCCTTCCGTTTTTTTTTTCAATTCATTTAATTTTCTTTTTCAGATACCTGAACATAATGTGTCCGAGTGAAGAAGCTGCTAGACAACTGGTGACTGCACAACATTTAACCAAACTAACCTCGATAGAAAGATAATTTTCTTTTAACATCATACATAAATTATGCTCAAAGATTTACATTCTCAGATGTTTCAAATCAAATCGAGATAATTCAGATAATGTCGAGATAAAAACATTATTCCATATGAAAAGGTCATTGAACCTTGACTACAATTCAAAAGAATTTGGTTATTACAAGTTTAATTAACTTGGATATTACAAAAAACAAATTTAATTAATAAAAATAATACATTTCTTCCCTACTTTTTGACTCCAAAAAAACGTCTAAAAATCCATTGTAATTTTGGTGAAATGCTGTTTTTACAACATTCACCCAGTAAATGAAAGTAAACAGCTGTTTAATGTAGATTTCCCACATAAGGTGTGTGTGTTGGGTGGGGGAGAAATATGAAAAGAGGGTCAAATTTTACCATCATCATACCAAACGAAATTTCACAGCAAGAAAAAAATGTAACGCTGTACAATGTGATAAGCCAGTAACAAAATACGGCAATGGATGACAAATTAGCATGTTCAACTTTGCTTTGTTATCGCGCATTCATAAACCTACAACCGGAACATCGTTTGATATACAACTACTACAATAAAATAAATAATGAAAAATTATTAAAAAAAAATAATTAATTTTCACACATACCTCATTATCCTTATTATTACGTATACCTCGCACCAGATCGGTGAGATTTTTATCAAACATACGTTCGAAATTGCCTTTAACTTTTTTCAAAGCCATTATGACGAATGCAGTTATCTATCGGTGATGAGATTAAACAACAACTTCGACGACTACGACGGCTACCACGACCAACTATTACGACCGAATACCAAATATGATAATAAACACAAACGTATTTTGGAAAATTCACAAATACTTTTTCCACTTGAATTTTCCGTTTTCGATTTCTTTTTTTTTTTCTCTCTTGTATTTGTGTGTATTTTTTTACCGTAATTTTTCTCGCTTTTCCGTGTGTGTGTGTTTGTGTTACAACAAGAACAATCAACCAACAACGGCCACTACCAAACAACAAATGTATGTGGCTGTGGATAGAGCAACGCCAGCGAGCCACCAAGAAGTGCAAAGAAACAGCAAAGCAAAACAGCTTTGATGATGTCGACAGATTTTCGCGATTTTTTTATGAATTGATTTTTTTTTCTCTTCTTCTGCACTGGTGATGAATGCACCTTCACTTTTTCATTTGAATATTTCTATGCATTAATATTTATTTATTTCTAATAAATTTATTATTTTATTTTTGTATTTTGCACTTTAGTGGGTTTTCTTAACTGTATTTAGTTAATATTTTTAACATTTTTTCTCAATTAAATTAAAGCGAAAAATGTATAGAAATGAAATGGTTGAGATGATTTTTTCAAGAGTTTATTTAGAGTTCTATAAATCGACATTTGGATTAATCGAATAATCGGCTGGTGAGTACAAAGACAGCGGTAGATATTGTACGCCGTTTTGTACAATCAATGTGGCATGTAGAATGTACGGGATTAAATGTACGGGGCACATAACAATTTGAGGATTTCGTTAACTCAGTGGGTTAAATTTTCAATTCCATTCTTCATGAATTAAACTCCTTGTACATTAGAACTTTTTACCGGGTTAACCTACTTTATGAGGATTTATTTGGCATATATGCAAAGGAAATGACAATTGAAACCCACTGGGTTAACGAAATCCGGATAAATGTAAACGTACTGTTACAATTTCTAATTTTTGAACTGGGAGGTTTACATTGGAATAGTGATTTTGTGTTGTCTTCTAACACTAGCAGGTTAAAATTAGTTTTGCTGTAAAAATTTGTAAAAAAAATGTAAAAATATTAAACGATAATATACCTTCAGACTTCCTAATTCCATCTATTGAAATAAATGTTCCTTTTCGATCCAGTAGATATTATCCACTATTATACGTAGATTTTCATCGTACTAATTATTCGATGGGAGATACACTTATAAACTTATAAAATATAATATAATTCTATTTTCAAATGAGTAATGCAACTTAATAACGAACTGTCAACAGCCAGTTGTTGTTGTTGTTGTAGAAGCTCTATTGATTTTACACAATGACCAACTGCCAGTAGATTCTGTAGCTGGCTTTCTATTCCATTCTCATATTCCACCATAATGGGGATGCAGATTTAGACGTGAGCCTCTACGTTTCCTCTGAGACTCTTCCCATTTTTTGCGTATATGCCCACCCTTAGAACGATTTTGAACGATAAAACACTCTTTTACAGTGCTACTTAAGGATATAACTGCGATCCGTAGCATAGCTGAATACTATCGGATGCGTCCACAGATTGCTGATAATGGAACGTCCAATATTGTTCATTCGGTAGCTGTAAATTGAATAAAAAGTCGCGGACATTCAGTGGGTTCGGAGGGTCTCGGTGGGAATTACCAAATACCAATGATCTTCTGGACCGACATGGCAAAGTGTTTTGGCGCCCTTATAAGTTCTCTGGGTCGATTCTAGACCTTAAATATAAATATCGTGTGGCTATCGAGAACATAGGACAACCGATTGTTGATTTTGTTATTTAAATCTTTTGTACCCATCATCACTTCGGGGGTTGCGGTTCGGAGTACTACCTAACTTGCCAAACTTGATTCTGCACCAAATTTTTAATTATATTATTTTTGCGGACCTACAAAGTTAAAAGCGTAGTTTTTTGGGTTATATTTTTAAAAAAATAAAGTCGTTTTAAATCCCATTTGAAAGTGAAATATTTTTATATGCATATATTTTTTTGTTAAAAAATGTTTCTCCATTAGGATTAGATAATATAATCATTGGTATTTTTTTATTTTTGTTGTTTAAATACAATTAATATTTATAAAAACATATTTTTTTTTGTTAACTAAATAAACGGTAAAACTAATAAAATGAAAACTTATAAAGGAAATCATCATATAAATATTTTTTTTTGATGGATGTTTACTATACATATTTTTTGACTAATATATTTATCCAATTTTAACAAGAACTAGTAAAATAAAAAAAAAATGATTTTGGTTTCCTATGGTACTAAATTATACCAATTTTCAAAATGAAATGAAAAATAATGTTGCCCTTAAATAAAAAAATAAAATATAACTGGTATTTGTTAAGTTTCCAAAATTAACAAAAAAAAAAAACTTAACACATAGTAATTGCTACCAAAAAGAAAATTTAAATACAAACTTATCATATAAATAGGTTTACATATAGAAAGTTGTTGTTAGTGGGTTTATTTTTGTTGTTTATCTTTTTTTGTTTTTTCTCTTTATGCTCTTAATTAAAAATTTAAATTTTTCCAAATTAATGAAAAACAATTAACAACTCAACAACAGGAGGATTTCTCTGCCTCGGCCACAACCAAATTAAAATCATGACTATTTGGTCGGGCAAAACCAGTTTTTATGCCATCCCAACCATCTTCAACTTTATATTCACCGGAACGTATGCGGGCATAAACTTCTTGGGTGACCATACGAAATGCTTCTTCGACATTCAAACCTGTTCGGGCCGATGTCTCAACAAAATGCAAACCATGCTGTTTGGCAAATGCTTGTGCCTCCTCAAAAGAGACTTCCCGTTGACCGCCAGCATTTACTAGATCTAGCTTACAGCCAACTAATGCAAAGACCGGACGATGTGGTTCAATGTGTCGTTGCGCCTCCATCATCCACAGCGGTATATGCTCGAAACTGGCATGATTTGATATATCGTATACAAGTAGAACGCCAACTGAATTACGATAATAGGATTTTGTTATGGAACGAAAACGTTCCTGTCCGGCTGTATCCCAGAGTTGTAGTTTGATCTGTGTACCATCTTTCATTTCAATTAAACGGGCAAAAAAGTCCACACCCACTGTGGGATCGGAAAGCTATATGGAGGGAATAGAAAAAAGCAACATGATTAGAAAATCAAATTATGAGCAATGATTAAGAATTATTCAGGGGTTTCCAATATGAGGTGTTATTTTGCTAATCAAAGAAAATTTAATTTTTAATCGTATGACGGTAATAATGAGAAAAAATATCCCAAAAACACCAATACCAAATTGACTTCCTATGTCCGCGATAGCCACACAAATTCTACCTTTGAGATCTTAAATCGACGCAGGGCAGGGTTTTTCCATGGACAATTCTGAGAAGACTGAAAAACTTATTTAGTTGCCGAGGTAAAAACAAGTCTCCGTTCGAATAAAGTAGGCATTTTTGGCAAAATCTCCGTGGCCAATTCAGATCACCTCTTCGAAATTTCCAGTAGTTCAATATAGATTCCATACTACGACATTGCAAAGACTTAGCATCGATCGTCCCGTTTAAACTTTTTATAACCTCCACAATTTGGTGTATACTTAAAATACCAGTAATCGTTACGGACCTTTATAAATGGCGGGCTTTGTGGTGGTATATTTTTGATAGGTTGATTTGACACCCAAAATGAGAACCACAATAGAACCCATTCGGTATAAAAATGCATTCAAAATCCTCAAAAAAACGGGAGATAATATCCAATGAGTGTTTATTAGATTGATGGAGGTCCCGGGAAAGGTAGCCAATGTACGCGAGGAAGGAATTCGGTCGATCGGATTTTCCTTAAAACCCTTGTGGAGCCTGGTATCGATGAGGCTTTGTTCGAATACAGTCGGAACCCTGACTGTAAGCCATATACACTGATGGACAAGGGTTCACATAACACATCACCGTTAGGGAGTCATCCTTTAGGGAGGATACTGGGAACCCATAAGTTTGGTTTATTGTGGGGCGCTTAATCACTTCGCCTCGTCGGTCATTGGCATTTGGTAATTTCCTTCAAGACCTTCAAATCTCTTTGTTTATTCAAATCACAGGTATATAATATGCAGTATTGGCATTTCCACTATCCGCAACCTGTAGACCATCCAAATCCGATCAAATTAAAAAAAAAATCGAAAATGTGGAATGTCTCCGCCAGACAATAATATGGAGAGACTTCGCAACAATTGTTCTTGGGGTTTTTAGGAGCAACAAATGCGCCATCAAGCTTGTTCTCGTAACCACCAGATGAAAGTAGGCCTCATCAATCGAAATGATTTTCGAATCCCGGAATCCCTTTTATAGTTGCAATTTTCACCTGAAGTGGACATTTTCAGCTACCGACCGAAATTCCTTGATTTAAAACAACACCTCCTTTTGGACAACCCCCTTTATTATTGTCCCTGGCGGACTAGAACATTAAGCCTCAAAAAAAAAAAAAAATAGAACTCAAAGGACTTTAAAACCAGAATGGACATATTTCTAGTAGAATCTCAATGAGGTATCTTAACCCTCTTTTCCGCTTTTTTAACATTTTAAGACCTTATTTTGTATAACTCAACAAGTGTAATCATTGTTTCGAAATGTAAATAAACACAGCATCCCTTGCCACCATCTCAATATTACATAATGTAAACGAAACCGATCAGTCGGGGACTACAAACGATGAAAACACATAATGGATGGATTCCGATCAGAATACATTTGTTGCTTTGCACACTTTGTAAGTCTCGAATTATTACCCACCCCAAACACGCTACACCTCGACACCTCCTCACCCCTCTTTACAACTTACCTCTGCAAATTTTCCATCTGTGAAAAATTTCAATAGCGAACTTTTGCCCACCGTAGAATCGCCAATTAATATCAAACGAAATTGATAATCAAAAATAGGCTCCACCATGCTGAATATATATCTGGGATATTTGTATGGCCCACAAATAAAAAATCGGACACAAACGAAAGTGCTATAGCCTCTCCGCACCAAATACAACAATGGTAGGTAGTACAAAAGAATTTTATTAGTTCGTAGCTTTTGTTTTTGTCTTATGCGTAGTTTAGTTTTTTTCTTCGTTCGTAGACAACAAAAGACTTGCAACCACTTTTTTACTGTGACATTTTTTTGGATTTGTAATGGTTTCTAATTACCGCGATGCTGCTGAGCAGGTGGTATTTCGAACTGTCTATCAAAATAATTAGATTTGCAATCTTTTTTTTTCTCAATTAATGTTTGTTTTCTTTCCTTTTTATGTCGTTGAAAATAGAGTGTTGTATAGTTGTTTTTGTTAATTATTGATAAAAAAGTGTTAGGGATCCATAAATCGTTTTTAAACTAATCGATTTGTCGTCTCATAGACGAATTGCATCAAAGGCCATTTAACAGGTCAACCAGAAGGTAATCGAAATCGGCTATTGTGATTAAAATACATACATGTTCTTTGCGTTTGTTTGTTGTTTATAGAAATGACATCTGGATACACTCTTGCCCAAATTTTGCTTGTTTGATAGTATGGACGTCATTCATCAGGCAAAAACGAAAATATTGATGGTTGTTTTGGACAGTCAGTAAAAAATGAACACCGGATTGCGTTATCTCTGTAGATTTAAAATGTCGATTCCATGGAATATATGTCAAATAAATCCTCATAAAGTAGGTTAATCCGGAAAAATTCTAATATAAACGCTCTATAACAGTCAAAAGTGATAGTGTGTACCATGGTACAATTATTCAAGGTAGGCCATATTAACTTGTTTTCATTTTGTGGTTTGTTATGCCAGTGTCGAATACAAAATGTGTCACTGTGTGTGTCTAATGTTTTGAAAAATTTGTTCAAAGTTGAATTGTACAACATTGAAGAAATACATGATTTGTGGATGAATCAATATCTAAAGAAATAGGATAGCTGTCGACCAGCAACCATTTATCCTCGCGGAGGATCCCATCAGGGTCAGCTCGGTCCATAATTGCTACTCGAAGATTGTCCGTAACCTCTTGTGGAACAGCAGAGTCGCTGAGCGCCGCTGAAGGTTTCTGGGCTACCTGTTTCGAGACAGCATGTTTGGCTTCCACCACACACTCACCGCTCTTGGCAGGTTTCTCCTTCGACGCTACGACCGACGCAAACGAAGCAGAGCTTTGTGCAGCCGACGACTGCGTGGGTCTCTTTGCATCAGGTTGTTGTTCCTCCGAGGACCTCACTCTCTTGACAGCTGTGGGCTGTGGCCGGGGTTGCAACCACCGCAGAGATATGCCCAGCCAACGCAGATACCTGCTTCGCTCGCTCTACTTTCGGCGCATCCACTAGGAACTGCCCAATTGTCAAAGCCTTGATTATCGGCTTTGGCAATACGACAGAGGGTGGTTGTGTCTTATCGGTCTTCTTGGAAGCCTTTTTACGGGCTCTCCTTCGGGAAGTACCCTACCATCCGTCTTTGTGGATGCTGTTGCCTGGGACGTCTCAGTACTCAATTTACCCTTGGGGGTACTGAGGGCTTCGAAGTCTCACGACATCACTACAGGCCGTGGAGATTGAGTGCAGATCTTCAACCTCGCCAGGGTTTACTTCCCTAGTCAGCAACTGGGAGGACTCTCCCAGTTATTACAATATTTTTTTCTTAAATTTCTTTTTAATGTATATCTTATCAAAAAGTATTGTCCATTAGGGCATTGGTTGATAGTTAATAGATAAAATAAAATTGTTAAAGCACCAACAATCCGTGTTTCACTGATCAGTCCACTGTGCTATTTTCTTCGATATCACAAAGAAAAATTCGTTATCGTAGTAAAAAGATTCTTGCAGTACGGGAACAGACCATATATGTTCCTTTGTGTATACTCACTTTAATATAAATTTTAAAAAATGACATGTAATCACTTCACTGTGAATGTCTTGTACATAAAAGAAGAACAGAAAAACACAAAACGGCCATATTCAACTTATAAATCCCAAAAGAAAAACCACACGTGTGATCAATCGCTCCTAGAATTTTGAAAAATATTGAAATTAAACAATAATTAAAGATGACTGAAACGAAAGAGAAAATTAAATATCTTATTGCCGATACAACGGCTTTCATAAATGCCGTAACATTGAACGTGAGTTCCTAATTCCACTCTCAAATTCACATTTCTATAAATTGCGATAAATTTCTTTGTAGGACTATGCAGAGAATATTCTAACTGTTCCCGATGTTGTTAATGAGGTACGCAATAAAAGACAAATTCGACGATTGTGTGTTTTGCCATATGATCTACAAGTGCGTGAACCCCGGACGGAAAGTGTTAAGCACTGTGTTGAATTTGCCAAAAAGACTGGTGATTATGCATCGCTGTCGGGTATTGATATTAAGGTTATTGCTTTGACATACGAGCTGGAAGTCGATAATGTGGGCACAGAACATTTGAGAAAAGAGCCAGTAATGCCACAGGTTATCGCGTCTAAAGAGAAGCCACAAGAACTGCAGGATAGTACCAAATTACCCGGTTGGTATAATAATGGTGGTAATACAGATTCCGAAGAAGATGATGATGAAGAAGATGGGGAAAGTAATGATGAAGATAACGGTGGTGGCGATGATGATAATGTTGATAAGGTAAAAGAGTCGATTGAGAAACAAATGGAAAATCCCGACGAACAACATGATGTACCCGAAGTAACACAGGAAGAATTGGATGCATTATTTGAAAAGCTCAAATGTGAAAATGCTGAAGATGATGTCAATTGTGATATTTTGGTGCCACAGCCAAAAGAAGAAGAAAATGGAGAAGATGATGATGACGATTCGGAAAATGATCAAAAGGAATCTGAGGAACAAAAGCAATCAGGCGATGGAGAAGAAACTAATAATAACAACAATGATGGCGGGGTAGCAGATGATGATGATGGTGGCTGGATCACACCTTCAAACATTAAGAAAGTTAAAAAATCCATGGAGGGAAAGGTAGAAGCTGATATCACACCCCTTGTGGCCTGTATGTCTACAGATTATGCTGTACAGAATACATTGAAACAGATGAATCTAAATATTTGTGCCCTTAACGGAAGGGTCATAAAACATTTACGTACCTATATTCTAAGATGTTATGCATGCTTCAAAACCACCTCCGTTATGACCAAGGTATTCTGTCCCAATTGTGGTAATAAAACGTTAAAACGTGTAGCCGTGAGCCTGGATGAGAATGGCAAACAAGTGATACACATCAACACAAGACGTCCTCTCACCACAAAATATAAAAATCAAAGTATTCCCCTGTTCCGTGGTGGCAAACATTCACGTAATCCCATTCTCTTTGAAGATCAACCAATGCCCCGTCAAATGCCCTCTCGTGTGGCGAAAACTAAAACAAATGCACTGGAAGAGGATTATATTGCTGGCTTCTCGCCATTTGCAATGCGTGATGTTGACTCAAAATCAGCCATGCTGCGAGCCAAGGGCCATGTCAAGGAATGGGCTCGCAATAACACCTACGAGGAAGATAGGCGCCGCAAACACTACAATCGTTTGTATAAGTAAATATAGGATTTTTTTTTTAATGTTATTAAGATTTTGATTTTTATCATGGATTTTTTATTGTGCTCCGTATGTAAATATATATATACATAACAAACAAAAATATATAGATGAATATTTAGTATAAAAATGTGTTTTTTGTTTACGATAATTTAACACAAGTCTCGGTACCAGGATAGTCGGGTAAATCTAATTGATATTTTTCTTTAAGGCCGGGTGGTACAAATCTACCGCCCAAATAATGATGAGGACCCTTGTAAAACTTGGCACATAACTTGGGTGCGGTTAGCGATATCAATAGACTAGGTTCAAAATCACACTCATCATTTTTACCATTTTCCACATGCCAACCACTGGGTATGTCAATGCTATACATGAACAGGGGTAATTGAGAGAGAAATTCTAAGAAATTTATTAAAAATACTCACCTTGCTATTGGTAACTTAGTCGTCTGCAAAATGTTTATAATCGGTACAAAAGTTTCCCTGACTGGTGGTTTAAAACTAAAACCAAACAAAGCATCCACAATGAGATCATAGTTGTTAGTAATATTTTCCGGATTTGGTGTGGCATCGACAAATTCAATATTCATGGCTTTACATTGATGTGTTAAATTTTCATACAAAGGATTTGGTGTGGGTTTGGGATAATAGACACTCGGCTTATAGCCCATTAATGAGAGATGGCGAGCACATACCAAACCATCACCACCATTATTGCCGGGACCACAACACACCAAGACACGAGTGTACTGCGGTGTAGCATAACATTTTGCAATGGCATGTGAACAACTTAAGCCAGCCAATTCCATCAATTGATCCACACTGAACCGATACTCATTGAATAGTTCTTGATCCACATTTATGGCTTCTTGTTGATTAAGATATTTCATGGTTCTCGGGATTGCTGTGGTGAAGATGGTGCTGCGATATATCTTGGGCGAGTAAAGCTGTAATTGTAAAACAACCTTATATATTATTTTGAACGCAGAACCTGATCAATCAGATTTTCAACTATACATATGACTAGAATCGACATAAGTCTAGTTAAGGACTCGGTCGCGAATCTTTGGGATATTATTTTTATTGGTAGTTGTTAAAGGGGTCATGCTTATATACGATAAAAAGTGAAAATACAAGATGTCGTCAGTCGAACTTTGTAGGCCAATCAATATCTCAGGAAAATAAATTTTAGGGTCCTTAGGACTCTATGAGCTAAACATTTCAAAGCGATCCGGGACAGAGCCCTAAACTCGAATGGTTCCCAACTTGGAGAAACACCGAGAATATTTTTCCTTTTATCATGGGTTTTAATTTCCTATCGGCCAAGTTAAGTAAAAGCCGGTACTTGCACAAAAATATCAAGACATGAATTTTCCGGCGATTTGGATGTGATTTGTTAGTCCTATTTTATCACCGTTTTGAAGACCACCTTAATTTGTTTACCTTTCGATGTTGAGCGAATTTTGATTGTATTTGGAAAAAGTTTTTAAAAATCATTCTCCATAATATATATTTTTTTATTATTAAACAATAGGGTAGTCCAATTAGAAATGACTGGTTTTTGCGTATCACTATGAGTAATGCACATTTAGCGATTTTTTAAGTATTACAGTACCTGTTGCAACATGGAACACAAGAGAACAGATTTTTAAAGTGCCGCTGAATATCCGATTAATAGTACGTTTACATTTAACCGGATTTCGTTAACCCAGTGGTTTTCAATTGTCAATTCCTTTGCATATAAGTCAAATAAAATTTAAAATTTGATAGTTTTAGTATTAGGAGATACAATTTAAACAATTTTACAATTTTTTGTTTTGATACATTACCTAATTATTGCATCATTTTTCCAAGCAAGATATATTAATAGGGTCACCCAGGAAGCGAAAATCAGTTAATTTTTTTTACTGTCCAATGTCAAAAATTTGAACGTTGTTTACGATTTCATGATGTAAGCCCATTCACAATAATGGATTTGGATAGTAAACTTGAGAAGCAGCTGGTTTCCATGGATAGCCTTATTAATATGTTTAGATTCCAAGCATCAAAGATTATAAGGTGGCTAACGACATATAAAGGACCATGGTACCTTCAAACCATATCATCACCATAAAAATTCCACCAGGACCAAACTTCTTGGAATCAATGGACTGGCCTTCTCATTTTCCAAGCATTGAAAACTATGAATACAAGGATGGCTAACGACAACTTAAGGTTCTTGGTTAGGTACTTAACCCTTTTATCTTAAACTTAATTATAGAGATTTCATTATGACCAAGTCCTTGGATATTTTTGCACTATTGATGGCACACCGATCGAGGTATAAATCACAGCTAAGATCAATCGCCTCAATTCCTACTGGCAACGATACCAAACAAATGCCTTTCTGAATTTTGATACAGAGAAGTCAGATGCAGATAATGCATAGTAAATATCCTTTTTACATTTCGTTGTATGCATTTGTTAAATTTCTGAAAATTACCAAAAATTTTCGAATAATGTTATTATTAAATAAAACGCTTTATTAATAAAGAAAAAACGCTATATTATAAACATTGTTTATTTTTTGCAAAAGCAAAGTACAAAGTTGACAAAGGTAGCCAATCGCCGGCGATAAATAGATAAGATGAAAGTCGATCTATGCATCCCTAATTGTAACGCAAAGAAAACAAAAAAAAAAATACTTTGTAGTCAGAAAAAATTAATAGAGAATAATCAATTTTGTGAGAAGTGTTATTGAAACCTTTGGCGAGTGAAGATTATTGAAGAAATCGTGAAAATGCAATTATTTTCTTAGGAACTGCATTCACTTTGAAAAATTGAAATGATCGGATGTTGTCCATTGAATGGTTGGATAGATATCCTATCCGTTGTCGACGACGTCGTTTGTGCATAAAAGGAAAGGCAACATAAACAAGTTTAACGCCAGCTAGGCAGACAGCATAGCTGTAGCAGCGACAACAAAAAACCAAAATTCCAAAGGATATTTCCTTTGGAACAACAAGTTTTGATATATAAAAATAAAACGAAATAAACTACATACAAAAATGAATCAAGCCTCAAATGCATCGGGTACTACCCACACCACTATGACCATTTTGGACGATGGCAACAGTTCCATTGGCAGCACATCCATTTTGAGTAATGGCTATGATTTCAATCATGAACACGACCACGAACAAGACCATGACACAACCAGCAATACAACAATATCACAGAATTCCCAATGCTATACGGAAAGAATGCGCCAGAGTAATGTACCCATAGTAGACACAGATATTGTCACACATCGTATATACTGCTATCGCAAACGCGTTTACATCGAATACGATCATCTACAGTTGGCCACTTGCGAAGAAATATGCATAGATCTAAGTCGTAGATTGGGTATTTTGCCGAATACCAGACTTCTATTCGGTTTGAGAGTGTTCGACGATGACAACAACGAACAATGGTGTCTTCCGGGCCAGCCCTTGAGTCCCGGTGTGGTCTACTGTTTTCGTATGCGTTTCAAAGTCCCCTTAATAGATGGCCAACTGCAATCGATGGATCCAAATGCCTATGAATATCTGTACAATCAGATGCGTTACGATATGGTCCATGAGTGTATACCCTCAATACGTTATCCGAGGAAAAAAGATAACGTCATGGGTCTGGGTGCTGTTGATATGTATATTGATTATTTGGAGCAACGCGGAACAGTTGAACGCATCGAATCGAATTATAAACGTTATTTACCCCGCCCCCTGGTCAAGGCGCATATTTTTGTAAAACGTAAAATATGCAATTCGTTTCGATCGCTTCGTCAAAGAAACATCGAGTTGGTACGTGTCAAATGGAATTACGTATTGGAATTGAATAATTTGGCACCGGATTATCTACTGGAAACATTTGCTGGATTTGTGGATTTTATACCGGGAGATATTTTGGCGACGGTGCCAAATGATGGTGGCGGTGATGGTGGTGGTGGACAAATTCAATCGAGTTCGACCACTGTTAAAGTTTGTATCAAATTGGATTTATTTGATAGTCCAGAGCCGGGATTGAAGGTGGCCCGAAGAACGTGTAAAGATACTTTGGAGGTAAGTTTTGTATTTAAATACACTTCAATGGGAAAATACAAATAGCAAGCTTGGGCATGCTGTTAGAAGAAAACTAACAACAAATGTTATCAATAACGTAAAGTAACAGACTGTGGTAAAGTTCATTCAAGGAAATGCAATTGGCTTTGTTTCGCATTAAACGCAAATATTTTCATTATAAATAGAAATTGTGATAGAGAAATTTCCACACATGTATTTCATTATAAATTAATGATTTGCTAAATTAAAAAAAAAACTTTGCTATTTATTTAACAATTTTAAAAACTTGAAAAAAGAGAAAACAAATTATATCTATGCTTCGAAGTTTTTTTCATGTCTAGTTTAAGGCCGAGTGGCGCAGGAAGATCAGCCACTCACAAAATTAATCTATTTATAAGAGAGGCCTGGTCGAATCCCAAATCTAAGGAAGTATGGAAATTGATACACGTATTGTCTTATACAATTTTAAAGGGCATAAGAAAACACTATGGTCTGGGTGGAATTTTAGCCACAACTCAGAATGTATGTCCGCAAGAAAGAAAGTTTAATGTAGGTACCTGAATATTGACAATATTTCACTATTTTTAATAATTATGATTTTTTTTAAATCGGGTTATAAGGACTTGAATATTTATTTAAAACATCAAGTTATGAGTCCTTGAAGTTTTCTTTTAAAATTAAGGACTTAAATATTTATTTTAATTCATATCTTAATACTGAAGACTTCAAGACCAATTAATAGTGCTAAAAAGGTGTGTTATATTCCTAAATTTAAAATTAATAAATAAAAAAAAAACATTCTTTAAAAAATCTAGTTACAATGCCTTGAAAATGTCATTAAAATTATTGATATAGGTCTTTGAGAAGTTCTTAAAAAATCGTTGATGTAGGTCTTTGACGAGTTCTTTTAAAAATCTACGCATTAGGGTCCTGCAAATATCTTGAAAAAATATACCCTTTAGGGTCACGAAAATTTCTTTTAAAAATACACGTCTTGAAAATTGCTGTAAAAATCCACGCTTTAAAGCCCCGAAATGCGTTCTAAAAATCCAAGCTTTAAAGCCCCGAAAATCCGTTTTAAAAATCAGAGCTTTAAAGGCCCGAAAATGTCTTTTAAAAAATCCACGCGTTAGTGACCCGAAAATGTCTTTTTCAATTTCAATTTATTTATTTCATAAACAAGAACCTAGCCCAAAGGGCCATGAGCGATTCCAAAAACGTCATTACGTTTGAAAATCCACGCTTTTTTTTAAGAAATCCACGCTTAAGCGTCCCGAATTTTTAAAAAAAAAAATCCACGCTTAAACGTCCCGAATATAAAAAATATCCACGCTTAAGCGTCCCGATTTTTTTTAAATCCAAGCTTAGGGTCCCGATTTTTTTTTTAAATCCACGCTTTAGGCCCCGAAAATGTCTTTTAAAAATCCACGATTTAGAGTAACGAAAATTTCTTTATAAATCCACGCTTTAGAGACCTGAAAATTTCTTTTAAAAATCCACGCTTTAGGTTCCTGAAAATGAGTTTTAAAAATCCACGCTTCATGTTCCTGAAAATGTGTTTTAAAAATCCACGCTTTAGGTTCCTGAAAATGAGTTTTAAAAATCCACGCTTCATGTTCCTGAAAATGTGTTTTAAAAATCCACGCTTTAGGTTCCTAAAAATGTCTTTTAAAAATCCACGCATAGGGTCCCTAAAATGTCTTTTAAAAATCCATGCTTTAAAGCTCCGAAAATGTGTTTCAAAAATTCAAGCTTTAAAGCCCCGAAAATTTCTTACAAAATTCAAGCTTTAAAGCCCCGAAAATGTGTTTTAAAAATTTCTTTAAAAAAATCCACGAAAACGTTTTTTTAAAAATCCACGCTTAGGGTCCCGAAATTTTGTTTTAAAAATCCACTTTAGGGTCCCGAAAATTTCATTTAAAAATTGTTTTATCTACCCTTTAGGGTCACGAAAATTTCTTTTAAAAATACACGTCTTGAAAATTTCTGTAAAAAGCCCCGACCTTAAGGTAAAAGATTTTTCAAAAACTTAACACTTAATCAACCTGAAATATCGGCTGTTTTTATACTTATATGATTTTAGACCGCGAAGAAATTAAACAGAGTCTGCAAAAATGATGACTTAAAGCCTTGAACATTTTCATTTTAATACCCACGAAATAAAAACTATGATTTAAAGACTCGAAATATTTGAATTTACTTAATTTTAATTAAGAGTCTTCCGTTTTATAAATTTTTAAACATCTACAGTAATGTTGTTGTAATGTTTTACAAAAATATGTATATTTTTTTCACAGTGGGTTTTAGTCAGTAAACTGGAGAATATTTATGCCGTATACACCCGTGGGGTCAGTCCAAATACAATAAATTGCCGTTTGGAAATTACCGGCATGCCAAATGGTTATCGCATTGAATTTGACAGTAAAATTCAATTGGAAGCATTCATTTCTTATCTCTCTGGTTATATGAGGTAATCTATATCTAAACATAAAATTTTTTTCAATGCTAATGATTATTGTATTCCTTTTTGCATAGATTAACAACAAAATGGATGGTAAATCTATGTATGCAATATGTTACACCCTCACTGGAGGAGTTAATGACACTGCACTGTCATGGTCCAATTGGGTATGTATGTTGCACATTGTTATCGATTCGTTTTTTAAAAATAGTTTTTTTTTTCTTTTTTTGTCTCTTCCCTTTGCAGTGGCGCCTTTTCATTTGCCAAGATACGTGAACAAGGCGACAAATGTGGCAGTTATATTATTCGCCAGTGTGAGAAAGAATATGATACATATTATATTGATATCAATACGAAATCGTAAGTAAATAATTATTCAATTGGGGAAGGAAGATAAAATTTTATGCTTTATTGTTTGTGTGATAAGTGTTTTGTTGTCTTTTGGCCGATCATTATTTATTTTGAAAAAAAGATGATATCTATGTTTATTTATGATTTTCTGTTTGTTAAATATTGAATATCTGCAAAGAGTTAACAAAAAATTGAGTTGAATTCGAATCTATTGTACACTGCGGGGAAATACGAATTTAAAAGACTTCCTGAAATGGAATAACTTGAACGTTTTCTTTTCTATAGATAGGAGGCTTTGAAAATCCGTGTAAAAATTTTCTTTTTAGGGTCTTAAAAATACCGATTTTTTTTAAAAAATCCGCCCCGAAAATTTCTTTAAAAAATCCACGTTCTAAAGGCACGAACATTTTAATTTTTAAATTCGAAAATTTCTTTTAAAAATCCAAGCTTTAAAGCCCCGAAATTTTCTTTTAAAAATCCTTTAAAACCCGAAAGTTTTTTTTAATATCGACGCTTTGAAGCCCCGAAATTTTGTTTTAAATATCGACGCTTTAAAGCCCGAAAATTTCTTCAAGTTTTGAAGCCCCGAAAATTTCTTTTAAAAACCCAATTTTTGAAGCCCCGACATTTTCTTTCAAAAATCCACGCTTTAAAGCCCCGAAAATCTCTTTTAAAAACAGCACTTTTAAGCCCCGAAATTTTCTTTAAAAAAAAACAAGCCTAAAGCCCCGAAATTTTCTTTTAAAAATCCATGCTTTAAAGGCCCAAAATTTTCTTTTAAAAAAAACCATGCTTTAAAGCTCCAAATTTTTCTTTTAAAAAACCAAGCTTTAAAGCCCCGAAAATTTGCTTTAAAACCCCAAAATACCGAAAATATCGTTTAAAAATCCACGATTTAAATCCCCGAAAATTTGTTTTAACGCTTTATAGCCCCGAAAATTTGTTTTAAAAATCCACTCTTTAAAGCCCCGAAAATTTGTTAAAAGTCCGTAATTTATGGCTCAAATTTTGCGTTTTAATGGCCTGAAAAGAATCTTTAAAAAATAGTCCGTAAAAATCCGCACTTCAAGGCATTTAAGTTTTTTTTCTTAAAAATCCGAGTAAATTTCTAACAAAGTTCTTAAGCCAGTCCCTAAAAAAAATCTTTAAAAATCCGCGTTTAAAGGTTGGAACAATTCTTAAAATATCCACGATCTAAAACATTTAAACGATGTAAGTTATTGCTTAACGTCTTGAGAAGGTTAGGTTAGGTTTGGGGATGTGCAGTCACATGTGTGACTGCAACACTCTGAGAAATCATCCACAAGAAAAGATACAGTGAAGAGAAGAGACCAAGAGACAGATCTGTAGGGGAGAGAAGAGTAGTAGATTAAAGGGGTGAAGAATGAGTGAAAGGTCGATGGTCCTATGAGTCAGACAGAAAAAAGCATTACGTGCCAATGTTATGCGCTCCTAACCATTTTATGTTTCTAATTATGCTGTAGATTAGAGAAGGTTCGGTTGATGAGAAGAAGCTGAGACCCGGTAGAATATGAGCACCCATTAGTCTGGGTCGCCTGTAAGCCAGGGCTGGGCAGTGACACAGGAGATGCTCAATTGTCTCCGTCTCCTCCTCGTCAACACAGAGTCTACAGTAATCAGTTGCGTCAAGATCCCATTTACTAGTAGGGGCCCTGATGTTGCAGTGACCAGTGATGATTCCCGTCATCACTCTAATTTCAGCTTTGTTCAGGTTCAATAGTGAGTGCGTTCTTTTGGTAGACAGAGTCGGCCAGATTGATCTTGACACGTTGCACATAGGTTCGTTGTGCCAAAGTTTGCGGGCTGTTTCGTCAAAGAATGCCTCAAAGTTCCTATAGAAAAGACATATGGGTAATTTAAGTGAGTCATCAGTTTCTAGATCGGTGGATTGAGATCCTCGTCTAGCTAGTTCGTCCGCTCTTTTATTACCCAAGATGTCACAATGTCCTGGTACCCAACACAACCGATAGCTATGGTTTAGTTCTTCCAGAGCTGTTCTACACTTGAGGACGGCTTCGGATTTGATGTGGCAAGATTTGATGGCTTTAAGAGCCGCTTGACTATCCACGTCTTGAGAAATTTACGACTTTAAGTTGTCATGACCTTTTTTAAAATCGTCGAATTATAATATTAATAAATTTTTTAATTACGTTTTCTCTTTCTTAAACAAAAAAAATAACAGAATATCCGAAGGTCTACAACCGTTAAAATTCAAAACCGAAACCTTTAAAATAACCAAAAAAGTCAATCTAACGAATACGAGTCCATGCGTGCGAACGGTAAAATGGATTCTACACTATAATGGTAGTATGGAAGCATTTGATAAATTAACAGATCTGGCAAAATTCATACCAACCGAATCGGATAGAAAATTTCGTATATCGCCGTCCGATAATGATCGATCACCGTTATTGTTGATATGTTTGCCAAAAAATGTGCAATCGAAAAAGACTGAAAAGGAGTTGAGCGAAGCTGAACTCCAACGAGAACGTGTTAAAATTTTAGATTTATCCAAGGATTTGCAATGGTATCACAGTAAGTGGAAGTGGATTTTCATAAATGAAGTATGGATATAATAATTATATGCCCATTCTATGTAGATTCATCACGAGAATGTGACAATGGGCGTATGATAAAAATGAAAGCCGATTGGATACAAAATGATGGCTATAAAGATGTTACGGTCACACTAAAAGTTCTAAAATTTGAAGATGATTTTCCGGTAAGTGATGATCATAGATTATACGTTTATTTGTAATAAATAATTATGTTGAGAATTATTATTATCCTTTGGACCATAATTATAATATTTTGCTATTCTAACGCCAGCTATTTAGAAGTTTAGCCAATACACTGAGTCGCATCCAGTCACCCCATATCATTAAGTTATTTGGCATAACACTGGACTCACCCTATACAATGGTCATGGAATATTCCGAATTTGGTCCGCTGAATAAGTTCTTAATGGACAATAGCGCAAAAGTTTCGTTACGTCAATTAATCGATGTTGTTTATGGTTTGGCGAGAGGATTATTTTATTTGGTATGTTTTGGAAAAAATCTAAATTTTTAAGAATTTCGAAGTATAACTCACTTCTTTGTTTTTTTCAGAGAAATCATCACATTGTCCATGGCTATTTAAGATGTTCCAATCTTTATGTTACTAAATTCGATCCGAAGACAAATTTACTCGAAGCAAAAATTTCGGGGCCAGGTTTCCCACGACCGTATCGTAAGGATGAGTGAGTTAATGATTATTACACTTTTTTATAAAATATATACAAGTTTTGATAAATCGTTTTTGTGAGATGAAGATATAAATTTCCACAGTCTTAAGCCTACAATGACGTCGTGTATACAATTTTATTTAAATCATTCCAGATTTAGATATGGCTCCAATGTATATTCCCTAATGGTATACCTGTTCATAAAAATATGAACATGCTCGCATCATTCATTTTATTTTATGATCACTTCACATTTATGCATTTCATTTTAACTCATTTGGTCCTTCGAACCGAATAACAATAAAATCTGGTACTTCGAAGAAAGAACCAAAATATACTTAAAATAATGACGGGCAAGCATGGAAAGTCATTTCATATGGCCGTTTCTCATTTATTCTCCGAGTCACTTTAACAGTACCAAATTGCCAACTTTGTCCGTTTTCAATTGTGTTGAAATCGGTCCATAATAAGTTATAGCTTCTATGCATATTTTCAACCGATTTCATACAAAATTGTGCATCAAATACCCAACGTTTATTCGACTGGGACCTAGAAACCGGTGTATAAATTTTGTGGAAATCGGTACGGATTTAGTTATAGCTCCCACATATATTTTCAACCGATTACATGTAAAAAGTGTACCAAATAGGCAACATTTTTCCGATCGTTCCATAAGCCGAGCTTAAAAAAGATTCCCAACCGCGTCGGTTTGTGCGCAACTTATCCAATTTGAAAGACCATGTTCCGAGATGTTGTCTTCTACTTGATGTTTCCGTCGGATTCGACGACGATATTCATCGTCCACGCAGATCGGCCCATAAATCTTTCGGATAATTTTTCCTCTCAAAGACTCCAAGTGCTGCCTCATCTGCTTGCGCAAATACCCATGCTTCAGAGACATACAACAACACGGGAATTATCAGCGTCTTGCAGAGTGTGTGTTTGGTCTGGCCATTGTTGCATTTCTTGGCCAACACTATTCTCCTCCGGATTTCAAAGCTGATGTTATTTATTTTGTTTATGACGCTACCTAGGTATATAAAATCGTCCACTACCTCGAAGCTGTAGTTTTCAAGTTCATCAGTTGGTCCGAGTCTAATGGACTCGGACTGTTCACCTTTGCAGCAAGATGTTCAACATGTTACACGACAAACTGTTACCTTGTCTGACTCCTCATTCGGTATTGTAGGGCTCCGAGAAGTCCTTTCCGAATTTAACTGCTGCCAGGTGTGCCGTATTAATTTTGCAGAAATACCAAATGCAGACATGGCTTCAAATACCTCTGAACGGATAGGGCTTTCGAATACGGCTTTATAGTCGACGTATAGGTGGATTTGCCAGGCCCGAAGCCGCATTGGTATGATCCAATAATGTCATTGACCATCGGCTTCAGTCGTTCACACAGCACACTGGATAGCACTTTATATGCGATAGCTAGAAGACTTATTCCTCCATAATTGGGACATATCGGTTTGTCTCTTTTTTGTGCACGGGCCTGCTACTTTATTGTTCTTCAGCCGATTAATTGCTACTCTGACCTTATTTGACTTGGAGGTATATACTATATACCGTCAACTCTTATTGGTTCTGGGGTCCGAATCGATATTCGCTCTTCGCATCGATCGAACATCCCCTACACTGGATAAATGCCTTCCGTCTATCACAACATGATTAATTTGATTTCTCGTAGCTTGATCAGGAGAAATCCCTTGCGATTTTTGCATAAAAGTCTCCTAGCAAAATATGTCTTTGGTCTGTTCATCTATGTCTTCCGTCGGAGCATGGGCGCAAATTAGACTGATTTAGAAGAACTTCGCTTTTATACGGATTATAACAATTCGTTCATCTACTAGAGTGAATCTGGAGACCATAAATCCACAGCCATATTTATGTCTCGTTTCATGGCAGCTATAATACAGGGCGTAATCATCTGATAACGTGCGCCCAATCCAAGTACAGGTTCGCAGATCGTGGGTCCTTTATACGTTTGCGGCGATCGTCAAGATTAGGGGGTTTGGTTTTCTTTATCGTTGCTTTTTCGTAGTATTAGTTTTTTCCTAGTGTGGGCAACTAACCCGACGCCTCAATCCATTTTTTTATAGTCCTGATTATGTTTTATGTTATTTTTTCTTCAAGAATTCCCTGGATACCATTCGAATATCATCGTAATTTGAATGCGGCCAAAAATGACCCGGACATTGACATTTGGGCATTTGGTACAACCGTTTGGGAAATATTTGCCCGTGGCGAACCTATTGGCAATAAAACAACAGAAATGCTTAGGCAAAACCTAAATAAATGTGGTGGCATTCTGGAGAAACCCAAAGATTGTCCGGAGGAAATGTTTAAGGTGATGATGGATGGTTGGAATACAGATCCGGAAATCAATTTTGACTATATGCAAATATTAAGGCATTTAATTGCTGCCCAAGAAGCCCTCTCGGATAAATCGTCTTCTACGAATGATGTCAATGTTGATGAAAATATCGAAGTGGAATTGAGTATGATGATGATTATATTATTAAAAAAAAAACAAAAAAATACGCATATATTTATTTTTCAGAAGAAACTGCCAATGATCATGCCCGCCATCACAATGGCTTTGCCAATGAAAGTAATGTCTTCAGTTTTCCCAGTTATTTCAATGCCACAAATTCGGTACTTGAGATACCCAATGGCAAGGTTATATTTCGTCAACGAATTGGTGAGGGTCATTATGGTACTGTGCACTTGGGTGAGGTGCGCTATAATAGTCCAAACAATGCCCGAGAATATGTTGCCATAAAAACTTTGAAATCAGCCAGAGCTCCACAGCTTAGTTATGATTTTATGCGGGAAATTGAAATAATGGAGGTGAGTATTTAAAAGACAGACATTTTTCGGTGCCATGCTTATCATCCTTCCTTTTTTTATTAGTCATTGGATCATCCGAATATTGTGAAAATAAAACATTGGATTCAACGACCATTTTGCATAATTATGGAATATTTGGAAAGTGGTTCATTTTTAGTTTATTTAACATCGAAGAAACCAAATCTCACCAATGAAATTCTATTAGGTTTTGCATTGGATATTGCCAAGGTAAGTGTAATAGAATTGAATATACATACAGGAACTTTAACACTAACAAATTATGTCCTCAGGGTATGGATTATTTGGCCAGCAAAAATATAATACATCGGGATTTGGCGGCACGTAACATTTTGGTCGACAGAGACAGTGTTAAAATTTCCGATTTCGGTTTAGCCCAACGTGCTGATTCCGATGGTTATTATGTGGCCCATAGTAGCCGTGAAATACCAATTAAATGGTAAGCTCTAAATTTTGTTTTTTTCTTACTTTTGACGTCTCCATTTATTGCAATTTATTATACATTTAGGTATGCACCTGAAGCTATCAGAAGAGATGCAAAATTCTCATCGCAGTCGGATGTATGGTCATATGGTGTTACCTTATTCGAAATGTTTTCTCGTGGAGAATCACCAAATTTAGATCCGAATATAGATTTAACACAAGATGAATTTCTAATGCGTTTAGAAAGAGGCGATCGGTAAGTCCTTAATATAATAAGTCCTTAATACATTTAGTAACAATTGTTACCAAATATCGAGTAAACAGACAGAGCTAATATGTCATGCTTACATTTCCTAATCATCTCCCATTAAATTTTCTGGGTAATTTCCCACTTTCAAACGTTGTTCAGAAAAAGAAAAAAGTGTGAAAATGCAAAAAAAATATCACTCTGAAATTTTTGTTCAGAATAAATCGGAAGTGAAGAGCTAAGAAATTCACGGGGAATTGTCCGCAATAAGGCAGACAAATGATCATTTTCCCATTTTAGTTATTAGTGAAACTTTTCACACAAATTGTCGCTGTGAAATTTTGTATAAATTGTGTCGAATAGGGAGAGGGAAAAATCGCCAGGAATTGAAATTTATAATAATGCCAGAAAGTAAGTCATCCCCTTCTTTTTCATTCAGAAAAATTAATTATTCCACTTAGTGAATCTTCTCACTTTTTAACACTTTAGAACAAGGAAAACCATGCAAGAATGCGAAAATTTTCACTGTGAAATTTTGTTCAAAATAAGTCGAAAGGAGGGAGGGAGAAAATTCGAATTGAAATTGGCGCCCAGAATAAGGCCGGAAATTATTCCATGCTTATATTTGTTAATCATTTTCCATTTTATTTACTGGTGGAATTGTTCACACAAATAGTCATCAAATTGTTCCTCTTTTCTTTTCATTCAGACTAACCAATTTTCTCACATAGAAAATTTTCTTCCAAAATATTTAGAATGTGAAAAAAATTTACTGTAAAATCTTATTCAGAATAAGACGAGAGGGGAGGAATTGACTTCCTGCATTATTTTAGCTTCTCCCTTTTTAATAATTAGTGACAATTTTCACACAAATTGTCATCACCAGGGATGGTCCATGTGACGAATTTTTAGGTTTTCGACTGTCAAAAAGGTGTAAACGTCGAAAACGTCATATATTTGTATAAAATGTAATAAATGTAGTAAACGTCATTTATTTGAATATTATCACCATATACAGTTATTTTCAAGAATATATATATATTTTTTACATATATCTGACTATTCCTCACAAGAACTGATAAAAAATTATAAACATTTTGGAGAAGAAAATTTTGAAATTTGATATGGATTTGAATAAAGCATACGTAATTTCGAAATTGATTAATGGAAATAGCTATTTTGTCAAAAACCTAATGGTTTGGGGTGGGTTTCCGACGTTTCTGACGTATGTATTATACGTCGGAAATGTATGTCATTTACGCCACTGTTTCTGACGGACGCTCTCTGGTCATCATATTTCCCTTTCCCTACCATTCAAAATAACTAATTTTCTCACTTAGCGAATTTTTTCACTTGGAAATTTTTTAGAAAAGTCTAAAAATTTGTTTAGACCAAGTCGAAAGGGGAGAGGGGAAAATTTGTTCATGCTCGAATTTTCTCACTTTTTAACGAAATGTTATTGAAAATAAGTCGAAAGAGGAGAGGGAGAAAATTCAAGGGGATTTAATGACCCAAATAACACAAAAAAATTTCATCCTTACATTTGACATTTTTCTGATAAATTGTCATCACATTTCCCTTCCCCTTCCATTGAAAATAACTAATTTTTTCTCAGGATAACAATTTTTCTAAATTTTAAAAATGCTTTAGAACAAAAGGGAAAAGTGCGAACGTAATAACAAAATACGAAAAATGTTGTAAAGAATTTTTTGATAATTCACAGGGAATTGACATCGGTGAAATTTGTCCCTTGCAATCAGAATAGCTAATTTTCTCACTTGACAAATTTTCTCACTTTTGAAAATAGTTTAATTCTAAGGCGAAAGGAGAGAGGGAGAAAGGGAGAAAATGGAGGGGAAAATTCAAGTCGGATATTTTTCATTTTTCGGATTAATGTCAAATTTAAAATGTTTTTTTTTTATTATTATTTTAAAGTATAACTGTATAGTATAACATTTTTATTTTGCAGTTTAAGGAAACCTAATTTATGCCCCAACAATGTTTATGAACGTCTCATGAAGCCATGTTGGGATGCCAATCCAAAGATGCGACCAACTTTCCGGGAAATTATTGGTGTCATACAGTCAATTAACAATGAAAGCATCAGCACTATACCAAAGTCAGATTTTAATATATCTCCACCCACATCTCCTACATCATTAAATTAAATGAAAAACACAACAAAAAGAAATGAAACGAAACTCAAGTGCAAGTCTTTTTTATGGGAGTAAAAAAATCTAGTAACTAAATAGATAAGTTTATAATAAGATTTTTATTTTTTAATATGTATAGTTGTTGTAAGAAAAAAAAAATAGAACGGAAATAAACAACTCGACTAATTTAATCTCTCTGTAAAAGTGTTAATATATTTAAAAAAACCTATTAATTTTGTTATATATGAAATAGTATTTGCTAAGATATTTTTTAAATATTATTTTTAAGTTATATGTTTTTCGTTTATTTTAAGTGCCTTTTTCGAAACAAACAAACTAAAAATCCAATAACAAAAAAAAAAAAATAATTTTAAATATATGTGTGTGTATAGAAATAAGTTTTGCAATAACATATATTTTTATTTTATTAAAATTATAGTATAATTTATTAATATGTAAATCGTTGATCTATGTTTATATATACGTTTATTTTACAAAGATAAAAAAATATGTGTAAATGTTTTTAATGTAAATTTTAATTTTATTGTAAAAACCAGAATTATTATTATTATTCATGGCACAATTAAACTGCAACTGCAATCATCGAATTTTAACACAACAGAACTTTGGACGAAATTTTTTAGATTTTAAATGCACTTCATCTCTCTCTGTCTCTCACACACATACACATAATGCAACAAAAATAAAACTTGATCAACTAATTGATGTATGATCTTGCCTTGTAATATATATTTGTTTTTGTAATAAACATAAATATTTAAATTAAATTTAAATAAATGTATAAACGAATGTATTGTGTAAAAAGAAAACGACAAAACAGCCATTTTAACTTAAGAATAGCTGTACTTTTTTAAACGTAGTACTACATAATAATTATAAAAAAATGAAATCAAATTTCAGACACAACACTCTACACTAATTATATAGAAATAGAACCAACAACAAAACACACATTTACAAAAAAAAAAGAAAATAAACAAAAACAAACTAAAATAAATAAAAATTTTAAATGTGTACTTTAAAAAGAATGGTTTTATTTTATTTAAAGGATTATTGAAAATATCATCTAAATCGAAAATATCGAAATTAAATAAAAAGGCACTCGCAGATTTCTTCCCTTTATTCGTTGTGTCTGTAACATCGTTCAAAGCGGTTTTTGCCATCATAAAAAATGTTCTTTTATCTGCTGTAGTGGTTGTTCCAAACCAATGATGCTCATATTACATGCAATACTATTTGCAACATACTCTCCGGCCTATGCAGAACAACGGCAAATCTAATCGAGTAATATTAAACGATGATGGAAATCGTTTAAGCGATTTAAGGGGACCCCCCCATTCACGGGGTCAAAATTTTTGTTGATATAATTCGAATCTACACTGATTAAAAAATATTTCTACAAAATTTCAAGTGAAAATCTCAAGAACTCTTGAAGATATAGCCGATTTATTGTGTCAGCATCAAGTGACGGCTGAAGGGCTTCTCAAACTTTAAACGCGTTTTTCTCTTAACATTTTTTTGCGAATGGCGGGCACGATAACTCAAAAACTAATAATCCAATCGGTTCCAAATTTTGCAACGTTTCTCTGGGAGTGTATAGCTCTCGTATGAACTAGGATAAAGCCAATCGGTGAAGATCTTCCTTATTTTTTAACTTGGTTTTTGGTAAAAAATCGGCGATTTTCCAAAAATATTTTTTCAAAGGTCCACCACTTTGTTAATTTTAGAGCGAAGTCAATATTCCTAGTTCATACGAGAGCCAGACATGTACTCTTTCTAACACCGTTGGAATTTTCGGATTCCGATGTTCCAGTGAGGAGTTATCATGCCCGCCATCAAAAATAAGGACTTTTCTTTAATTACAAAAAACAACAACAAAACAATAACAAAAATTTTTTGTAAATTATTTTTCTTCTCTTTTAAATCTTCAAATATATATGTGCAAAGTTACAAACCTTAGGTTAGGTTAGGTTTGGGGATGTGCAGTCACATGTGTGACTGCAACACTCTGAGACCGGTTAGGTCCGTTGTGATCATCCACAAGAAAAGATACAGTGAAGAGAAGAGACCAAGAAGACAGATCTGTAGGGAAGAGAAGAGTAGTAAATTAAAGGGGGTGGAGAAAGATTGAAGGTCGATGGTCCTATGAGTCAGACAGAAAAAAAGCATTACGTGCCAAGGTTATGTGCTCCTAACCATTTTATGTTTCTAATTATGCTGTAGATTAGAGCAGGTTCGCTTGATGAGATGAAACTGAGAGACGGAAGGGTATGAGCACCCATTAGTCTGTGTCGCCTGTAAGCCAAGGCTGGGCAGTGACACAGGAGATGCTCAATTGTCTCCGTCTCCTCCTCGTCAACACAGAGTCTGCAGTAATCAGTTGCATCAAGATCCCATTTACTAGTAAGGACCCTGATGTTGCAGTGACCAGTGATAATTCCCGTCATCACTCTAATTTCAGCATTGTTCAGGTTCAATAGTGAGTGCGTTCTTTTGGTAGACAGAGTCGGCCAGATTGATCTTGACACGTTGCACCTAGGTTCGTTGTGCCAAAGTTCGCGGGCTGTTTCGTCAAAGAATGCCTCAAAGTTTCTATAGAAAAGACATATGGGTGGTTTAAGTGGGTCATCAGTTTCTAGATCGGTGGATTGAGATCCTCGTCTAGCTATTTCGTCCGCTATTTCATTACCCAAGATGTCACAATGTCCTGGTACCCAACACAACCGATAGCTATGGTTAAGTTCTTCCAGAGCTGTTCTACAATTGAGGACGGCTTCGGATTTGATGTAGCAAGATTTGATGGCTTTAAGAGCCGCTTGACTATCCACAAAGATAGTCACCGGTTCAACGACCTCAGCATCCAGGTTTTTTATCAATTCCGCTCCCTTCCAGATCGCGAAGATTTCAGCTTGGAAAACACTACAATTACTATCCAGCTTGTAGGTCAACTCAAGGCCTAGCCTTTCACAGTAGACGCCTGCCCCAGTACCTTCTTCCATCTTGGATCCGTCTGTATAGAAGGCCAGACCGTCCAGAGGAGGGTTACTTCTTTTCCAGTCGTCTCTACTAGGGATAACGACATCTACATCAAATCTAAGGATTGGTGATATATAGTCGCTTAGTTTAGCACGTTGGTCCAATGCTATACCTGGTTCGTTTAGAACACTACTATGTCCAAAGGTACAGTTCCGCCAGAGTTTTTGTTCGTGTAGCCTTAAGGCGCTACGCGCAGCCTGACACTTAATGCTGAGGCCCAGGGGCTTGAAGTACAGCATTGCGTTCAGAGCTGCTTGTGGCGTACTCCTTCTGGCTCCTGTAACTAAAATTGCGGCAGCTCTTTGTACCTTGTCTAGTTTACTAGATGTCGACTTGAGGCTCAGACAATTCCACCAAACAAGAGAGCCATAGGACAAGATGGGCTTCACCACAGTGTTATACAACCAGTGTATAGTCGATGGTTTAAGCCCCCAGCTTTTCCCAATAGAGTTTTTGCATGCATAGAGTGCAATCATTCCTCTCTTCGCCCGCTCCTCAACGTTCCTTTTCCATTGTAGTTGACAGTCCAGGATTGTGCCGATGTACTTTGCTTCGGGAGATAGGTGAAGTTGCACCCCATCCAATGTTGGTGGAACAAAGACACCGAGCTTACGCTTCCTAGTAAACATTACCAGTTCCGTCTTCGTTGGATTTACACCAAGACCATTTGCCTTGGCCCAGCGTGACAGCGTCAGTAAGGCCCTTTGCATAAGCTCAGAGATTGTAGACGGAAATTTTCCGGAAATCAATATCACAACGTCGTCCGCGTAAGCTACAACTTTGATACATTCCCCGTCCAATTCCCTCAAAATGATATTAATTACCAGTAGCCATAGCAACGGTGAAAGCACCCCTCCTTGACGTGCCTCTAGTTACTGTTTTCCTGATTCTTGTATCCCCCACACTTGAATTTATAATTCTGCTGTTAGGCATTTTATTTATCCAATATGTCAGAGTATCAGGAATGCCGACTTCCCTAAGTGAGTGGTTTATGGATTCAAGTTTAACGTTGTTAAAGGCTCCCTCTATATCTAAGAAGGCGGCCAGCGTAAAATTTGAGTTTTCCATGTTCCTCTAAATATATCCCACCACTTCGTGCAGTGCAGATTCCACAAACTTGCCCTTTATGTATGCGTGTTGTGAGTTGCTGAGAGAAGTGGTGTCTATACGACTCCTTATCTCCAGGTCGATCAGTCTTTCGAGGGTCTTGAGGAGAAAGGATGATAGGCTAATGGGTCTATAGTATTTTGGTGCAGAGTGGCTTGGTTTCCCTGCTTTGGGAATATAAGTGACCTTTACCTCGTTCCATAGATCCGGAACACACGAGAGAGTCAGACACGCAGTATAAATCTTAAGGATCAGATAAATACTTGGCGAGGCATATTGAAGCATCGCCGGAAGAATACCATCCGGTCCTGGCGATTTATACGGCTTAAATGTGTTGACCGCCCATCGTATCTTATTTCTGTTAACCACCCTGCTAATGAGATCCAGATCCGGGGTGGCAAAAGGCCGAGTGTCATCACGATCATCGTCGATGGTACCCATGTCTTTGCAACCCGGGAAATGAGTCTCGGCTAGGAGATTAAGAGTCTCAGAACCTGAGTCCGTCCACGCTCCATCTTGCTTCTTAATACTACCGATGGACTTCGGGTCCTTGGATAGTAGTTTTCGAAACCTAGCAGCGTCGTTGACCCCTTCTATCGACTCACAGAAATTTACCCATGACTTTTTCTTCGCGCGTTTTATCTCACTCTTGTATTTATTGAAACTAACTCTGTAGGAGTTCCAATCAGTGTCGAGTTTAGACTTATGCGCCCTGTTATACAGTCGTCTGGTCGCTTTCCTGAGCTCACCAAGTTCCTTGTTCCACCACACTGGCCGAGATTTCTTCCCAGGATGTGTGAGCGGACAGGATTCCTTATGGCAACATAAGAGAACGTCCGTTAGATTTTTCACGGCCCCGTTGAGTTCCACAGCTGTTCCTAAGTTTGTGTTAAGAGTCAGCTGGGAGTTCGTTAGCCCCGTGAATTTCTCCCAGTTTGTTCTCCTTGGATTCCGATAAGGCTGTTGTCTATCTCCGTCAAAAGAGTATTCGAAGAGAATCTTTAAATGATCCGAGAAGGAACATTCATAAGATACCCTCCAGTTCCTGATGACGGAGTCGTCTAGATTTGAGAGGGTTAAGTCAATGACCTCCTCTCTACCCCTAACTTTAAAAGTCGGATCACTACCCATATTACATATACGTAAATCATAGGATAAAATGAAATAAAAAACGGACTCACCTCGTATGTTTGTGTCCTTGCTACCCCATTGAAAATGGTGAGCATTTGCGTCGCATCCTAAGATAACATTGCAGGTGCTCGTCATTTCATCGAGCATCTTCCGTACACATGTGCCTGGTGGGTCCCTCTCCTCAAAGGGCATATAGACTGAGGAGAGCAGGGTGGCCTTCCCCGTCTTGTGCTCCAGCCTCACAGTGCACATGTCACCATTGCTGTAATTAGACAGAAAGATTAAATGTAAGCTCTTCCTACCTACTATGCATGTTCTCACCTTGTCCCCCGTGGACGTGGCGAAGATATCAAAGTTGGCATTCCTTAGTCCAGAAACCATATTTATATAAATTATGGCTCCTGAACTAAGGCAATGTCCACTTCCGAGTTCGTGAGGGACAGGAGTAGTTCGGCGGCTGCGGCCTTGCAATGATGTAGATTGATCTGCATTACAAACCTTAACAAGCATTGGTATTGATTTGCCAGCCCATTGAAAATCTTGAAAAATTAAAATCGAGAATGGGGGGGTTCCCTTAACGTAATTATTCAAATCCGTTATTTTCAACAGACTAAGAACGAAGAAGAAAAAGCCTTCGTCTTATTGAAGACCAGAAGAACTATTTCTTATGGGTATTCCCACAGCCGAAAGGTCGTCTCAAAGAGGGCAAACACATTTTCTTATAGATGACCAAAAGGTATATTTATAGAAGGCCAAAGGGTTTTCACAAAGAAGACCCAAAAATATTCTTATAGATGAAATATAAGGACTTCCCACAGAACTTCAAAAGGCATGCTCACAAAGACCAAAAGGACCACTCGACGAACACCAAAAGGCCTTCTTAAAAGCGAGAAAAAATCTGCTTATAAAATACCAAAAGATATTCTTATAGAAAACCAAATTGAATTCTTACCACATACCCATATCATTTTTCAAATGTCGCCCAATACAAAAACAAAATTTCTTATTAATAATTTATTTCTTATTACTAATTATTTCCATATTATCGGCGTAACACTTACAATTACTATCAGTTCATCAAAACGAAAAAGAAAACTTAATCTACTTTGGCCAGTCGCCCTGTCAGTTAGAACCCTCAGCGTTTTTCTTCTTCAACGCTTCCATAACACCGGCAAAATTTGCTGTTTTCTTTTTAACCGATTTTGATTTAGGTGTACCATGGCGACGCAGTGGTTGGGCAACATCATCACTGAAGTCAAAATCATTCGGTTTCATGGGACTGCATGGAGGCAACAGAAGCATGAATTAATTCCATATCTTATAATCAAATATTTTTTCACTTACTCATTTGGTTCGGTGACATCGGCCGAATTGCTTGGCTCCTTGTTACTGCTTTTTATGTCCGGCGAGGGTGGCCGTCGACCTGGACATTCCCATTCTAATTCCAAAATAGCACCATTTTCCAGCATATTGTAATAGGTTTCCAACTCCTCTGCCGATGGAAAGAACTCATTGTCCTTGAGTGATGATTCTACGGTCGAAGAGACTTCTGAGGACATTGTGAGTGTGCGAAGCTTTCCGGTGATGATCGTTGTTGTTGTTGTTTCATTCAACTTGAAAGCACAAATACTATTTAATTCTTTTGTTTTCTTTGATGTTTTTTATTCTTTAATTTATTATTAATCACTAAGTTGTTATTGTTTTATTGAACTTTTCCACCTCGCACAGTTGTGGACGACAGTAATTTGCTGCTGTTGTAAAACTTGTAAAATTAGTAGATTCTTTTCGGTTCCACCTGCTAACGAATGGGAGGAGAAGACAAAATGGCCGATAAAGATGAACTCAAAATGGTATAACCGAAAGTTTACGAATGAGGTGGGATGGAGATGGAAACCGTGTTGTTTACGAATGAGGTTTAGGCAAATTATGATTAGGGATAAGTAAATCGACTTTCGATTAATCGAAAAAATTACAAATATGAAAATTTTACAAATATTATATAGATTGGGTAGATCCGGAACGAACAATAATAAGCTTATTGATATTATTGATAATGTACAGACGAGCGTTGTTCGCTCTCTCATTCGTTGTTCGACCCTTACTTAGTTCCCCATAGCAAATTGAGCGAACACCGACTTTTGTACGTTGTTCAATTCGAATCACTCTCTGAATAACCAAGAAATTTATAAAATAATATAAATATTTATAAAATTTTCAACTTTGTAGGGTAGATTGGGTAGATCCGGAAACGATATTTCTTCAACTAATCGATTAATTGTAAAAAAATCGTTCATTATCGCAATGGCCTATAAATAAGGTCACCAAGATCACCAATCGAAATCGGAAAACTGCTGTTTTTTCTCAAGTCTAATGTCAAAAATTTCGACATTGTTTACGTTCTCATAATGGAAGTCAATTCACAATAATGCATTTTGACAGGAAACTTGAGAGGTATCGATAATCAGCTGGTCTCCCTTGGTGACCTTATTTATAGGCCATGGATAGGGATAAGTAAATCGACTTTCGACTAATCGATTCATCGACTTTATGTATTGAAAAGTCCAAGGCAAAATCTATTAATAAGGTCACCAAGATAGCAATCGAAATCGGAAAACAGCTGTTTTTTCTCAAGTCTAATGTCAAAAATTTCGACTTTGTTTACGTTTTCATAATGAAAGTTGTTGCGTGGGACTGACTACATCACCAATTTTCTTTTAATTAAGTTAAAAAAAAATTAAATAAAAAGGAAAAATTTGTCCGTGACCTCCCGACCACAACAACCGGCACTTTAGAAATGAAGCGGAAATGCTGTGGTACCAAAAATTGCCGCTACTGTCAGAGTTGCATTAACACCGATTAGTATCGATGTTTATTAATCGGATATGCAACTCTGCGATAATTATAGGGATCGCTAGGTCGTAGATAGAAAAAAATGATAAACAGCAGGAAAAAAGAAAAGCCCGAAAAGAGGGAAAATTCGGCGTCGTCCCCTGCAGTATAAAAGGACCCCAAAGGGAAAAATGCGCTCTCATTTGAACAGTGGTGCGATACGACAGTTTTTCAGAAAATAAAACAAACTCGAATATTAGTTTTATTAAAGGCCTAAATCTGCCTTAACTGATTTTTATTTATGTTGTGGGCGTTAAAAACAGAGTGTAAGTGTAAAGTCATTGTGTAGTGTGTGATTGTGTCGACTTATGTTGTTTTTTGTGCGTTTTTTTGTTTACAGGTTAAATCTAGGTTAAGTTGTGTTGTCCATAAGTGTTTATTAAATAATGATTCTAAATATCTATATGTAAGAAGCATTAACCTAGGTATTTTCGTAAGATATAGTGATTATGGGGTTGCCCCAATTTATGTAGGTTGTTTTGTGTTTAGTGTGGACTAATTAATATGTCCAGAAAAAACCTACTAAGCGAGCTCATTTAGGAAGGTATAACAATTTTAATATTTAGGAGAAAAGCCTATATTGGCATTGCGTGATATCAACATAAAGAAAGGGTAAAAATCCAATGTTTAATGAATCACAAAATTTATAGAGAGTAGTTAATGTTTCATTCTTATCGTGTTTTATCTATTAAGGAAATTATGTCAATAAACTGTTTTTGATTTGTTTGTTAAAAATAATATGATGTTCTGATTGTTTTTGTGAGAGAGGAGAGTTAGGATATTGTAATGAGGTGAGTGTACGTGGAATTCGGGGCCCTTAAAATGTTGTTATTTTTTTATAGGATCTGAGGGTCAAGGTAGGGTGGGCAAGTGTGGGAGTAAAACCATCAATCTCCCTTGTTTCAGGTGTACCAGGTGTTTGTGTTGTATAGTTTTGTCTTTATTTATGTTTGTCGAAATAAAAATTTAATTGTTCGTCCTCTAGGACTATTGGTGTCTGGGATGGAACCGCCCTGATTATTGGCTCCTGAGCTAGCGGCCACTGATACACCATAGTGCCGAAGTAGATGGCACGTAACAAAGTCAATTCACAATAATGCATTTTGACAGCAAACTTGAGAGGTATCGATAATCAGCTGGTCTCCCTTGGTGACCTTATTTATAGGCCATGTCCCCATCAAAGTAATCGTTCCCTTGTGGTTGTTGTATTTTCGATAACATATAACGCGACGGATGGCTCAACGCGAACATTCTGCTTAGCCCTTTAAATTCAAGCAGAATGCTCGCGTTGAGCCATCCGTTGCGATATGTGTTATCGAATGCGTTAACGCAATAACAAAAACGCTCAAGGGCTAAGCAGAATGCTCGCGTTGAGCGTTTTTTGTTATCGCGTTAACGCACGCAAAAAGTTAAAATATATTTAACTCCAAAGCGCAGCGCACATCAACTTCGAGCGTTTGTGTTATCGTTTCCTTGTGGTTGTTGTATTTTCGATAACATATAACGCGACGGATGACGCGAGCATTCTGCTTAGCCCTTTACATTTTTTTAGTACTGGAACAGACCAAGATCTATTAATAAGGTCACCAAGATAGAAATCGAAATCGGAAAACAGCTGTTTTTTCTCAAGTCTAATGTCAAAAATTTCGACTTTTTTTACGTTTTCATAATGGAAGTCAATTCACAATAATACATTTTGACAGCAAACTTGAGAGGTATCGATAATCAGCTGGACTCCCTTGGTGACCTTATTTATAGGCCATGGATCTATTAATAAGGTCACCAAGATAGCAATCGAAATCGGAAAACAGCTGTTTTTTTCTCAAGTCTAATGTCAAAAATTTCGACTTTGTTTACGTTTTCATAATGGAAGTCAATTCACAATAATGCATTTTAACAGCAAACTTGAGAGGTATCGATAATCAGCTGGTCTCCCTTGGTGACCTTATTTATAGGCCATGGTCCAAGGTATATTTAATAAGGTAGCCGCATCGGCCCAGCTGTTGGACAAATAAATGTCAAAAATGTTGTTGTAATGTTGAACCAAAAAATTAAAAAAAAATATATATAAATGAAAATCTCCGAATTTCGAAGAGCTTTTTTGGCAATACTTTTATTAACATTTTCTACGAGAATTTGTGTAAAAAAATCTTGTCAATCAGTTTGTTTTGGCAAAATATTTTTGACATATCAAAATACAACAACCGATGTTTGTTGTAGAAATTCGCCGATGCGGCTACCTTGTATATGTACCTTGGAAAAGTCTAAAAGTCGAAGTCGACTTCTGATCTTTGAGAAAATCGCAAAGACGACTTTTTAAGATCGACTTCCGTTTTTTTTCAGAAATACTTGGTTTTTTGTTATCGCGTTAACGCACGCAAAACGTTAAAATATTGTTACGAATATAAATTTAGATTTAAGTTACTTTAGATGAATTCCGTTAATTTAAGAATTTGAATTGTAACGTAAATTTCTACTACGCAGTTTATTTGAATAACTTCACAACAACAACTACTGGAACAGATTTTATAGATTTTTGAACAACATCCTTCCATTTCCTCTTTCATTGTCTATTTTTTTGTCGACGTACAATTCTTGTTAAACGTCATCATTGATGATCGCTTAATTCCTCTTTCTTTGTTACCCCCTCACCTGTATATGTGTTGTTGTTATTGTTTACTCAATGTAAGTTTGTATGTGTTGTTGTTATTGTCTGCTCAATGTAAGTTTGTATGTGTTGTTGTTATTGTTTACTCAATGTAAGTTTGTATGTGTGTTTGTTGCATTGGTAGATTGTTTATCTAGGTGTTACCATTACTAGAAACTTCTGTAGCTACAAGCAAGGCTCATATAAATAGGGGAAATGGAAAGGCAGTGAGTCAGTTGTGAATCAGATCGCGAATTGAAACCGTCGTGTAAAGTAAAGTGCAAAGTAAAGTTGTGTGAATAAAGTCATTGTAATAATCGTAATCTGAAAGAACCCGCGTTTTATTTGGTACGAATTGTATCGGGAAATAAAACAACGACTACACGGGATTAAGTAGGATATTTTACTCCGAATGTCAAAAATTTCGACTTTGTTTACGTTTTCATAATGGTTGTCAATTCACAATAATGCATTTTGACGCAAACTTGATGAGGTAGCATTCTGCTGGTCTCCCTTGGTGACCTTATTTATAGACCATGGAACAGACCGTTTGTTGAACAACAATAATCGATGTTATCGTTTCTCTTTGACAAACAGATGTCAACATGTTCATTATTTTTGAGGTTATATAAAAGGCAATCATTCTCCAATCGCTGCTGTAATTCGTTCGGCCAAAGTTTTATTTTAGTGTAAATCTTTAGGAAAATTACAAAAGAAAAGTACAATAAAAATGTCGGACTTTGATTCATTGAGCTCGTCATCTGGTGACAAGGAATTGCAAGAATTCCTTATGATTGAAAAACAAAAGGCGCAAGTTAATGCACAGGTAAAGAGGGGAATCAATACAAATATGTTCAATCAATGTTATCAATTGGTGGTTTTATCAATGAAAATATTTACAATGCCGCTTCCTCTTTCAGATACATGAATTCAATGAAATCTGCTGGGATAAGTGCATCGGCAAACCAAGCTCGAAATTGGATAGTGCCACCGAAACATGCCTGGCCAATTGTGTGGATCGTTTTATTGACACTTCACTGCTGATAACACAACGTTTTGCCCAATTGTTACAGAAAAACCAATGAACCGCAACGAACGTAATCAATCATGCACATTGTTTTTGAATGAATTACACCATTACGACGGCAGTACAAGAATTCCTTAGTTGGAATGTTTTAGTCAAGCAATTCATAATAATAGACACACACAGAGACACGCGATTTTTAGGATATTCCATAAAGAAAGTTTGGTTTTCATTATTATTTTTATGAAAACGATAATTGAATTGGTAAATTTTGTTTTGTTATTTAATGTTTTTGTTTTATTAAAAAAAAATAAAATGAAATTTACTAATTTGAAATAGTAATTCAAAATAGTTTATATTCCATCAAAAAAAGTTGTTATTGGCCTGTTCCCGCACTCAAAAATTGGTGAACATTTTCAAATTTACCAAGGGAATATTGAAAACAATTTCGTTTAATATAAGATTCTCATAGGTTCTGGAACAGAGCATTTTAACTAGTGATCCGAGAAAATGCAGAGGCCATACTTTCTGAAATATGGGCCTCCTTTCTTGGGGTCAATGTTTTTCTCATTTTGAAGTGGTTGGTCCTGATTATGGTGAAAGTACCACTTACCGGAGGAGTGGACTTCCAAATTACGGTAAGTTGTCATCTGTGTATACGAGAAAATCTTAAATCCCAAGATATGGACCGACCTCCCATATAATTTATTTATGAACCAAAAACATTCGACCTCCATTTCTCGGTATGCACGGACTTAATTATGAAGTGTAATTATAAAATAAATAATGAGAACCTCATCTACTTCAAAATGGTAAAGGTAAACTACAAGGCCCCAAGGAAACATGGAAGATATAGATTTTCGCAGGAAAAAAGTATATCGTTGTAATCAGGTCCCTTAGGACTACATATTATAACACCGTATTTTACATTCACATAGTATATATTTGATTTTTTTTTAATTTTAAATATTTTGAGGACTTTCATCAAGCAAGAAGTACAGAAAATCAGCCATCCGAAGCACCATCTTTTTGATAGGCACCAACCCATCACAAATATTCTAGACCAAGAGCCCTAAATTAAATTCTATTACTAAAATGAACTCTTTTAACAAAGCATTTTCCTCAATATATAAAAAATATATATAAATTTATTTCTTTATTTAAATCTTAATTTCTACGCAACTACACACATCTACAAAGCTTAATCTATATATCTTATACAACAATTAACTTTTGTCCGACATTATACCCTTGGATTTTTTAAGATTTCTATAAAGTTCAACAAGTTTTTCACGTTCTTTCTCCAACATGTTTCGTGTATGTTCGGGTAAATCTTTACGTTTGCCTCGCATCTGTTCCTTTGTAACTCGGCCCGTGGATTTTGTAATTTTGGTAGTGCTGGTGGTAGTTTGGCCATTCGATTTGGTGCTTGTCTCATCCAATAATGATTTAAGCAATAAATTGTTTTTCTTGCCGGGCTAAAATAAAAATAGAAATACATTCAAAGAATAATAGAAAAATAAATTTTAACCCTTAAGACCTACCCTTGGTACTGTTTCACTTTTCTCGGCCTTTCGTGGCAATGTTAAGGCTGTCGGCGGTGCATGTACAATTTCACCAAACTTAATAACATCTCTTTGATATTCCCGTGTCTCTTTCGATGTTTCCTGTTTCCGTTCCTCTTCATCCTCTTGTATGGCTTGTTTAATTAATTGTTTAGCCAATTTCGGATCAATTGGTTTAACGTCCTTTTCGGGTTTCTTTTTGCCACCAGCCTTACCGCCTTTACGTTTTTGCTTAAGCAACTCATCAATTTCATTTGGTGGTTTCTTTTTTATAGAGATTGCTCCGGTTTTGGGATCACGTACCACCTTAACACCATATTTCGCCTCATATTGTGCCTCCTTCAAACTGGCCGAAGTAATGCGATTGACGCGTTTCAAATACTCAACATCATCTTCGCCAGGTAATTGTTTGATTGTTTTGAATTTATTGCCATCACCAGCAGCACCAGTCGAGGCTTTGGAATTCTTACGATTGTGGTGTTTGTCTTCTTTGGGTTTATCTTCAATACCGCTGTGTATACGCTTTATTTTCTTACCCGATTTGGCATCTTCAGTGAGCTTTTTCAATTGCTTCAATTTATAGGATAGCGGTTGATCATTGTCCTTGCTGGGTGGGGCATTGACAACATTCTTTAGCCTGAAATAATTTAATGGGATTAGATATAGGTTTGTTGACAACTAAGGGATTGTACGTACTTCTTTTCCTTCTCTTCCAATTGACGAAGAGGATCACGTATACCGTGATGTTTTCTTGCGGGAATTTTACGTTTTCTAACCATTGTTGGAGATATAAATTTGCCCTATTACTATACAAACGTCTCCTTTGCTCATTAATTAAAAGGTCCCATGTGCTAATGTTTACATTTTCTCACACATTTCGATATATTTTTCAATAATCGATTGCACATTTATCGATACGGCTTCTACTTCAGTGATGAGTAAATAAATATATGATGGCATGTTCTGACGGTCACTTCAACAATGTTGTTTGCTCTTAAAATTAAGCGGTGTACACACTACCACTTTTGAATGACACTATTGATCATTTTTTGCTTGTTTGATAGTGTAGCCTCTCAGGTCAGTGATCGATAAAAGAAGCTGCCACTCAAAGATGCTAATGTGTACATGAATTAACGTCTGAGTGGATTTCGTAAATCTAAACGTACCTTGAAGCTGAACCTTGCCATCAAGTGGTCTGTTCCGTACTGCAAGAATCTACTATTTTCTTCGATATCATAAAGGATTACTGGAATTATTTCGATTATTCCTGTGGTTATTATTCGGACCATCTCGCCAATCATTGTGGTTATTATTCGGACCATCTCGCCAATCATTGGAGCCATTTCTTCCATGATGTCATTCCAATTGCTAAAACGGCTGCCATCACGATTGTTGGACGGACCGTTATCACCCCTCCAGGGACCATCATTTTCCCCACGACCACCTCCTCCCCAACGTTCATCACGTTTATTGCTACGATTAATGCGGTGTACACACTAGCATTTTTGAATGGCACTCTTGCCAAAATTTTGCTTGTTTGATAGTGTGGCCTCACATGTTTGTCATTCATCAGGCAACCACAAAAATATTTATGGTTGTTGGACAGTCAGTAATCGATAAAAAAGTTGACAGTCAAAAATGATAGTGTGTACACCGCTTAAGGTTTTTTTTTGAATATCCGCGGTTGCTTGCCAATCATCTGGCTCAGCATTGTCACGACCCTTTGAATCTTCTTGCCAATTGTTGGTAACAATTGGCTCGCTCAAAGCGAGCATTCTGCTTAGCTCTTTAACGCGATAACAAAAAACGCTCAGCGCGAATCTTCCATCTTCCCATTTTTCACCAAGTCTCCCACATCCACCACCACCACGATTCATATTTGGTATATTCCAGAACCTGCAAGTAGCGTTTTTTACTATGTGTTATCGAAAATACAACAACCACAAGGAAACGATAACAAAAACGCTCGATGTGCGCTGCGCTTCGGAGTTAAATATATTTTAACTTTTTGCGTGCGTTAACGCGATAACAAAAAACGCTCAACACGAACATTCTGTTTAGCCCTTTATTGCTTCCTTGTGGTTGTTGTGCTCAACGGATCTATTCATCCCTTAACATCAAATGTTGCCTGGCCACTTTATTACTCATTAATAGCACTTGTCGATATGGCCGTAATTTATCGATTATTCTACCATCCCTAGTACATAACCAACTTTTGAGTTCTGCGGGTAGAAAACTTCGTTTGTTCTAAGTAAATTCTACAAAAAGAATATATACTGTCTCGTTTCGGCCCACTAAAATTATCAACAACTTTCTTCAGACTAAATCTTTCTAACAAAAATAAATTTCAGACATAAAACACAATTAAAAAAAAAAAAACAAAAACATTGCGAATTTGTTCTTTTCGATAATTATCCATACAATCGAATAATAGACGAATGTTTTGTGGTGTTTTGTCATCCCTAGTTTTCATTGAATGTAAAATGGCGACAATTTTCCATAACTAAATTTTGTGGATGGAATTTTTCTTATAGTTTTTTTATTGCTGCAGACAATTTATTTAAGAAAATTGACCGATTAGTTGTTACATTTAAAAATCGTTGGTTCTTTGCATTCAAGCCGAAGCACGTTCAAACACAATCTCAGTACGGTTTGGATCGTCGAAAATTTCTTTTGTTTGGCAAAAAGGTGTAACGGAGTTGTCGGCATAAATAATGTGGAATCAGTGGTCGCAATATGCGGCACAACCCCCGCTGCCAATGACAGCGGCACCGCCACCACCACCCAGTGATCCATCACAAGCGGGGGCACCACCGCCACCTGGACCAGCTGCACCAATGGTTGGTCCGGCTGTGGCACCTCTACCTACTGCCGCAACGGCAGTGGCAGCAAATCCCGCTGTTGCCGCTGCAGCCACAAATCCCTACTCCCAGTACACGGCTGCCCAGTATGCTGCACTGACACCAGAGCAACAATATACACTACAGCAACATTGGCAACAATGGCAAAAATATCAAGAAGAATATGCCAAATGGCATGCCCAGTACGGTGAACAGGTAAGTCAATATTTTAATTTTTTCCCACTAGAGTCAGATTACTTATGTTTTCTTTGTCTTTTGTAGTACAAGCGAGAAATGGAGGCAGCAACTAAACCTGCTGCAACTGCACAAGTTGCCACAGCAGCAGCAGTTCCAGCACCTGGATATCCGGGATTTATTGGTCCAGTACCTCCAACTCCGGCACAGGAAGCTGAAGTTAAAGCTAGTACAACAACAACGACAACGAAAATAACTGGACAACCGCAATTATACAATCAACCACCTCCACAAATTGCTCCCGGTAATCAGTACTCCGTTTCGAGGCCACCGCCACCAATAACCGGTTCACATCAACAAGGTACATCCCAACCGCCACCATCTCAACCTTCATATCAACAACCACCACCTCAATGGCAACATCCTCAATCTTTTAATCAGCCACCACCCAATTTCAATGCTTCTGTGGCACCGCCGGGTAATTATCCATCGGCACAAAATGTACCAAATCAATGGACCTCAGGTCCCCCGCCCTTTTCCAATCAAAATAATCAACCTCCACCACCACCAGCTTCAGATCAATTTGGTGCTCAAAACAAGGGACCCGGAGGTAATAAGGCTGGTCCAAATGATTGGAATAACAGAGGCAGTTTCGGGGGACCAGATAATATGAATCGTGGTGGTGGAGGTGGGAGAACTGGTGAAAAATGGGAAGATGGACCACCTCCTAATCGTGGTAATGTCAATAGTGGACCTAATGACTGGCAGCATAATAGACCACCTCCTAATGTTGGAGGTGCCAACAATTGGCAAGAAGATTCAAAGGGTCTTGACAATGCTGAACCAGATGATTGGCAAGACAATCGCGGAAATTCAAGAAATCGTAATCGCAGCAATGAACGTGATGAACGTTGGAGAGGAGGTGGTCGTGGGGAAAATGACGGTCCCTGGAGGGGTGATAGTGGTCGCGACGGTAGTCGTTTTAACAATTGGAATGACAATCGTGGAAGAAATGAGCCCAATGACTGGAGAGATGGGCCCAACAATCGCGGAAATAATAGAAATAGCTCCGGTAATCGTGCAGACAATGATAATCGTGACATGGGTCCAAATAATAACCGTTTCAGTGGTGGTAGTGGCGGTTGGGACAACAATCGTCCTAATAACTGGTCCGATAATTCGAGAGGCCCAAGAAATTGGCAAGATGGTCAAAATAATCAAGGAAATAATTGGAAAAACAATGGACCCAATAATCGTTTTGGTGGTGGTCCTCCCCATAACCAGGGTGGAAATACTGGCGGTCGCCCAGTACCAGACATCGATGAAGAGATGTTCGATCGTCAATTCAAACAATGGGAAGAACAATTCGAGGATTGGAAACGCGCCAATGCCAATCACCCCGATCGTGAAATGTACGAACGTTACGAACAAGAATTTGAGAAACAACGTAAGCGGATAATCGAGAGGCGTGAACAAATGCGACGTCGAAAAATGGAACGTATGGGTTTGGATCCAAATCAAGCACCACCACCCTCCTCAAATATGCCAGGAACTTATAGCAGAGACTCGTCTAGAAATCGTGATGACAATTCTTCCCTTGGGAATAGAGATGATGAAAAATCCCGAGACGATGGAGTACCATCTCAAAAATTGGATGACAAAAATAATACAAAGGAATCTGAAGAAGATAAAAATACGGAAGACACTGCCCCTACCACACAATCTAATGCCCTAGAACCGAATAAATTTAATGTTCAAAAATCTACCCCATTGGGTAAACGTAAATCTCGTTTTGATAACAGTGGCCCAACACCCAATAAGGTGGGAAAACCCGGAAATCAATCTATCAAAGGAGGTAACAACAATGCGGCTGAAGTTATAAATCTCGACGATGACGACGATGATGCTTGCGATAACCGAAAACAATCTGAATCGGAATCAGCTGGTGAGACTATGACTGGAATATTTAAGAAATCCGATGGTATTCCGGGGTTAGATTTAGTTAATGATGGAAGTGTTGCTACAGATTCGGAGCCGGTAAAAGATAAAGCAGATGATAAAAACCTGGATGCTCAGAAGAAACCCCTTAAGAAAAATGATAAACCTATTGCTGAGGTTAAACCCGCTACGTCTGCTGCAGTTATACCGGATATTTCGAAGACATTAAACGATCCCGAATTTATGAAGAAAATTTCTGAAGCTGTGGCCAAGGCTCAAGGTAAAGATGAAAAACCCATGCAGCATGGTAGTGATTGGCAGCGTAACAAAAATGATTTCGATAATGACAATTCAAATGATCGATTTTCGGCGGCTGCCAAATCATTTGCTGAAGATGAAAATTCAAATGCCAGTTATGGTCGATCTTCGAGGCAAGGAATGGATGACGATATGCGACAAGATAATTTCGGACCCAATCGCGGAGGTGGTAATAATTGGGGTCCCAATAATGGCCCAGGAGGACAATGGGGAAATAATGATTTTAATAATTGTGGTGGTCCCAACAATTGGAGAAATAATGGCGGTCCCAACAACAATAACTGGGGACCCAACGGTCCAGGTGGGCCTAACAATTGGGGACCTAATGGTCCTGGTGGTCCTAATAATTGGGGACCGAATGGCCCGGGTGGCGGACCGAACAATAATAACTGGGGTCCCAACAACAACAATTGGGGACCCAATGGCCCAGGTGGCGGACCGAACAATAATAACTGGGGTCCAAACAACAACAATTGGGGTCCTAATGGCCCTAACAACAACAATTGGGGTCCTAATGGCGGTGGACCTAACAATTGGGGACCAAATAATAGAGGTGGACCCAACAATTGGGGTCCAAATAACCGAGGCGGCGGGGGTGGTCCCAATAATGGTGGTGGACCATGGGGTAGAAATGGAGGTTGCGGACCTTGGGGAAATAATGGTCCAAATAATAATGGCCCCTGGGCGAATAATAATGGCCCTTGGTCAAATAATAATGGCCCCAACAACAACAACGGACCTTGGGGCAACAATGGAGGTCCTTGGAATAATAATAATGGTGGTGGTGGCGGTAATGGACCCAACAACAATTGGTCTAACAATGGCAATAATTTTGGTCCCAATTTCCGTGGACCCAATAATAATCGCAATTTTGGCCCAAATGGACCCAATAACTCAAACTTTGGCCCAGATGGTCCCAACAGTCCCAATGTTGGTCCCAATAGCCGCAACAATGGACCAAATAATAATATGCCTGGACGCAATTTTGGACGTGATGGCCCACAAAATCAAGACGACGATTCATCAAATAATGCTCAAATGCCACGTAATGTCAATAATCCATTCCGGCGTAATGAAAGTTCGAAGACACCCTCATTGGATGGTGGAAATTCCCCTAGGCCATGGACAAAAGGAGCAGGGTAAGTTATCTTAAATTGAATTATTATTATTATTATTGTTATTGTAAAGAAATAATTCCTATAAACGTATACACGGTTATAACATTTTTAATGGATTATATATGAAACTTACGGCAAATTCATTTCGCCTGAAAGTATGCAATACTAAAATGTGAAAACTACTATATTGCCTTCGTTAAACATTATTAGCATACACCTTATTTAGTAAATATCCTATCTATTATAGAAGGAAGGATTTCCTTTACCACCAAAAAAATATCCTTGAACTCATAAGGTTTACAGTTGGTAATGTCCTTCCCTTAATGTTTTGCAAAAAAGGGCCAAACAAATTGCTTTTTTCGATATGTGAACCTATCTAGCTAGCAACCAAACATCATGAATCGATCTATGAAAATTGTAGTTGCCCTCCTCAACCATAATTTGTGTTTTTTTTTTTTTTTGCAAAAATCAATTAGACTATTTAACTTACTGTACTGATACAAATCCATTCACGTTTGACAGTTAACAATATTGGAATTTATTCCATTTCTTTTCCTCTCTTTTCATTGTTTGCCACTCTACAACTCGACTACGTGTATCTACTGAAAACAAAACGAAACAAAACAAAAAAATACGAACGTATTTTCTCCGGTTATTTTGGGTTAATATAGCGGTAAATCTAAGTTTGACGATAACAAGAGGACAAACAGGAATCGTCGTCGAAAATAGGCAACATATACCACAAATCTAACCGTAAAAAAAAAACAAAATAAAATACAAAAAATATCCCTGAAAATGAAAAACAAAACAGAAGAAAACAACTAGAATTGAAATAATTATAAGTCTAACTCACTCACTCTCTCTCTCTATCTTTTAAATCCGTTTATGTGAATTACATATATTTGATTTAAAAACTATCGATCGCAGATAATTGATTCCTTTTACCTTAACTACATTCACACACACACATACACTCACCACACAATCATCTACACATACACCACAATTCTCCTACTATATTATATGGCTAAGATTTTTCTCATTACAGCTTCATGCTGTATAGATAAAATAACAATTTATAGAGATTGTTTTTTTGAGAATAGTAGTTAAAAATACCTACACATACATACACAATGAAATAAACAATATGTGTCTCCCTAATTTACTTAATGCTTAAGTAATTATTCATTGAAAAGAAAATTCTCGTTTTATTAACTGAACTGAAGAATTTTTGTTTTTTGCCAATAAACGAAATATAGTTATTACAAAAAAATAATAACATTTTTAATTTTAATTGATAAAAAACCTCAGAATGTTGTCAGTCTCTATATTCATTCGGCCGGGTCGAATTTAAAAAATAAAATATTATTCGTATTAATATTCAAATCAAATATTTTTTGGTTACAGTTTCAAAATAACTTTCGTAAACTGAAGCTACAAAATATTGCAAAATGTTATTATATAAAAATTACAACTGATAATCGTTTAATTATAACCAGTACAAAAATCGATTTTATTATTTGAAAAATATAGAGTACCGGATCTATCTTCCGCAAATAAATGTTATTAACGGATCCTATACTTTATACGATTTTTTTTGAAAATATATATACACTCAGTAGTAAGTCTGCGTACAACCTTACGCTTTACTCTACAAAGGTCTGGGTCACTACCTCTTAAAGTGACCCCCTTAACGCTGTGGTGTCATGCGACCTCGTGCCCATCAGCGTTCTATGGTTTGCAGTCAGGGTCTCGACTGTATTAGAACGGAGCCTTGTAAAAACAAAAACAACATGGTATGCGATTTTGGTGTAACTGCCATGGCAACCTCTGTCTCGAACTCTACAAGGTCAGACTTCAATGAACCCCCAAAAATGTTGACGAGCCAAGCTAACCCCCTGTACCTCTCTTTTGCCTCAAATCCTGTTACTCTCAACGACGTGAGCGAAAGCCTCACGGATCTTCTCCTCAACTTATTAGAGTAAACCGGCTCCTTTCGCCTTAGTCAGGAGAGTATCCCGAGAATCAACTCTGGGACGACTCACCCTTCTCAGACGAGGAAGACATCATGGAAACTACAGTGATTAGCACTACGATAACGAAGTAAGGTGAGTCCTCCCAGATGATGAGTAGGGTAGTAAACCCTAGCTTGGTTGAGGATCCGAATTCAATCTCGATGGTCTGTAGTGACGTCGCGAGTCTTCTCAGGCAGTTGACTGACGAAGCCGAGACTGGGACTGATGAGACTCCCGTCGTTAAGATGGATGAATCATCAATACCTGAAACTGCAAGACAAGTCAACGCCAAGGAGATCGCTGCCAAGAATATGTACCGGAGAGCGCTTCAACCGATTCATTGGGCGGCATAGTGACTCCATCACGGAAAAGGAGTTCCTTTTGATCAAGGACTCAGTTTCACAAGACCGCCATTCGAAAAAACCTTGAAAAAGAAGCACTTAAATAAGCCTCGGGAATTTTTGGAAAATAGTAATTTTCTGAGATGAGAACAAGTTTTGTGTTTTTTTTTTTTTGGAATCAAAGGGCGCAAGATGGTATAGCGAAAAAAGGTTACGGGGCTCGATAAGAACAAATTGGTACCGACTGTGAAACATGGCGGCGGCGGTGCAATGATGATGGGGATGTATGGCTAGTACTGGTGTGGGACAATTGGTGTTCATCGAGTCTACTATGTATAAATATGCGTACCTTAATATTTGAATGGCAAATTTGAAGCGGAGCAGTGTGCTTGGGATCATTATCTTATGACATGGTTAAGCTTTGGATACTCTATAACATCCCTAAACCGCTCCAAACGCCGTCACAGTCTCCTGATCTGAACCCAATCGATCACCTAAGGGAAGCCCTGGTGTAATGACAAATACAACATCACAAAATTACCTCTAAGTATAAATATAATATCTTTAAAGAAATTTTCACAAGCTGGCCTCTTCGATGTCAAAGCGCTTAGCAGAAGTTTTAAAACCTAAAGGCTATCTAAAATATATAAAAATGAAATAAAAGCTATATTTCTTTTAAATTAAACAAAAAAAAAAAAAAAAAAAAAAAACAAAACTAAAATTTATCATATTTTTATGTTATATAAAATATACTGGATTTTTTAAAACATATTTCAGGGTTTTTTTTAACGAATTGTATATATTGATATCTTGTATGCAGACTTTTTCTACTGAGTATATAAAAGGATTTCGATGCAAGACCCGAGTAAATGGGAAGAAAAACTATAAAAACGTACAAGTATCGAATTTGTCTTTGATGACTCTATCTAAAAACTTACGAGTGAAAATGTTTGAATTGCAAAAAATGTCGACTTGTGGTAGTTAGTATGCTATTCGTGAAAATAAAGACCAACAAAGTAGAGTAAAACTCGAGTAACAGGACAACAAAAAAAAAAAAAAACTCATTTGATTTAACTTACCGCTTTTGGCCGGATTCTTATTCATTGGGCTCTCCCTCGGACTGACTTCGACAGTCCATTATCCTCAGTTTTCGTGGATGATGGTGTCAGGTGTTTCTGAGCGCTTAGTTTACCTTTGAGGGGAACTGAGCGCTCAGACGTCCCAGCCACCAACTTTCTAGTTGTGTTCGGGCCACTCACAGTCTTCTCTTTTGGAGGGACTACCGTGGTGGTCTTCACACATGGCGTTGAAATTCTTTTAATCAAGAAGTCCCTCGCAATATCGTTCGAATTGTTCCTAGAGAACTTCCGAATGAATTTGAGTTACCTCTTGATCAAAAGAAATTCTTTATCCGTTATCGAGTCTCAGTCCCGTCCGATAAACCGGTTGCAGTAATTAACCGCTCTCCGGTAAATCAACTTGTCGGAGATATCATTGGCATTGGCTCGTTTAGAGGTTCCCGGTTCTTATGAGTCATCTATCTTTACGAGGGGATGCTCATCAGCCCCAGTCTCCACTTCGACAGCCAGCTGCTAAGAAGTCTCGAGACTTCACTATAGGCCGTGCACATGTGATTAGGATCCTTTTCCTCGCCAGGGCTTACATCCCTACTCATCAACTCAGAGAACTCAGCTTGATTCGAATGAGACACCCGGATAGCTACTGTATTTGTCACTGTAGTGATAATCACTATAGTTTCCATGATGAATTCCTCGTCTGTCAAGGGCGAGTCCTCCCACAGTTTATTTGGGATGGTCTCCTGACTGAGACGGTTTCCCGGAGTTGTTAAAATTCTGCTCCATAGAAAAAAGATTTTAGTGAGGATTTGAGGTCGGCCAAGGCATAGCCTTTTACCTTGGTAAGGACTCGGCAACTAAGCCTGATTAAAGTTGTTGAGGCGCCCAGGTATCAACAAGGCTCCGTAGAACACTGATGGGCACGAGGTCGTGGGGAGCTGAATTATCAACTTGGAATTTTGCAAAGTCGCACAGGAATTTAAACATTTTGAGTACATAAATTGAATAAATAAATATATAAAATTAACGCTTAAAAAAAAAACAAATATAAAAAACTTGTAAGGAAAGTAGTAAAGTCGGACTGGGCCGACTTTGTATCCTAACAATTTCATTTCAATGTTCCCTCGAAGAACATACTCATGCCTTTCTGCCAACTATGCTAAATTTTGTTTCATTTGGGCAGAGTTAAAGTCGTTTACGTACAATGGGACACATTTATGGTAATCGATTTAGAGCAAATTTGATGAACGCTACCGAGCACTGTTAAGCATTTAATCTCAATTCAGTACGCTATACCAATATTCGTGCAAAGATATATAGGGGCTTCGGTAAACCATTTACATAAAATCGGACGAAAATATATATGAGAGCTGTAAAAAAATCTGAACCGATTTTTCCTAATTTCAATAAGGTTAAAAGCGTAAAAAAACTACAAATGAAGCGTACAAAAACTACAATTTTTGTTGTCTATAATTTTATTCCGAAGTCTAATATGCAGATATCCGATTGAACTTCCCATGACTAATCTGTTGTAATTCGTCATGTGAAGTTATTGGAACTTTTCAGATGAAGGAAATGTGTACAGCATCTATTAATGAGTTCCTCCACATTTCTCGTTTTCCATGTTAATTTTATGCAAATGTCAAGGTCACTACAGTTACCAATGTATCTTGCATTATGTCGGATGTGGTAGGAAGATATTAACTTCTCAAACAAGACTAGATAATCGACATGGACTACAACAGTTATCTTGAGATTTTCTATCTTAACCAGGATCTAATTTATAACGTGAGGCCACGATCCTCTTTCCTTGCGGTATATCCTCTGTTGATAATAAGACACCTTTGCACTCGAGTGCGGAATGGATAGATTCCAGTTCCAAGTTATTGAAGGCTCCTGTTTAATATCTAGGAACAATATTGCAGGAGGTGAGGGTTCTGAGCAGTTTAACTGTCTTACATCAGTGCAGATGTTTCTACGTTACGTTACTGGAACTTTATTTGGAACAGCTTCATCAACAATAATGAGCCGCAGGATATATCAAATAAAACTCTGACATATGATCATGAATTTGGAAACATTAGTAACTGTTTTATGAGCTCCTAACAAAGCTCGTCCTTATGAATAAACATTATCGAAACTGAGACCTATTTTGAAGCTAACAAAAAATTATGTCGTGACTTTTCAATAGAGTTGTTATAGTTGTCATATATGTGATCCACTATTTATTTGAAATTATTATGTATTCGAAAAGCATTTTATTTGCGTGTACTCTCCGAAATGAAATAGTTTTATTTTTGCAACAGAGAAAATGCCATATCACACCAGTGTACCATTTCCCTCCCAGAAGGAACTGGTGATCTATGCTCAGGTGGTCAACTAATTTCCATACTATATTCTTCTATTGTTCTCAGTTATGAACCCCACAGTTTATAAACAGGTAAATTTGTGAGTTATTGCTTAAAAATGATGCACAATTTTAAAAAATTGGAATATTTGCATGGCCAGATTCCTGAGATGCTTTTATTTATAATTCATAGTTTAACAATTAAACATTAATATACATATATTTATTTAATGTATATATAATTTTGATACCTACATCTAGCTCAAAACTTATAGTATAATTTACAAAACAAAAAGATAGTACAACGATAAATTTTAATAGTTGCAAATGTAGCACGGTTATTGAACTACGTATGACCCACTCGTAGGGTTAAGAGCACAACGAAAAACATATTCATTATAGGACTATGTTTCACAGTATATACTATACTTTGGATACGTTTTTTTAAGCTATTCATTTCATATAATTATAAAGAAATAAAACGAAGTCCAGCTATAGGTCGATTAACTATTTCTCTAATAACTGTTGATTGTTCCTTTTTATTAAGAGAGCAAAACACAAACGTGTGAAGCATTTCGAATATTCACAATATTCAAATGAAGATTACAAAAATAAGAGATATTTTATATACTACTTAATTAAGTTTTATTTCCAATTGTGTGTGTATACATTTTCTTCTACTTCTTCTGAGAATAATATCAGAAAATCAAAAGAAACAAAAACAAACAAAAAACAGAAATAAGTTTTATTCAAAAAATAAAAAAAATTGCTAAGAAATGAATGAATTTTTATCCTACTGTTGTGGCCATACGAAAACAAAACAAAAAAACGTTAATGACTGGCAACAAACAGATCCTTTGGTGATGGTGGTAAAAATTTCGATTATGGTGGCGATGATTACTTCCGACCCGTGCAAGTTATTGATTATGCCAACAATGCAAATGCACCACCAAAAGTGATTGATTATGGACATAAGCCAGTAACTGGTGGAGGTGGTGGTTGTGGTGCCGATGGCGATGACTTTAAGCCAATGAAAATTATCAATTATGATCATGCCTCGAAGCCGAATAATCCGAAAAGTGGAGGCGGCGGCGGCAATGCAGTTGGAAATAAACGTGGTAAAAATCGTCGAAATAAACAAAATAAGCAACAACAACAAAAGCGTGGCAATCAATCACAAAACAACAAACAGCAGCAACAACAACAACAGTCTGCCAACGCAACTAACAATAAAGCAAATAATTCAAATCAAGCTGCTAAGGTAAGAACAAAAGAACATTTTGCATGAAACCAGAAAAAAAAACAAAATTAACAAAATCTAATTTTAATTATAGAATATTGGCGAGAAGAATGCACCACCAGAAATTCAAGAAGAGCATCAAAATGAAGAACAACTTGAAGATATTTCAGATAATGAAGAGTAAGTGTGTTAACCCAATCCAATTTAAATATTTGCCAAACTTAACAGCAACATCTTTTTAATTTTCTTCACAGCTTGCCCGATCAAATGGACGATGATGGGGCTGATGATTATTCTCAACAACATAGTCCAGCACCACCGCCACCACCTTTGTATAGTAGTGGTGCAGGAAACTCAGCGCAAACGCAATTTCAATTCAATTCTTCGTCGCAATCATCATCATCATCGATATTTCCCTCGACAGCCGAAGCCAATGAAAATATCAACAGAACGATGACTGTCGATCATGTTCAAATGTCAATACCAACTGTAGAGAATAGTAATACAATATCGATTGAAGAAATCCTCTTACCACCGGGACGTGAGACACGTCCGAAAAAAATATGCATCATCCTGCGTGGACCACCGGGCAGTGGCAAATCACATGTCGCCAAATTGATTAAAGACAAAGAAAAGGAAATGAGCGGTAATAATCCGCGTGTCCTCAGCATTGACGATTATTTCTTAATTGAAAATGATTATGAAGAGAAATGTCCGAAAACGGGTAAAAAGGTAAGACAAACATATAATAATAGCCAATAGTTTTTTTTTTCTATACAAAAAATGATTCAGTATAGGCAAATACTTTTTTCAAGGAGATAAAGTTTGAAAATTTGTACATCTCATATGAAGCGAACGGAATATTCATTTTCATCTAAACTTCCCACATTTTAATATTTTATACCTAGCCTATTTCGAATCCAAAGATGGATTGGACAAAGTCCAATCCTTCTGGTACCTTTCCCACAATGTGTGAAAATTTCGAAAATTTGTTAATCCAATGACAATGATTATGGAATGTCCGAGTCGATCTTGTGCGCATCTGACCATATTCCGAGATGTTGATCTTTCCATCGGATTTGTGGCCTTCCCTTCTGCGTGAACCATCAGTTCGCTCGATTTTATATGCCTCTTGAGCTGGGGCATCCTCATCCATTCTCACAACATGACTTAGCCTAGTTAGCCGCTGCAGCTCGATACGTCTGACTCGATGTCGATGTCCGAGAATAGATGGTACAGCTCATGGTTCATTCGACAGCGATAATTACCATCGACTCAGACCAGCCCATAGATCTTTCGGAGAATTTTTGCGCTCAAACACATTAAGAGCTGCCTCATCTGCTTGCGCAAATACCCATACTTCAGATCCAGATAACATCACCGGTAGTATCAGCGTCTTGTAGAGTATGAGTTTGGTCTGCCGAGAGTTGGACTAGATTTGGAGTTGTTCACTCACACTATTGTAGCATCTGTTGGCCAACATTATTTTCCTCCAGATGTCAAAGCTGATTAGTAGTAGTATTTATGGCGGTACCGAGATATATACAAATTTTGACTACCACAGGACACAGTTGGTCCAAATCTATTGGACGTATTGCGCGTTGATACTATTTGGTCTTCTGGCCACTTACTGCCAGTCCCATTTTGGACTCCTCAATTTGTTTAAAAGTTACTGTTACTGCTCTCAATGTTCGACCCATTATGTCGATGTCATCGGCGTAGGCGAGTAACATATGCTGTTTAGTTGTTGTTGTTGTAGCAGCCCTATTGCTTTTACACAATGGGCTGAGGTGACAGACGTTGGTCGAGTAAGACTCGGGTCGTTTCGGATCGTAGGCCCCTCTGTCGTGGAAACGATGCTGTTTGGTGTACCATTTTGGTGCCATTTCTGTTCACATTTTCCTCTCGTGTGACCTATTCCACCAGGATGTTGAACAGGTCACACAATAAACTGTCACCTTGTCTGAATCTTCGTTCGGTATTGAAAGCCTCCGATAGGACCTTTCCAACTTCAACTGCTGACCTTGTGCCAGTTAAAGTTATCCTGCATTGCCGATAATAATTTTGCCGATTTTTTGTGATGAACGCAGACATGACTTTAAAAACTTCTGAACGGATAGGGCTGATGAATTCTGCTTTGCTTTTACACAATGGGCTGAGGTGATAGACGTTGGTCGAGTAAGACTCGGGTCGTTTCGGATCGTAGGCCCCTCTGTCGTGGAAACGATGCTGTTTGGTGTACCATTTTGGTGCCATTTCTGTTCACATTTTCCTCTCGTGTGACCTATTCCAGCAGGATGTTGAACAGGTCACACAATAAACTGTCACCTTGTCTGAATCTTCGTTCGGTATTGAAAGCCTCCGATAGGACCTTTCCAACTTCAACTGCTGACCTTGTGCCAGTTAAAGTTATCCTGCATTGCCGATAATAAGTTTGCCGATTTTTTGTGATGAACGCAGACATGACTTTAAAAACTTCTGAACGGATAGGGCTGATGAATTCTGCTTTGCTTTTACACAATGGGCTGAGGTGATAGACGTTGGTCGAGTAAGACTCGGGTCGTCTCTGAACGTAGACCCCTCTGTCGTGGAAACGATGCTGTTTGGTGTACCATTTTGGTGCCATTTCTGTTCACATTTTCCTCTCGTGTGACCTATTCCAGCAGGATGTTGAACAGGTCACACAATAAACTGTCACCTTGTCTGAATCTTCGTTCGGTATTGAAAGCCTCCGATAGGTCCTTTCCAACTTCAACTGCTGACCTTGTGCCAGTTAAAGTTAACCTGCATTGCCGATAATAATTTTGCCGATTTTTTGTGATGAACGCAGACATGAATGGATAGGGCTGATGAATTCTGCTTTGTAGTCGACGAATAGGTGGAATTTGTTGATGTATTTTTTTGTGGGTCTTTTCCAGGATTTGCGCAGTGTGAAAATCTGGTCTATGGTGGATTTGCCAGGTCTGAAGGCGCATTGGTATGGTCCAATAATGCCATTGACCATTGGCATCAGTTGTCCACACAGTACGCTGGATGGGACTTTATATATGCGATAGGAAGGAGTCTTATTCTCCTTTTTTGTGCTCGGGACACAGGATGCTAAGCTTCCAATCATTGGGCATGTACTCCTCTAGCCAAAATATACTAATCAGTTGGTGCATGCTCCTGATCAGTATCTGACCACCGGCCTTAAATAGTTCGGCTGGTATCCATAGGCAGCTGCTGCTTTATTGTTTCTTCAGCCGATTAATTGCTATTCTGACCTCATCTTGGCTAGGTGGGTATATGCCGTCTATGCCGTCAACTCTTATTGGTTCATGGGGTATCTTCTTCACCGTTACTATTTGATACCAGAAGCTTTGGAAAATGATCCTTCCAGATTCTCAACACGCTGTCTGTATCTGTCACCAGATTTCCATTTACAGGAGGATGTGCCTGCACCAAAGCCTTCGGTTTGGTGTTTTAGTCGTTGGTAAAATTTCCCAACTTCATGCTGATCTCAATTTGTTCACGTTCACGTTTTTCATGTTCATTCTTCTTTATTCTGAAAATACTTTTCTCCTCTCTGCTTTACTTCCTATAATTCTCTCTTACATTGTGTGTTTTCACCTCAGTAGCATTACGACACTCCTGATCGTACCATGGGTTTCATGATGATGGTCTTTGGTACCCAAGTATTGCTTTTGCTGCAGTTTGTAGGTAGTGGGTAATTCTTTGTCATTGTGCTTCTATATTATTATCGGAACAAGGAGTGCAAGGAGGGGAGTAAGTTGAGCGGGGAAGGCTTCTGTTATTTGTTGTGTTTGCAGATTTTCAGGTGGCCTTGTGAATATCGAGATACTTGAATCTGATGCTGCTGATAAATCTTTCATAAATATTTCTGTCTTTTTTCTTTGTTAGGAATTTTTTTCGTAGAGAAAAAATATGTTCGAAAAAATTGACAACGTGGAATAAGGGATTATTTTTTCTATATAGAAAATACGACTCTCTGTTGCAATTATTTGTTATTGTTTCTATTTGTTAAATCTCTATATATCTCTAATTTTTTATTATTACAGATACCCAAAAAGGAGATTCTCTATGAATATGATAAAGATATGGAAGAGACCTATATGCAATATTTGATTAAATCATTTAAAAAGACAATACTAGATAATTTTTATGATTTTATTGTTATTGACTGCAATAATAATTCATTGAGGACATTGAATGAATTTTATTGTCATGCCAAAGATTCTGGATATGTGGTAAGTTTTTCAGTTTTTATCGAACAGCTGATGGCATCAAACTTTATTGTTGTTGTTTTACAATATATTACAATTTTCTTAATGTACATGCATTTCTTTGTGTGCTTGTGTGTGGGTGTATGCATTTCGTTTTGTTTTCCAATTCGATATTTATTTTTTGTTTTCTAGCCCTATATAGTAGATTTACATTGTGATTTGGAGAAATGCCTGGAGAATAATGTGCACGAACGTACCGAAGCTGATATTAAAGAGATTTTGGATAGTTGGAAACCCACACCATTCCATTATATTATACTAGACATTGCCAGTTTAATACAAAATGTTGTGGAAATGGAAGATGTTGAGGATATGCCAGTGGTAAATATAATTTAGTTTTTTTTTGTAATCATAATTCAATTTCTTTTTCAGCAGAGGGGTAATTTAATTATTTATTTTTTCGGATACAATATAAAAGTAATATAATTACATATGATTTTCCTTAGATTAGTTGAAAATATATATTTATTTTTCACTGAAATTAAATTATTATGGAGCGGACATATGATCTTGATGTAAATCTCTTGTGTAGAATCTCTTGTATAAACAGGGATCCACTAGTGGTATGTTTGGTTTTGATTATGGGATATAATCTAGACTACAGACTGATAAGCATGCACAGCGAATTTATTTGCTACATGTGAGATAAATAAATGTGTGCGTTCACCCCCTTTCTGTTTGATGGCAGATGTGAACCGGTGTGTTCTATCTTTAGTGTAAATTAGATTATGTTACATTATCATATATAGTTCTTAAGCAATATTTTTTATTTTAATAAATTAGTATCTACATACACAAAAACTTGAACAGTCATGCATAAGCACTCCACGAAAATATAATCGTGTAATAAATTGATTTCTGTTTTTGTGGATTTTTTAAACAGTCCTCTGTTTTGTGATGAAAAAAAAAAACAAACTGATAATTATCTATGACACTATCCATTCGAACTATATGTTGATATATATTTCTATTGCACTATGGTCGTAATTCTAAAATGAATTATTTGTAATTTATAAGAGAAAACAACTGATCCTCCTCCTAGTTTGCCATTGGATTTGATTTCCATACAAACATTGAGGACGAACTATTTTTGTATATATCTAAGATTGTTGAGAACATCTGTGTGCCTATGTCTATTCTATAAAAGAACTATATTTTTCTTTCTTTCTATATTTCTTCGAATTTATTGAATGTAACAATTTTATCCATGCGAATCTCCAATTTTAGGGTTTCTTTTATACCTATGGGTCTTGAAATATAATATAATGTAATCTATATTTTAATACACGAATTACAATATTTTAATTTTAGGTATATTTTGAATTATTTTTTTAGATTCGCTCTTCTCATTGCCTTGTAAACGAAATTATAAAAATTATATAAAAGAAAGTGACTTTTAAAAAGTTAAAAAAAGTTAATTATTTAAAAAAATATATATATATTCTTTAGCAATTATCTAAGGGTTTTACGTTAATTAAAATCGAAAGGAAAAACAAAAAGGAAAAAACAGGAATATAAAATTATTTGTTCAAAGTATATCTGCCAACAATCGAAGGCAGCACCATAACCCATACAAAAGCAGTTTAAACGTGGGAAATATGCTTGATTGGAATTCATATGGATCACAAAATTGAGGCAGACCAAGAAATTACCTGGCGACGAACAATAAACCAAGAACTAAGACAAAATAAGATGCTAAGACAAGGGCAGCAAATTGATACAGATTGCAATGCTTTGTGGAAGCCTAAGTTAAAGAAGACTCCGATGATTCGTTATGAGTTACCAAATAAAAGTAGCACGCACAGAGATATACCAAGAGTGAAAGATAATTACAGCAAGAAGTGCAGAGAACATCAATGTTTGGAATTAAAAAAAGAAAGAATCAAGAATAATGAGTAGATGTAGATGTAATAAAGATGGAGCTCTCAACTGAGTATTCATATTAATCACGATGGTAGAAAACCATATTTTTAAAGAAGTCTTATACAAAACCTCTAGGACTTGTAGAGGACCTCTTGATCTTATAGTAGACTTGTAGAAGACCTCTGGGGCTTGTAGAAGACCTCTAGGACTGGTAGAAGGCCTTTAGGACTTGTAGAAGACCTCTAGGTCTTAAGGACTCCTCTAGGTCTTGTAGAACACTTCTAGGTCCTATGGAAGACCTCAAGGACTTGTAAAAGATATCAAGGTTTTATTGAAGAGCTCTAGATCTTATAGAAGACCTCTAGGACTATCTAGAATACCTCTTAATTTTGTAGAACGTCCTTAGGTCTTACAGTAGACCTCAAAGTCTTATAGAAAACATCGATATCTTGTAGTAAAGCTATATATCGTATAGAAAACATCATAAAAGAAGATCCTTATATCTTAATGAAGTCCCCTATGACTTTATGAAGACCTCTAGGTCTTAAGGAAGTCCGCCAGTTCTTATTAGGAAGAAAAATGTTTAACAGGCCGCTAAAGCGAATAGTATTAAGCGAATCAAAAATAAATCTAACATTAAGAAATTAGATCAAAATATTAGCTCAAGAAAAGGAGAGAGGAAAAAAAACAAGAACGAGAACAAGAACAAGAAATACGTGAACGTGAGCAAATCGAGATGTAAAGTTGTCAGAATGAAGTCCGGAAATTTTGCCAAGGAGTAAAACAACAACCTGAAGGCTTAGGTGCAGGCACATCCTCCTGTAGAGATGAAGATCTAAGCCTGGCGACACATACAGAGAGCATGTTGAGGATCTGGAAGGAGCATTATGCAAAGCATCTCGTATCAAATAGTGGCGGTGAAGAAGATACTCTATAACCAATAACAGATGAAGTGTGTATACCACCTAGCCAAGATGAGGTCAGAATATAAATTAATCGGCTGAAGAATAATAAAGCAGTATAGAGGGATGAGTCTCCTTCCCATCGCATATAAAGTCGTATCCAGCGTACTGTGTGGACAGCTGGTGGTCAATGGCAATGGTGGACAAATGCGGACAATGTTCAATGACATTATTGGACCATACCAATGCAGCTACAGGCTTAGTAAATCCATCATTGACCAGATTTTTCGTCTGCGCCAGATCCTGGGAAAGACCCATGAAAAATACATCGACACATTCCACTTATTCGTTGTCCATTATAAAGCCGCACTCAATGTGTTTAAAGTGTCCGCTCAGAAGTGTTTAAAGCCATGTCTGCGTTTGGTATTCCTGGAAAATTAATTCGGCTATGCAGGATAACTTTAGGTGGCACAAGGTCAGCAGTTAAAGTCGCAAAGGACCTCTCGGAGCCCTTTTAATATCCTGCTGAAAAAGGTAATACGAGAAGCAAAGGTGAATACAAATAGCACTCTGTACACCAAACTGCATATGTTACTCGCCTGCGTCAATAACATCGACATAATGGGTCGAACATTGAGTGCGGTAACAACCACCTTTGAACAAATTGAGAAGAAGTGTACCAATGTTACTCGCCTGCGCCGATAACATAGACATAATGGGTCGAACATTGAGTGCGGTAACAGCCACCTTTGAACAAATTGAGAAGAAGTCTACCATTGAGGATGCCCCACAGCTCAAAATGCATATAAAAACAAGCCAACTGATAGATCACGCAGAGGCCACGAATTCGATGAAAAGACGCAAAATGTCCTAGTGTCTTCCATCTGACGAATATTTAATTTTTTTTGATAGTATTTACCACGATAGCAGAATAACGACAGCTTCAAAGGCAAACTCTACTTGTTTTAAGCCAGCTAAAGAATGGAATGGTCCAAGTACTATTGACTCCGTACTCATGCCGATTCCTTAATGTATGTATGCCTAGCTGGGGTGTTTCCGTCCACTGCAAAATCAAAAAAAAAAAAAAAAAAAAAAAAATGCAAAGGTATCAGTAAGAGTAACGTTTTAAAAAATTAGAACCTATTGGTTTATTAGTTTTTTAAGTAAGAAAACTACTGGAAAAACCGGTAATAGAACATGAAATAAATTAATCATTTTTTATATTAAAAAATCTCCTGCTTTTGTTTATAAAAAATATAAGAAAACATGTGCTGATTGTGGATCAAAACAGTCCTGTTATACGCTCTATTTGCATGCTAAAATATTGATATTTCCCATTCCCAAAATTAATGGGAAATAAGTCGAGGGCGTAACCAAAGTATTGAAATTACTCGTACTCATTCATACTATATATTTTATTTTTAATTTAAATGAATATATTTATATTTGAATATTATTATTTTTTTCTATAAGTTACCGTTAAGAACTGAAATGTATTCTAATATGACATAAAATGGATATGGAAAGAGTATCTTCCTCTATATATATACTGGCTATAAAATTCTTATAACCCATCATGTTTCTTCTCGTTTCCTTTAAAACTAATGGGAAAATCATATGTCTTTTAATGTTTTTTTTAACAAATTAAAAACTTCTTAAGATATATATCAACGTCTTATAATGTGATACTGTGAATCCTTATTTAAGTAAATTTTTATAATGATTTTTTTTTTATTTTATATAAATATTCATACATACAAATATGATTTTGACATTTGTAATTCTTTTTTTGTAGGATAACAATACGGTGAATGAAAATACCGATACAAATAGCCAGCAGGCGTCGGCGGATGATAATGAAAGGGAATCCGGAACAGCGGAAGTCATTGATGAAAATGCCAGAGAATCCCAAGGTGGTGATGATAAGGCCGAAGATGGTGAAGAGGATGATAGCAATGATTCTTCAGAAAATGTAAGTTAATTGAGAGATATCGTCATATAAGAATATATAACAACAAATTGAGTTACTTTAGCTTTTTATAGAACAAAAATTAATAAATTTCGTAATAATATCTTCTTAATTTAATTTTTATAGCAGTGTGGATTTTTGAAAAGCAAATGGGAAACAGATACAACCACCGAGAATTTAGGTAAGGCATCTAAAATACATTTTTTGTATATAATTAAAAAGTAATAAATCTATTTTTATTTTTTGCTTCATATTACAGCCCGTTTGGATGGTACGAGTAAATTGAATCTGAAACGTAAACCAACTATGGAAGAATATTTACAAATGGATGAATGGCAGCCAGTACCAAGCAATAGTAAAGGCAAAAAGAGGGTAAGAATGAAAGAAATGCTTAGATTTTTTAAAAACATTTTTTGAGGAACCAACTCGAAATTGTATTTTTTAAGATCATATTCCTAGGGAATATATTTTGAGAGACCAACAAGAGGCTTGGGTTTTTAAATATTTTTTGGGGGACCACGCAACTCCTCAATTTTTTGGGAACAAACAAGCGGCGTCGATTTTTATATATATTTTGTAGGGACCAACAAAAGGCGTGTTTTTTTAATAATTTTTTGGTGGCCCACGAAATTTGGCACAGCGTATTGAATTAAGCCTAGAATGATTTGTGCTAAGTTTCGTGAAAATCGGTCCAGATTTAAATTTAGACCAATAGAAGCCGTAAATTATTTAAATTATTTGTTTAAAGAATATATTTTAATTTTATTTCAGTATTTTACATTTATTATTTTTTATTTCAAATATTTTTTTATCCCCCATGTTTTTTTGCAGGTTCGTTGGGCCGACATTGAAGAGAAACGTGAACAAGAAAAAATGCGTGCTGTCGGCTTTGTGGTTGGTCAAACCGATTGGAAGCGTATGATGGATCCAAATGCTGCAAATCGTGCACTAAATAAAACCAAGTATATTGAACGTGTCAACAAGCAAAGACGTTAAAATGAAAATCTAACTATTGCTGGTCGCTCGTTCTCACCTACAAATACTAGTTTTTAATACATACATACCATATAGTAATAATTAAATTTTTTTTCTTTTTGGAAATCATAATGTTAGGATTTGATGATAACAAGATGTCCTATTTTAATTTAAGGATAACATGTGTGTAGCAACTGTGCTATTATTTGTGTTATTCTATAACGATCATTAGCAATTAAATTAAATGCTAAAATATTTAAATAATACTTATTTAATGTATTGTGTTTGATAAAAAAAATAATTTTATTTGCCGATAATTAGCATAGATTTATAATAAAAATAATTATTAAGAATTTTAAATATAATATGAAATAAACTTACGCAATCATAAACGTATATGTGAAGAAAAAATAAATGTGTAGTTTGCTGTTTTACTATTGCAATTTAGACAAAGGGACTATAAATAAAATTTCGGATTTTTACAAGTCCAAGAACCTGAAGAAGCGTGTATTTTTTAAATTATATTTTTTTTTTCAAGGACCCACAGAAGCTTGGATTTTAAAGAATATTTTTATGGACCTACAGACGCTTGAATTTTTTTAAAGAATATTTTTTCAAGATTCCACAGAAGCATGGATTATTTAAAGAATAGTTTATCAAGGTCCTTTAGAAGCGTTTTTTTAAGAATATTTTTAGGGACCTACAGAAGCGTCAATTAAGTGAAGAATATTGTTTAGGGACCTACAGAATATGTTTTTAATGGCGCAGAGAAGCGATTTTTTCCACCGTAATCTTAATTCAGGTACGAAAAACAAAAGTCTTTATACTAAAAACTTAATTTAGCTATTCAAAACTAAATGTTTCATACAGATACTTTAATTCAGCCGAGTTATTTAGTTGTTTTCCATACGAAAAGCTAATTCAGCTGACCTTAAATAGACTTTTTTTAATTTTATATAGAAAACATTAATTCAGCTACGTAAAACTGAATATTTTATACAGAAATTTTAATTTAGCTGAGCTGAATAAAATTGTTTCCAAGTGAAATCCTAATTCAGCAAAGAAAAACAAATGTTTTCCTATCAAAAAATAAATTCAGAAACGTAAGTCAAAACATTTCTTATAAAAAATACAATTTAGCAACCCAAAATTTTTAAATATTTTAGTAAAAACCGAATTCAGCAACGCAAAACTGTAAATTTCATACAGAAAACTTAATTCAGCTGAACAAAATTCATTTTTTGCTACCGAAAACGTAATTCAGCAACGAGAAACAAATGTTTTCCTATGGAAAACATAATTCAGCAACAACAAATAAAATATTTCCCACATAAAAAACAATTCAGCATCGTTAAATTCAGAAAACTTAATTCAGCAGAATAAAAATCAGTTTTTCTATATAAAACACAATTCAGTAACTGAAAAATTACAAATGTCCTATAGAAAACTTAATTCAGCAAGACAAAACTATAAATTTCATAATTAATTCAGCTGAACAAAAATTAATTTTTTGCAAACGAAAACATAATTCAGCAAGGAAAAACAAATATTTTCCTATATAAAACACAATTCAGTAATCCAAAAATTATAAATTTCCCAAAGAAAAATTAATTCAGCAACGCAAAACTATAAATTTCATATAGAAAACATAATTTAGCTGAACAAAATTAATTTTTTGCTACCGAAAACGTAATTCAGCAACGAAAAACAAATATTTTTTTATCGAAAAGGGAATTCAGCAACAACAAACAAATTATTTCCCACATAAAACACAGTTCCGCATCGCAAAACTGTAAATTTCCCAGAGAAAACTTAATTCAGCAGAACAAAAATCAGTTTTTCTATATAAAACACAATTCAGTAATCCAAAAATTATAAATTTCCTAGAGAAAACTTAATTCAGCAACGCTAAACTATAAATTTCATATAGAAAAAATAATTCAGCTGCACAAAATTAATTAATTACCAAAAACGTAATTCAGCAACGAAAAACAAATATTTTCCTTCGAAAAGGGAATTCAGCAACGAAAAAAAAAAACAAAATATTTCCCACATAAAACACAATCCAGCAAAGCAAAACAATACATTTCCTAGAGAAAACTTAATTCAGCACAATTCAGTATTCCAAAAATTATAAATTTCCTAGAGAAAACTTAATTCAGCAACGCAAAACTATAAATTTCATATAGAAAACATAATTTAGCTGAACAAAATTCATTTTTTGTTACCGAAAACGTAATTCAGCAACGAAATAAATATTTTCCACATAAAAATTATTCAGCATCGTAAAACTGTAAATTTCCCAGAGAAAACTTAATTCAGCAGAACAAAAATCATGTTTTGCTACCAAAAACTCAATTCAGCAACGAAAAACAAATATTTTCCTATCGAAAAGGGAATTCAGCAACACAAAATAAAATATTCCCCAAATAAAACACAATTCAGCAACGAAAAACAATAAATTTCCTAGAGAAAATTTAAGTCAGCTGAACTAAATCCATTTTTTTCTACAGGACACATAATTTCGCTTATCTGAAATCTGATTTTCTTGCAGACAATACAATTCAACACACTCCTTTCAGCATGATCGAAATGCAGATTTTATGAAATTTAAATAAAGTTTTTACATAAAATTTCTAATTCAGCTCAGTAGAATATAAGTGTTTATAATTCAGCTAAGCTGAATATGATTTCCTTTTATAGAAAATCAAAGTTTGTGAAATTTATCGCTGTTTTCTTGTCAATAAAATCAATTCAGCTATGCTAAATAAAGGTCTAACCAAAACACCCACTTCAGCAAGATCGAAATGTACAATCAATTTAAATAAAGTTTTTAGAAAAACTAATTTCACTTAGCTAAATATAATTTTTTCTGCATAAAAATCTATTCAGCTAAGCTGAATATGAGCTCTTTTTACAGAAAATCTAAAAAGAAAAAGTTTTCATGTAGAATTACCAATTCAGCTTAGCTGAATTAATGTTTATTCATAGAAAACTGAATTCAGCTTAGCTGAATTATTTCTTTTTTATCAACAAAATCTGAATTCAACTTAGCTGAAAATCTAAATTCAGCCATTTTTTTATTTTTGATTTATCAATAAAATCAATTCAGCAAAGCTAAATTGAATTCAGCAAAGCCGAATAGAGTATTATGTTAAGAAAACTCAATTCAACAAGATCGAAATGTAGATTCCATACAACAAATAACGTGTTTATGTTGACGAAATAATTAGCTGAATACGATTTTTTACAGAAAACTGAATTCAATCGAAAAATAAAGAGATTTTCTTGAGAATAAAATCAATTTAGTACTGCTGAATTGATGTTCATTTACAGGAAACAGAATTCAGCTTAGCTGAATTAATGTTTATTCATAGAAAATTGAATTCAGCTTAGCTGAATTATTTCTTTTTATCAAAAAAATCTGAATTCAGCTAAGCTGAATTAATATTTTCTATATAAAACACAATTCAGTAACTGAAAAATTATAAATGTCCTATAGAAAACTTAATTCAGCAAGACAAAACTATAAATTTCATAATTAATTCAGCTGAACAAAAATTAATTTTTTGCAAACGAAAACATAATTCAGCAAGGAAAAACAAATATTTTCCTATATAAAACACAATTCAGTAATCCAAAAATTATAAATTTCCCAAAGAAAAATTAATTCAGCAACGCAAAACTATAAATTTCATATAGAAAACATAATTTAGCTGAACAAAATTAATTTTTTGCTACCGAAAAAGTAATTCAGCAACGAAAAACAAATATTTTCCTATCGAAAAGGGAATTCAGCAACAACAAACAAATTATTTCCCACATAAAACACAGTTCCGCATCGCAAAACTGTAAATTTCCCAGAGAAAACTTAATTCAGCAGAACAAAAATCAGTTTTTCTATATAAAACACAATTCAGTAATCCAAAAATTATAAATTTCCTAGAGAAAACTTAATTCAGCAACGCTAAACTATAAATTTCATATAGAAAAAATAATTCAGCTGCACAAAATTAATTAATTACCAAAAACGTAATTCAGCAACGAAAAACAAATATTTTCCTTCGAAAAGGGAATTCAGCAACGAAAAAAAAAACAAAATATTTCCCACATAAAACACAATCCAGCAAAGCAAAACAATACATTTCCTAGAGAAAACTTAATTCAGCACAATTCAGTATTCCAAAAATTATAAATTTCCTAGAGAAAACTTAATTCAGCAACGCAAAACTATAAATTTCATATAGAAAACATAATTTAGCTGAACAAAATTCATTTTTTGTTACCGAAAACGTAATTCAGCAACGAAATAAATATTTTCCACATAAAAATTATTCAGCATCGTAAAACTGTAAATTTCCCAGAGAAAACTTAATTCAGCAGAACAAAAATCATGTTTTGCTACCAAAAACTCAATTCAGCAACGAAAAACAAATATTTTCCTATCGAAAAGGGAATTCAGCAACACAAAATAAAATATTCCCCAAATAAAACACAATTCAGCAACGAAAAACAATAAATTTCCTAGAGAAAATTTAAGTCAGCTGAACTAAATCCATTTTTTTCTACAGGACACATAATTTCGCTTATCTGAAATCTGATTTTCTTGCAGACAATACAATTCAACACACTCCTTTCAGCATGATCGAAATGCAGATTTTATGAAATTTAAATAAAGTTTTTACATAAAATTTCTAATTCAGCTCAGTAGAATATAAGTGTTTATAATTCAGCTAAGCTGAATATGATTTCCTTTTATAGAAAATCAAAGTTTGTGAAATTTATCGCTGTTTTCTTGGCAATAAAATCAATTCAGCTATGCTAAATAAAGGTCTAACCAAAACACCCAATTCAGCAAGATCGAAATGTACAATCAATTTAAATAAAGTTTTTAGAAAAACTAATTTCACTTAGCTAAATATAATTTTTTCTGCATAAAAATCTATTCAGCTATGCTGAATATGAGCTCTTTTTACAGAAAATCTAAAAAGAAAAAGTTTTCATGTAGAATTACCAATTCA